CTGTCGTTCTGCCACTATTTGTCTTGGGATTACATGGATTAATCTGGTAGTTTTACATAAGATAATTAGGAGGTTTTGTAGCCTTTTAAAAGTTCAAGTTATTCATTTTTAAAGGCTAGGAAAAGCTGTCGAAAAGCCCCAGCAGAGCATTTTTGTAATGAATAGAAAAGCGTTGAAAGAATAAAATGAAAACGAATTTTTCGGGACAGTCAGCTGAAAAAAAAATCAGAAAAAAAAAATCGAACTACTAGTTAATCAAGTTCTGTAAGATCGAAAAGTCATCAGGAGCGGTTATTTTCCAATTGCGCGATTTCTTTTCCCGTTTTGCAACGCTAAGAAACCAGAAGATTAATTGCAAATTGATAGATACAGACGAAAATGATCTTTTGACTTGTTTTGCATGAAAACTTGGCATTTCAAAGATTTTTCCTTTTTTCAAATATTCTTCTATTCCACGTGAAAGAGTGGAAGGAAAAACTTGGAAAAACCTTTGAACTTATAACTTTGTGAGCAGTTTGTCTTGTATTTTTCTTCCACTTCACTGGGCTTGCCGTTAACTTTAAGATGAACAAAGCATTGAAGATAAAAATAGGAAATTTATTCTCTAAAAATATTTTTGCAAGCTTCTACCTTTTCTTGGCTCATTTCCCTCTCAATTCAACTCGATTTTGTTGTCCGAATGTCCACTTTTTCCGCTCCTCTTCTGGGGTGCTCCTTTTCGGGAATCCGCGTTTACTCGATGCTCCCATTCAACGACGCCTTCATTCGATTACCTCACCTTTTTCCAGGATTCTCCGGGCCGAGAAAACGGCCGCTTTTTGAAGAAAAGACTTCAGATTTTGACTGGCTATACGGAAAACCTTCTTTCTCCTAATTTTTCTCTCAATTTTTTTATTCTTCTTAAATTTTGACATCGAACTTTTATATGCATTCATAAGCTTTCTTGTAGGTTTTTTCATCTCCATAAGAATCTCCTTAAAAAATTTACTTTTGCATTTTTGAGCTACTTTTTATGACGTCCATCTAAAGGCGAAAAAAAAACAGCTGATGCATTTTTGAGATCTCAAAAAACTAGCAGTGATGAGAAAAAACGAGCTGCAAGGGCAGTTTGCGGAGAATACCTAATTTTATGATGGAAGAACGGTTTTTCATATTTTTGTTGAGAAGGGCTCCTGAAATTGACGATAAAATTCAATCTCTTGTTTTTTTGTTTGATATTTTTTTCCTGAAGGCTGTTCACAGTTTTTTTATAATAAAAAAATTTCCAGATAATCAAACTTGAGGCAAAAAAAAATTTGTGGAGACCACGGGTATCACTGTAGTTTTATACAGAAAACAGTTTTTAATTATGCAAAAACGAAATTAATTATTTAATTATTCCCGGAAATTTACACGAAATTCATAAGTCTTGTGGCGAACTACAGTATGCCTCCGTTTGCGGTTTTAAATCAATCAAGAGTTATTCCCAAAGAAACTATATTCATCTGCGTCTTGGTTCATTTTTCTGAAATTTTTTTCTAATATTTGAATTTTAGTTGATCAATTTTTTTCCTCTTGACCTTCAATTTTCGAATTTCTGAAAGTTAGAGTCGTAGAAAACGGTTTGTTTATACTTTTTCCGAAGTCACACCTAATGTTCTTCGAAAAAAAAGAACATTTGGAAGGTGTGTGTTAAAGACTGGAAGGCCGACTGGCGCGGACAGAAAAAAAAACGACTGGCCTGCGGTTCATTTTGTCTTACACCTTCTCTTCTTCTTCTCATTCTTCTCATTGACGTCGTCGCGTTCGGAACTTATCCTCCATCAAAATCTCTATTTTTTGGCCTTTCCTCGATTGAAATCGGGAACGAGCAAACGTAGTTTTGTGTAGTTTTCAGGTGTAAAATACGTTTCTAAATGAGTTATTAAGTCTGAACAATTTCATCAAGGTCCACTTTTGTTGGATTCTTATTTCTATTTCTTGCATGTTTTGCCGTTGTGCAAATTGATTTATTCTTTATATTTTATTGTTCAGTTTATGGTTACTAAGATTTGAGTTTAGGTAGTTTTTGGTTTTTTTTTTCTGGTTTCGTATGCTTTATCATTGTATTTTTGCATCTAGCATGTTTTAAAAGTTTTCTTTTTGCTAAAATTTGAAGATTTTCCTGTTTTCAACTTATTTCTTGAGTTAATTTGAGAATTGAACCGTCTCTTAACGTGTTCCTGAGAAACTAGTGGCATTTAAAAACATTTAAAAGGTTCACGACTAGAGAAATTGCCATTTTTCAACTGACACGGACAGAAAATCAACTCTGATCAAAATTCCTTTATCACCTGAAATTAGTTTGGGTTTGTTCAATTTCTCAAAATTTAATTATTCCGGCTCCCGGACTGCTAAAACTCATTAGCACCACGGAGCCCTTTCAAGGATTTGTGTTGGATTTTCAACACAGTTGGATTGGAACGCCCACTTTTTGGCCACTTCAAGTGGACGCCCTCCATTGGGAGGATTGGACTGGACTTTATGTCCAAGTCCAAAAAAACTCGGTTTTTTATGGGTTTCAAGCTGCTCGCGTCGTATATGAATTGAAAATTGGTTTCATATAGGTTGATTACCTTGGTTTTTGTGCATCTGGAATTTTTTGAGCTCTTTCTTTTATTTTGTACCGATTTGTATCGAAACTTCTTGTGACCCCTCCTTCTTTCTGGGTTTTTCCCAACTTCTCGTTTTCAAGCTTGAACAGAGTTATCGTTGTTTTTTTATCAAATTAATCAAGAAATTTTTTTCTCTGATTTTTCAAGACATTTTTTTAAGTTTAAAATTTTTTCTCTGGTGTGGACTCGAACATTTGATCTAGAAAAGGCCACAATCAGCTTTTTTTATCATGGGTTTGTTCCTTTTTTTCAAAAATTTCGTGAGACAACTCATGACCTTTTTTTAAGCTCGATCCAACCATCTTGATCCACCTTGTTTTTGAGCCTTTGGTTTGTAAATTTTTAAACCCTATTTTTCTTGAATTTTTGAATTTTTCTTCACTGTTAGTAATTTTTAGTTCAATCATTTTCAATTATACTTAACGTCTTTTTTTCTGAATGGAATTTGATATTTCTAGTTATTTTCAGAGCTTTGAGCAGTTTCATTGCCCCGAAAAAATTTTTATTCTTTTCGAATATTTTTTGTCACTTTTTCTAGTTTGAGCCACTTTTGAAGCTTCAGCACATTTACTATGCTCAAAAATGAACTTAATTTTCATTTTGAACATTCCTACCAGTTTCTAATCAAGTTCTGGATATTTGAAACCATCCTCAAGCCCAAAAACAACTTTCATCAGATTCCAAGTAACTTCCGCATCATTCGACCCTTTTTGAAGTTTTGGAACGCTTTTTGCGCTTCAAGATAACCTTTATCAGATTTTTTTTTTCGTTCAATTTGAAGTTTCGGAACGGACCTTATGCTTCAAAACAAGTTTTATCAGATTATTAGTAGCTTCCGCCAATTTCGAGCCTTTTTTCGAGATTTCAAATCGCGCGTTCTCCTCCAAAAACGCCGTAATCTTGATCTTCCTTCTGGCCTTTTCCAAGTTTCAGAAGAAAAACTCACAATCCCCCCCTATAAAAACTTACAAAACCCCGACCATTTTTTCTGAAATAAATTGACTGTTTTTGAGCTTTAATCAAGCCTGAGTGGTTTTTCTCGAGTTACCTGGAAGCCAATTAACCTTTTAAAAAAATTATTTGCTTTTCTAACTTGGCGAAACCTTCCCTATTGAAAGATAGGGGCTGACATAGTTTTAGTCATTTTTTTCCTATGATGAGGGTGATTTCAAATATTAATTTCATTATTTTGAAAGTTTTTTTCCGATTGTTTAATTAATTTTTTTTGAGGTTTGAAAGTTTTTTTGAAGTGAGTTTTCAAACGTTTTAATCATTTTACTTCCAATTTATTTCACTAAATTTTTTTCTACCCTTGATTCTTATTATTTTTTTTCTGAATCCATTGACTAGTGGAAAAAAAGTTTTTCTGGATTTTTTTCGCTCAATTTGAAATTCCCACAAGGTATTGAAGTTACCTGGCTTTCTTTTAAAGTTCACTTGAAGCCTATTTTAAATTTAGTTTCAATTTATTTTAGTTCTTAGACGATGTCTAAGCTTACTTCACTTATTTTTTCAAGCTCATCAAGAATTTTCTGAATCTTTTGAATTTTATTGGAGATTTTTCTCGAGAAAAAATTGTTTCGAAATTCGAAAAAGTCTCTTGATTCCATTTTCAGTGCATTTCCTTGCAGAATTTCTGGATTTCCTTCTCGAAAAATTGCCCCAAGGCTATAATATTGCCTCAGTTTCTATGTGAAGTAGTAGTGGTCCACCATCTCCTTCCAATGAAAATAATTAACACAGCGCCCAATTTATGCACCCCGCCAATAGCCAAAAACGGATTCCAGCATTCGCCAAAACACAATGAGAGCCTTAAAAATAACAATTTCTCCCTGGAGAAGGTGGAGAAATTTTTCTTGGGTTTATTAAACTTAAATTCTCGATCGAAATCTTGAGACTCTATTTTTCAAGGCTAGAAATTGTCAAAAAAATGAGACTTTGATTTCAGTTTTTTTGGATTAAAAAAATTCTTTTTTCCAATTCGATGATAGAATGCGTCGAAAAAAAGAAATTATAGTTTTCAAAGAAAATATGAAACCGACATTACTTTTTATTGATCTGCTGAAGAGAAAAGTTCCCCAACAATTAAAAAAACCCCTTTTTTTCGAAATTTTCCCAAAATTTTTGATCAATTCCATACTCGAAATTCCCCATTTCGAAGTTTTGAACTGGAGGAAAAAATTAAATATTTGCCGATGATTAGGTATTCCAGCGTGAGAAACTATAGAAGAATTGGCCCAATTTTTCAATATTCCTTTTGTCTTTTCTCCCTTTTTTCGTTTTTTTTTTGTCGTCCTGTTTTCAAAATTTAGCATTTTTTTTTAGGTCTTCGAAACCGTGAAAAATCCGGAGAAAAATGCCACGACGATGACGTTTGTGGAGGCTTTTCTGCTGATTTTCGTCGCCCGTCATGTCGTTTGTGGTGATTTTTTTAGATTTCTATAAATTTTTGAGATTAAAAAAAAACAAAAAATAAAGAGGATTTGAAAAGGAACAGATGAAATCAGAAAAAATCATTATAATCTAGAGAGACTCATTTTCAATACTTACATCCAAACGGAACAGAGCTTTTTAAAGTTAAGAATTTTTTTAAATTTTTCGATCGGAAAAATTCCGGTAGTAAGATTCCAGGAACGGTTCTAGTCTCCATTCCCATTTCCCAGTTAAAAAACTCGGAACGAAAGATTTTTTTTATCAATTTTTTGAAGCTCTTCTAGTTCCCACCTGAGCGTTCCATGACGACCTTACCTTAAAAAGAAACAAAACGACGAGGAGCGGAACGGTAGGGACATGAAAAAGGGCCGACCGACGCAAATTCCAAAGACCGTTTTACGACCCTTTTTTGGTGGCGGCAAAAAAAATTTATCGCCCATCCGTTAACGATCCGATTTTTGTTTTGGGTTTTTGAGAAGTTTTTGAAGGGGTTGAAAACAGGAAGTGAGAGTAGAAAAATGTTACGAGAAAGACAAATTTCAAGTTTGCAATTTTAGTTTACGAAGTTTTGAATTTTAGTCCTCAGCTCTGTTTGAATTTTTAAATTTCCGACGATTTTCTGGTGTGAAGTTTAATAAAAAATGATTCGTCCAGGAAGATTAGCCGTTCTTAGTAAGCTCCGCCCATTTTTTCGCGAATTTGCAAGATTAACCACGTCTACCTTGCATTTCAGTTGATGGCTGTAATTCTTTATTTACAGAAACTCTTTAGGAGCCACTAGAAATGTTGAAAGCTTAACTCAATAAGCCAACTGGAAGCTCATCAAAACTGTCCTAAACGCCTGGCTCCATGAAATTGCTTAAGGAATTACTACAATTGCTAAAAGACCAAGTGGCAACTTAAGGAGGCCGCTAAAAGCTCATTAAAAACATATTAACATTATCATTACGCAGAAAACGCTATGAAAAAATCGTAAACTTGTTGCTACGGAGTCATCGGAACTGACCCTAAAGTTCCCACTCCACTAAACCACTCAAGGACTCACTTGCAAGTGACTGAAAAGGCAATCATCCTGTCGCCTCCCCACCAGTTGCTCTGGCTTAACTCATTAGCGGCTTAGCGCAATTGGTCGGGTCAACTGGCTGTGACATTTGAGCCGCGGCTGAAAATGGGCCTCCAGCTGCAATTTCGGACGGCGTCAAGATGCTTTTCGAGGGAGAAAAAGTTTGTATGGATCCTCCTCGTCTCTGGAGACGATTGTAGTACAACTCGACTCATTTCCGGAGAGTTTTGAGCGATTTATGGCCTCTCGATTGTTGCTGGAATTTTAAGTGTCGCGTTTTCGAGGAATTGCAGAGGGGCGGAAATGGTAGGATTGTTAAAATAATGGTCTGAAAACAAGAAAATGTTGCGGTCACAGTAAGTTTTCACGGGTTTTGAGCGTTTAAAGTGAGGAAACTTGTAATTTAATAGACGGATCGCACTCGGAATGGCTAGAAGCGTCGCGGTCACGTTGGAAGTGCTGTGATAGTGAAATAAGGGACCAAAAAACAAATTAGAAACGCAATTCCAGTACATTTTTCCATGGAAAAAATTAAAAAACGAGTTACAACTCTTCTTTTTAAATATAAAGTGTGAAGTTGGAAAAAAAACCTGGTTGCACGGAAAAAGACTCAAAACATCACGGTAGCTTTCTGGTTGAAATTCGAGTTTTCTGAATGAACTCTTTTGGATCTTCTCCCTGAAAAGTGTTTTCACTGTTATGAATCGAATTTCAATGCAGTAATAACCGTTGACGATGATTGATTTTGGCGCGAAGAAGAGCCGGATTTGAGCCGAATCCGCCCCTCAAAGGCCTAATTGTTTCATTGTCTCCGCTGCTCCCCTCTTTGCAAAAATCACTTTTGATGAGCCTTGTCTTGCGAGATTTATAATGGAGGGAAGACGGGATTAGAGGGGTGGAGAAAGCTGTGAAAAAAAACTGGTGAAATAGACTTGAAAAGTTCGGCGTATGTTCGCTCTAAGGAGAAAGACTCTATTTTCTCCTTTTTAAAGTTTTTTTTTTTCAAAATGCAGATAGTTTTTTGTGTGGGGTCTTTTTTTCTCGAATCCGAATCCATACGAAATTTCTCGAATTTCGGTCCTAATTTTTGTTAAATAACATTTTTTGCAGCCGACTATGGCCGGGAGATGCGGGCGACACGGATGTCGGTGGTGGATTTCTGGAAGAACGAAACGATGGGCGACGGCTTGAACATCAGAGTCGCCCATGGCGTCAACAGTTGGCCTGACCTCGTCGATCAGCTCCATGGTATTGATCTCATTTTTTTCGAATAATATTTTGATTTCACTTTGTTTCTATATATGCTTTCGCATATGCTGATTCAGAACTCCTAGAAGAAGGACTATTTTTGCTTTTTAGTAGAGTTTTGAAGCCATAAGGACATCAAGCTTAATCACGTCAAAAAAATCAAAGAAAACAAAAAGGACCTCGACGCAACGAAGCGTATACTTGGCGCAATATTGAGACGCAAGGTTGCGCAACGGCAAATCTTTCATTTGCACATTCGGACGCGACACCGCCGCTCAATTACACGTCTGCCAGATCGCTGCGCGCCGATAATTACCGTTTTGTATTAAGTAGGGAGATGTCGCGAGATGGGCTTTTTTTTCAAGGGGATATGAAGCTTCAGTTTGATCGAGTTGAGAAATGGGCTGAAGGGGAGGACAAATTTTTTGTTGGATTTTTTTAAACAACTTTTCGCAGAACTTTTTTTTTGTTGATTTTTTAAAATTTTCGTAAGTTTTTAGCGTTTTAAAATTTTTATCAAAGTCGATTTTTTGATAAACTCTGTAAGATTCAAATTAAAAATGTACATTTTTTGTGCGAGGAGTAGCATATTTCTTTAGTTTTTCTCGGGATCTAACCAACGGCGGATAGAGTATTATGGAGAGGAACGCAGGAATAAACTGTTTTTCCCGATATTTTAGATTATAAAAGTTGCAAAAAGTTTATTCCAGAACCATTCCTGAACAAGTCAATGATGATCGAAGGCGACGTGTTTCTACAAGCTCATCGAAGACCCAGACATCGGTAAGATTTTAAGATCGATAGTTCTCCTCAAACAAAAAGCACCTCTAGTATCGCTAAAAACTCATTACCACTTTTAAAAAATAGTTTTCAGAGCGATCCCTGTAATGAGGGCTGACACGAAAATGGCTGATCGGATCACTTTCAAAGAATGGCTCAGGGAAGTCGCCATCATGAAAAAGGGTAGGCTGAAGTTTCTTTAGTTTGATAGCTTTACAGAGCTTCCATTCGAAACACCCGAAAAGCTATGTTTCTTGAGTTTAGCTCAAATGAAATACTCTAAAAGCAGTAAGGACGGATTCTTGTAAAACAGATTTTTTAAATTTCGGAGACGGTAAATATGTTTTATTCAAAGAAAGGAGGAAGTTTATAGGCTTCAAACTTTTTGAAGCTCGTCTACTCCTCTTTCTGATTACAGTGAGGAACTTCTGCAAAGTACCTAGGATAATTATTCTTTTTGGCGACCCACTGACATGAGAGCTGATGAAAAAAAAAACCTTGAAAAACCCGCTGTGATTTCTAATTGAATAAGTTCAACCATCACTGCTTTGTGCTTCTTGATCAGTGTCGATCATATGACAAAAAAATAGAGACTGATTCTTGGCGCCCCGCTGAGCCGGGGAATTCTAGCTTTCATGTAGTTTTGGTAGATTTTTTTGGAACCGTGTAGGGAAATATATATAATGTTTAACAGTGATCCGACACTCGCACCACATCAACTTTTGATCAGAGTTCATTTTTATTTGATTCGAAAGCTTGAACTGACTTTTTTTTTTAAAATATCTTTGCTCTAGGCTCGTGAAAATTCAACATTTCAAATCAAATTCGATTTTATTAAGAATTTCGATTAATTACTGGGAAACTGAAGTGTGTCCTAAAGGGAGTTTGAGATTTAGTGGGACCTATAGGGAGTGTATGAACACCTCCTAAAGGGAATAACTTGGTAGATCCCCATAGGAGGTCCTTTAAAACCCCTTTGTCGTTTGGGAAATTTCCCTATTGGACCCACTTCAGCTTTTCCCAGTATGTTCAACCCCACAATTTTAAATTTTCGCCCGTTACATCATGAAAGTGTCAATCATTATTTTGAGCCAAAATCTTGAATTCAATATTTTTCAGCTTTTTTGTGAGACTAACCATTATTTTAAAGGAATTATGTTTAACCGCGAATATTTTTCACAGTTATTTTTGATCATTATACCAGTGTCAATCACATGACAAGAAATACAGACTGATTCTTGGCGACCCGCTGAGCCGAGAAAAAAAAGAGAAAGACTAAAAGGTCTCGACGAGGCCGCGCAGTTGGCCACGCCGATGATGGATCGAATCGGATCCGCGGCAGGTTTTGTGCCAAAAGAACATCACACCGCCCGAGAAACTATGTAAACATTAGCATAACACAACAGCGGCCGCAAAAATTTATGAGCGCCGTTGTGATTGTCGCGCGGACAGAAGGAGCTCTTTGAGGTCATGGATTTGGGGGAAATTAGATCGATCGAAACAAAAATGTGGGGTTTTTTGATGGCTTGGGGGTACTTTTGAAGCTTTCTCTCTCTGCAAAGTTTGGAGAATGAATGAGGAACAGAATAACAGTATCTTATAATTGATTGTCAAAAAAAAATTTATCCTCATTAACTAGTCCCAATAAAGCAAAAAAAAAAATCGAAACTTTATGGTTCATTTTTTCTAAAGCTGTGGTAATATAAGCAGGACCTGATATTCCACCGGTTGATAACTTCAAAGTTCAAAATGTTGAGGGTACTGAGCGTTTCTGTAGATTGAAGAATTTTTAGACCAATTAATGTGTCAAAATGAATGCAATCTTATCCATGAAGTACATAAAAAATAAAAATCATGAAGTATTTTCAACCTTCTAGCCATCAAGATCAACTTCCGAAGCAACGAAGTCGTCAGGCCAGTCCTGCAAGATCTGTACGCTTCCCAGGCGGATCCAAGTTCTCCGATCCTCCAGTACCCGGTCATTCTCCACGCCAACGTCTTCAGGTCTCCCAGAAGTATCGAGGTATGAAAATAACGAGAATAATGAAAATACCACTGGAATTGAGCCGGAAGTCGATCCGAACACTTTTGTCGAGAGGGCCAAAAGCCTTTTCCCCGACGCGACTCTGTCTTTGGGCTGGACCAAACAGGCCGATTTCAGCCATTTGAACCCGAAGTACAAGAGGTCTTTGCTTCAAAATGAAAAGAGATCAAAGAAAATGAATTTTAGACTGACTTGGAGACAGCTTCTGCACATTTTGGAGTACATTGCCAAACTTGACCAGCCTGTCATGCTCTCTGTTCGGCTTTCTGTTGTAAGTTTGCATTGGGAATCAATTTGTGAGAGTCCAAATTTAAGATTTTAGCTATTGAAAGAAGATTCCAACCGGCTGTCTGAATTGCAGAATAAATTTATGATTTTTTTAAAAGTCCAAGTATAGATATAAAGTTTAGAAATTTTCAAAAAAGAGGCTAGGAGTTGTATACAAATGCTTATACTCATTTTTTTATTAGTGTTATGAAAGTGCTGAGCTCGAAAGTTCTGAAAAAGAGAAAAAAAAATCGAAATTGAAAAAGTTTTGATGAGTTATTTTTATTAGAACTGTGAGATGAATGAATTGAAGATCTTGATTTTTTTCTCCAGCTGAGAGAAATTTGAAAAATTCTCAGGAGCCCACTTAAAAGTTTAAAAAAATTATTCGGAAGTAATTTTTAGAACGTATATATCATGAATTTTTAATTTTTTTCGAAACACAAAAAGCTTACAGTGGATAATTTGAGGCTTCTCAATCGAAAGAGCAGCTCCTTTGGCTTCTGGGCATGGATAAATCCGTTTCCTTGCTCATTTGGAGTGACAAAGAGGACAAGGTGATTTTTGAATTATCCAAAAATAAACAGCTTTTTTTAAATGTGAAATTTACCTTTTTCAGATTTTGGACTGGGAGCCGATTATCGAGCTCCGGCGATCTACGACGAAAAATAGAATTTTGTACGATTTGGAGGCTCAGCACAGGAAAATTCTTCAGACGGTTGCCAATGAACCGATTGAGGTAACGTTTGAGAAAGATAGGTCTGAGTTAGGTCTTCAGTGAGCTTTTAGAAGTCGATACTTCAATTAGAAATCGCAGAAAACGATAATTAATGATTTCAAAAGGTTTTTCAGAAAAAAAAGCGATTAATTCAGGTAGTATGATCTTTCTCTGACGTCATTTGGAGTGTCCGATTTTCCTACTTTTGAAAAATAATAAATCAAACTCTGCAGTTAAAGCTCTAGAATGTGCAGAACGGCTCATCATTTTCCTGAGACATTTTTCGAAAAAATAAGGTTGATTAGACCTAAAAATCAGAAATAGCAACTGAGAACTTGAAAATTATCAATACAGAACGCTCTTTGAGAAAAAAAAACTTTGCAATGGAAGCTCCAGAATCCAAACTCTATCTAACAGAACGCTCCATCCTTCTCCCTGAGCCAATGGAGAGCCGTGGAGTTTGACTCGGCCTCGGCGATGGTCTCGACGGTGGTCCGAAGCGAGAAAGGCCCGGCGTTCCTCGGCGAACCGACGGCGTTGCTTCTCTCGCAGATTCCGCCGCCGAAGTACCCCGCCACGCAGTCCATCGAGGGGAAGGTCCCTTTTCTCCAGATAGATACAGAAGACGAAAACCGACGTTTTCAGGTCCACTTTCTACCAAAAGCGATGGCCGAAGACGTCAACGTCGACGAGAACAGCGGAATGTCCATTTTCTTGATGGACAAGGTTCAGGAACTCGACTCGCCCAAGATTCGCGATGCTCTTCAGGTTTAGATCTTCATTTTATTCAAGTCTTATTCTGAACATCAACGATAAAATGTTTGAAATAGGTTATTGAAGCTTCTAAAACATTCTTTATAATTTTACTAAAGCGAGTTTTTCCATTTTGTCAACACGACCTAGTGTTTGAAAAATATTTAGTTTTCCTTATTTTATCTATTTTCTTTTTAAAAATTGGACTTCAAAGGTTTTCGTCGGCTACGATGGACGAGTGAAGATTGAAAATGCTGAGCTGAAGTCGATGCCGTATTACGAATCGAAATCTGTCGGCCAGCTGCCGCTCAGCGAGTGCTACTCGTTCAAAGGTGCTCTTTTGCATATTCCAATATGTAATTTTCAAAATATTCAGTTACTGACAAAGGCTGGCGAGTCATTGCCGACGTTTGGACGATCGACTGTGACGGAAAGGAAAAGCGAAAAAAGCGACATTTGAAGCTCGAATTGGACACTCCTTTCCAAAAGTGGGGCCTTTTTTTACAAAAAGATGAATTCAGCAAAAAAAAACTGTCTTCAAAATTTCGTGATATTTGAAATCTTTCGAGCTCTTGAGAGATCCAAAAAAGATAATTTGACGTTCTTTGAAAAACTTTTTTCAATGATAACTATAGTCTGTGTGCCACTACTTGGAATTTCAACGAACGACATTCCGCTGTTCCGCTACGTCGCGAAGCGTCTATGCGAACCTCGGTCTCGCTTTGAATTGGTCCTCATTTCTGATAGATGGACTATTCCACTAGGAACACCTGTTGCTCGAGTTCTTAAATAAAATTAAAAATTAAAAAGCGGCCGAGCACGCAGCGGAACAGCGGAATGTCGTTCGGTGAAATTCCAAGTGGTGATACACAGTCTATAATTTACCTTTTTTGAGATATCTTGATGCTTTCATGTATTTATCGGGAAATGTTTCCTATAAAAAAAATAATGATTCGATAATTCAGAGGAAGATCGCTACGGAACGTGGTGGTCACGAAGTCGGGAGATGGCGCCATCGACTTCCTGCTCGACGAGCTTCGCCACAGTTCGGCTCCATTCTTGCCGTCTTTGGCTTTGATCACAGCTTTTATGGTTATCATCCGGTTATTGTAGAATCTCTTGTTCTTTTGTTTTATTTTTTTTCTTGTTTGTTTTTTTTAATTCAATATTCTCATGGTGCTACAATATGATAGGTGCAAATGTCTTTTGATTTTTCCGTGGCGGAGAACAATTTTGGGAGCCGAGGTTGTTTTTCTCGGCTTTTTTGAATTTCGTCTTATTTTTAAAGTCCGGCCATTTTTCTGATTTTTAAAGCTTTCCTCAGCACCTCTGTGATAATCCGTTTCTCATTTACCTGCATTTCCGATAGTTATCTTTATTCACTGCCCTTTCTAAAGCCTTTTTCGAAACTTTCGAAGGACCACTGATATTTTCCCCCTACAAAAACCTTTCCCGATGCGTGTATTCTCCATTTTCATAAAACCTCAACTGAAAAGAAAATTTTCATAAACTTTTAGTTCTTGCACAAATGAAAAGCGATTGTTGTCGAAATATCTGAGAAAAAAGTGGGTCATTTTCTACTTCTTTCAGAACGAATTTTTTTTCAAGTGGAGTTCCCGATGACAAAAGAGATCTAGTTTGCTGTACACACCACGGAGTCGAATCGAACTGCGAACTTCTTCAAATTGCCCACAATTAGGGGTTTCCATTTCTCGATTTTCGAGAGGAAAAAAACTGAAAATTTTTTCGGGACCTTCACGGAAAAAAATCATTACGAATAAATTTTTAACTATTGTAATGTGAAAAGGTGATACAGAAATAGTTTTCCACGCTGCAAAATGACCTTCGAGGGCTCTCTTTAACCTCCAAATAAGAATTGTTTCTCCATTCACAAAGAGTTTTCCGACCCAGTAAATTCTCAAAGGATTGAGCTCAATATCGAAGTTTAGGACCTGCTCCAGCTCATGACTCGTGAGGATAAATTGTCGCAGACGTTTGAAGTTTTAGGAAGACGCATCTTTGAATGCTGTAATTGCTGAAAATGATTTCGGAGAAGGAGAAGCCGTTTTTCGACCTTGAAACTCAAACTGACCGAACTGAAACTTTTCAAAAGTGAAATCTGAGATTTTGATCCAAAAAAAAAAACTAAAATCAAACTATTTATTGGATATAGGTTCAGAACCCGGCAAAATGAAGTGAAATAATAAACATAATTTTTGAGGAGCAAAATAACGACGAAGAGTGAGATTTCAGAAAACGCGAGCAAAATAGTCCAACCCTTGGCCGTACTCCCAAATAGCGACGCCGACGTGGAAGTGTTCGGCCAGCTTAAACTTTCGCTCAAGCGACGAAAGCGTGGGATAGTAAATGACGGTTTCTCTGAAACAAAAATCGAGATAATCATCAACTGATGCTTTTTAAACTTGTGAACGAACGCGTGCTCCCAAATGTCGGCGTCCCACTTTATATCGACTTTCCCAGATTTCAGCTTTTCCATGAGCCTTAAAAAATTCAATCCGTTTTTTCATAAGGAATTATCTAAATTTAAAAAATCAATAAATATGTTTTTGAAACTAATTTTGATCTTAATGGTATCTTAATTCACGGACAGGTGAATAAGGTGACCTACAAATTGATCATTTAATTTTTGAAAGAAGATCTCGCCTAACTAGAAGACGGCGCCTGAACTCAGTTTATGATAAAACATAAAAAAAAATCTGTAAAGCCATATCTAGGCTCAAAAGTTAAAAAAGAACATGACAATTGCTATCAATTAATAGTCTTGCATTATGATAAAAATAAATATTGATATAATAAGAAATTTTCCATTGAAAAATACATGGAAGAGTCACAAACTTGAGAAATTTTTCACGAATTGATTTTTGGGATTAAGCCTCGTGTTTTTGAATTATTGTGATTTTTACAAGAAGTTGATCAGAAAAAAACTATGATCTTCAAGCTTTCTTGTCAAAAAAATTGAATTTCTGGAGAGACCAAAAATAGAAAGTGAAGCTCTATTAAAATTTCGTTCTCAAAATATCCCGTTTCTAGGCCATAAAAACTTGATTTTTTTTTTCTGTCCTGATAGGAAAGTAAGGATGAACTAACTCTTTGTTGGCAACTTCTCCCAAAGAAGAATCTGGCGAAGGAAAGTTCATCGGGTCTGTGTTTTGGTATCCAAAAAAGTGGGTTCCCATGAGAACCCTCGACATGTTGGCCCCTCCATTTTCTGCGTGCTTCAAGCCCTTGTAGAGCTGAAAGATCTTTCTTATTCCATTGATTCAGTCAGTTATTCAACCCAGTCGTACGGAGACACTTCCAACAGTTCATCATCAAGCGGAATACCGAACAAATCAATCTGGAAAGAGAGATGAATAGCGTCCAAGGGCAACCTGAACCTCTAAGAATGTCGACATGTCTGTGAGTCGTTGGAAGTCCGTTCCAGAAAACGCATCGTTCTCATAGCTGAAGAACGTACCAGAGAAAAAAATTAAAAAATGTTTTTTTAACATACAATATGGAATTGATTGACGGCACCATACTGAAAATCACCTCGAGCGACTTATCCGTGAACTGTTGTGCAAACTCTTCCATCGCCTCGTAGATCATTCTGAGATTTTTTTTTTCTTAGAAACTTCAATCTCAAAGTTGTGAGAACTTCTTGTATCCCGGTGATGCGGCTCTGGTAACAAAAGAGAAGGTAGTGAACATATTAAGGACGGCTCCATCGAACTCATTTCTCTGAAAAAAGGTGAAAATATTAAAGACTATTGAGACAAGTTAAAATATACAGATTTGTAAATGCTCAGGCATTGACGGCGCGGCGCGCGTTTGTTGCCAAAATTGCGCATGCGCGGGGTGTCTCTTTAATTTTTTTAGCTTTTTAAGTGATTAAAAAGGTATAAATCAAATATTTTTCATTTCTGTTCATCTCTTAGCATTGCTCTGCTCCAGTTTATATCAATTAGAATGCGCAAAAGTTTGAAATACCAAAATTTCACTTGCAAATTTTTTTTTCATAAATTTGTTTGAAAGTTCTCGGAACAACTTTAAAACGTGAGCAGGAGCCCTGGATAGTGTTACGAAAATATAAAAAATATATTTCAAAACTGTATTTCAAGGGAAAAGACGAAAAAAGAATCAGTACCCCCGCGCGTGCGCGCACCAGTGCCTGAGTGATTGAATCCTTTCTGTTCGCATTTCAAAAATTTTCCAGGGTCTGAAAATGAAATCATTGCGGAAAATAATGTCGAGGTTTTCGTTTGAACAGTTTTTTTTTGGTGTCTATTCAAGTTTTTGCTCACATTAAGTAAATTTTCCTAGCCCCAGAAACTTTTTTAAAAATCTACTGTTCAGAAACTTTCAGTTCTCTACACTTCAAAGAAAAATTCTCATGGTATGAACTTTTTTCAGAAAATTATTACTGCTTCAGAACTCTAATATACTCCGAGGATTCACAAGGAAAGTAATCTCACTTTTTTTTTTTTCAAAATTGCTCAAGTCGCTCTTTTCTGTTCAAATGTAGTCTCAACTTGCAGAACTTTCTTTTTTTTTTTAAACCGAATGGATCATTCAGCTGGTTTTTTTTTTGAATTTCCGCGATATTCACTGGGAAGCTAGGATGTTCCTCAGAATGAGCATCTTAAGATTTTTCGGCACATCATTAATTATTATGGCCAATTTTCACTAGAATCTCGAGTGCACGGTTAAATAATAGTCTATGTCAAAAAAAAAGCGAAAAATAATCAATACAGTCAAAAAATCGACGATTTGATGAGCACATCGTGTTTGAGCGGCGGTGTCGCGCAAGAACCGTGGAGCTTCGACGCCCCATTTTTCGAAAGAAATCAGGGGAACGATGGAAATTTGCCAATTCTCGGCCTTCAAGGCTTCCATGAAACCTGAAACTTTCATAATCACTTTTATAACTGAGAGGAACCCACTCCGGTCAATATCGGGGCTACCTTCGACTTTACATTGGAGCGCTCCGTTTTGACGGTATGGTCTTGCCTAGAAAAATCATTACGTTCTCTTGTATTTTAGAAGTACAAATCAACCTTGAACCATATGGGAGAAACGTGCGTTAACTTCTTTGCCGTTTTCTTTGCCAGATCGTAGCCATAAGTATTCCACTATAATTTTTATCCTTCTTGATAAATCAATTTAAAAAAAGACTTTTTCTAGCATTTTCAGGCTTTTTCAGTCAAAACGATTTTTTTCTCGAAAAAAATTAAAGATTTCGAACAATATCTTTTTCTTTGAAAAGTGTGGAGAAAGTTTTTAAAATTTTAGAATACTTACAGGAGCGACATAAGCTAAAACGGGATTTTTGAAATTTCGCTTCTCCGCCTCTTCTTTACTCAAACTGCCGGACTCCTTAATGATCGATTCAACGGTAATATCATCAACTGGGAAACGATAATTCCTCTCTGGCACCAGCTCTGGGGTGACTACCTGAAAACATAAATCGATGAAAAAGAAAGAAAAAAGGAAATTTTACTTGTTCCGTTAGCGATATCGCCAAGGCTAATATTGGTATAAAACGCAACATCCGTATGATACAAACAGGAGAACCAAATCAATCGAAATTGATGATGCGTTTGAAGGGACTTTCGAGCGGGAAAATTCCGACCCTTTTTTTGATCTCACGTATTTTTTTTCCGCTTTTTTGTTGCGTCGCTGTCGAAAAAATGGTGGGTCTAAAAGGAGTTTTTGGTCGTTTTTTCTTGCCGATTGACTTTGAAGTTCCTACCCGATTGTATCGACCTCCTGATGTTGTTATAGGTTATTCCGCGCCAGCTTGTCACGGTTTTCTTTCCACCAAAAGGCCAGGTCAAATTTAACCAACTTCGCTTCAAGACCTTTGTTTCTTGCCGTTATAAAAGCAGGAATTTGATCTTATTTGGTATACGGTCTTTTTAGCGGAAAGAAAAATGTGACAAGCTGGCGCGGAATAGGCTATAATGATCTTTTATAGTCTGTTCAGATTGTAAATGTCAAGCAGCTAACTCCGCCCATGCTGAAACGGTACCTTTTCGCGTCGATGTTTTATCGCGCGGGACTAATTTTGATCTTTTTTGATTTAAAAGATAGAAAAAGAAGTCAAAAATGCAGCCTCATTAAAGGGCCATCGTCATCTGTAGATAAAACATTGAAGCGAAAGATATTGTAGCCTTGGGGGTGGAGTTAGCTGCTTGACATTCAAAATCTGAACAGACTATATCGAGCTTACAAGATAATTTACGTCAGAAAAAAAACACAAGCTTCCACTTTATTACCGAAAAACCTATGTAAACAACCGTAATACGACCGGCCGCATTGAACAGGCGTTCCGATAGGGCGCTTTGAAAAAAAAACTAAATAATCTTCAACTTGAAACAAAAAATTGAATTGATTAATTTGTCAACTTCAGTGATTTTAAATGAGATTTTCAGCATGCAAAAAAGCAATATGTTCAATTATTTTTTTTGTTTTTCGGATATTCCTTCGAGACGCGCCTTCAAACACCAGCTTGAAATATCAAATGTCGTTTCAGAATCTTCAAATATTTGTAAAGTTTCGACGCATTCAATAAGAACGAAATCGATGAGAAATCATTTATAATTCGGGCAATATAATGAATAAATTAATAGCACGGGTAATTAAGGAAAGCGACAGAACTCGTCATGGACCAGAAAGCGTAGTGGATCGACTCGAAATACTGCGAAAAATGAATAAAATGATGATTTGAAACCGAAAAATAAGTGACAAAAGATTGCGAGATCAAGAAAAATCAAAGGAAAATTAGTAATTTTTGGGGACTATTTGCAGCTATACAGTGGGGGTAACGAAAATGTACAAATTCTACACGTTAATAGAAAAATGTCTACAAGTAATTTTTGCGATGTTTGTTGGTTCCGACCAGCTTTAGCAATTCGGCGAGTTCGTCAAAATCTTTCCTGAAAATTGATTTGTTGAAAAAAGAAGTCAAAGAAAGGGCAAAATTACCTATGGGTATGCGAATAAACGACTGAATCCCACATGATCTGTGCCAGTTCCTTGTCTTCATTCGAGTCCAACAAAATGTCCTGGAAATCAGGGTTATTAGGATTCCTGATTGGAAAAATACCTTGAACAAAGGAGCATTGAGTCTGAAGTAGGGAACTCCGAGGGAGTGGCACCAGGAACGAGAACGAGTGACTGGAGCTCCTTCAGTGGCGGTCGCCTGCAAAAATTCGATGACCTTTGAGCAAAAAAATAAACGGAAACTTTTTGGAAAAAAATTATAAAAAGGGGGAAAAAAAGAAAGTTTCAATTTTTAAAAAAAGCTGTAAAAAAATCAGTTGGAATAAATGAAATTTTTAGAAAAAAATCGTCCTAATTTTTTTATTTATTTTATCTACGCGAGTTATGGGGGAAGAAATATTGAGAAATTCTGAAAAAAAGGAAAATTTTTTTAATTCAGCAAAACCTGCCTTAAAAATCAGAAAATGTCAAGCAAATTTCAAGGACCTCTTTTGAAATAATTTCACAACTTTTCAAAAATAAATTCTCACCTGATCCAGCACAACCAGGGACAAATTCTTGATTCCTCTCAAAAGTCCCATGAAATCGCTCATTTCAAAGACGCTCGGATCGACGGGACAAATCGGCGTGACGCCGGTTCCAACGGACAAAACGCACCCGATTTCGACCATTCGCTCGGGTTTCTGGAAACATATATATTTAAATAGAATTCAATTCGATTTTTTCGAAAAAAAATAAAAAACTTACCCCAACTCTCTGGCAAGACGTGTTCCAGAAGTGAATCTCGGACAAAACGTCCAAAGTGGGGTTGTTCGACACCATACCGCCATCGATAAACTTTCCTGGAATAGTGAAATTGTCACAGAGGTCAGAAAAAAGAGAGAAAAATGGACCTTGTTGAAGAAGCAAGAAAAAGTGAAAAAATTTTTCTTTGATTTTGTCTTCCGCTTCGAAATTTTGATAGAGACATTAAATTTTCAAGCAGAGTTGAATTTCCATAATTTTTAGGTGGGAATATTATAAGTAACTGCTTAACTGATCGAAAAGTATTGAACAACAGGAAAACTTTGAAACAAAGAAAAAAAAAGAAATGACAATTTTGGCTTAGAAATTCCAAAAAAAAAATTTTTAGCGGCATATCAATGGAGCGGATGTGAATAATAACTATTTTTTTGTCAAAATTTTTCAATTTGTTCTTTTACTTTCAAAAATTTCACCTTCAGAAGCCGAAAAAAATACGTCGGCGCAGCGCTACTTCTGCGAGCAGCTCGCCACAGAGGAATTTCTGAAAAAAATTACTTGAAATATTTTTTTGAAATTTATTAAAAAAACCTTTGGGATCAACAAAGCCAAGCTCCTTATTTTCTTCCTCAGAGAGGGGCAGACGATAATTGCGGCTGAGTTCCAGCTGCACGGGGAAAGTATCAGCACGAACTGTGGTGAAGAAAGCCCTGGAGAATGAAGGATTGAAGATGAAATTCGGGAAAATATTCACTTTGGGTATTCGTATTCGCTCATATTTTTCATTCCAAACGAGGTCTGGATGAAGTTTTCGAGGACGGTCGTGTTATACGGACGAGACCACGAGTCGAAAAGGACATCTTTGAATCGGAGGTACATTTTTTGGGCACAGCGGAGAGTTTTTTTCCTGATATTTATTAGGGTTAATAGCTTTTTTTCTAGAGGATTTCAGGTCAATTTGGAGAAATTTCTGAGAATTTTTTTTGTGCTGAATATAGGAAAAAGTAACTAGAAAGCTGAAAAATTGAAAAAAAAATTGAAGATAAGTCAAACTGGTAAAACCCTCGAAAAACCAAAAGTAAAAAGATATTCGAAAAAGCGAAACAATTAAAAATTATCAAAACATGCACCTTAATTCAACAGAACGGAAACCAACAGGCTCTGAACTATCGGAAAAAAAAGACGAACCCGTCATCAAGGCGGACGCAATGAAAGACCCAGTGCTCGTGGCTCCGACCCAGTCGAAATACGAGAAAATTGGCGATTCCAACCGTTTCTGCAGCTCCAAAAGGACCTGAAAACATCGATATTCATCGTTTTCCCAGGTATGAATGAACCTGGCACATGACAAGGCCTCGGATGCCGCCTCCGTCCAAACTCAGGACATTGATAATGTGGGACTTGTTTTTCTTCTCCGCGATGAGCTTCAGCTTCTCCTTGATTTGCTCCACTGCCATCTGAGGAAAAAAAATACTTGTAATCTTTCGGGGGAATCCAATGAGAAGATTTTTTTTTTCGTGTAATTACATAGAAACGTTCGGAAAAAGAAACAGAAGGAGTCTGGTTTTCTGAGAAAAGTTCTTTTTTTTTCGATTCGAGATCTTTTATTATACTGTTTTTTTACGAATTGAGAACGGCTAGACGCGCTGCGGCTGCAAAGCGGTTTCACTGACTTGTAAAGGACAAATTATTTTTTTTCTTATCTAGAATATTAACAGGATTTCAAATCTTTTGAAGGGATATGAGCAAAAAATTTGAGAAAACAAGACGATAACTTTTTGTTAAACGAATCTAAGAGCTTTTTTACAACCAATTAGCATACATTTATCTTTTTTTGCAATTTAAAAATAATTTTCATAGTAAAACCAACCAAATGAGGGAACAATCGAGTCTCGTTTTTCTCGACGTAAGCCTCGTCGACGAGTTGCGTCTCGGGGTCGAGCTCAAACTCGTAGGCTCCCGTCGGAGCGTCTTTGTCCACCTTGATGGAATTCACCTTGTCGTCTTCCGTTAGTTTGCGGTCTTAAAAAAATTAATCAGTTCGATCCCATCTTGGTCAAAGTTCGCTCCACTGGGGGAACCTCTCTGATTGGCTGGACCACTCATTTCTTTCAAAATTTTGAGACGAGCCAATCAGAAACGTGATTACTTAGAGCGGACTCAAGGAAAGTTCAATTTCCTCGTTTTCCAATAACTTGGAATGACTCAAAGCGCCACGGCGGTATGGAGATGCTACCATGCGAAAGTCGTTTCGAGTCGGGATCAGTGGAAAAATTTAAAATGCAACTATAACCATTCAAACAACGCCAAAAAGAGCTTACAAGGCGATTTGAAAGCATTCCACATTTTCCTTTCAACTAACATCACCAAAAATATGAAATCTACCTCCAAAAGGCGGATTGCTCGACTTGGCCTGGCAGGCGGCGACATTCTCCCGATGCATACAGAGGAAAGTGCAGCCGATGAAATGGACGGGGCAAGATTTGGCTCCGCAGACGATCAACGACCGGACGATGTCTTTGGCGACGATTCTGAAGCCTTTGTTTAAACAATTGACAAAAAAAAGCAGTCCTAAAACTTAAGGGCTCTATGAATTTCTGTGAATTTAACTCATAGTGCTTGGAAAATTAGTGAAAGAAAACCCACCCATCAGCCAGTCTCGCGGCGACATGTCTCGGCGATTCCTTGTGGTTATTGATCAGATTGGGGTCAGCTCCGAGGCACAGCAAAATTCGCACAATTTCCACGTTGGCGTTCTTGAAAAGGTCAGCATTTGATGATGTTTTCCGAAAGGATATCTTACAGAAACGGCGAGATGGAGGGGCGTGTTGCCGCTGCTGTCGACGGCGTTGATGTCGATGTCGTGGGCGCAGATTCCCATCACGAGCGCCAGGTCGCCGCGGCGGACGAAAACGTGCAGCGGAGTTTGCTGCAAGAAATTGCGGGCCGAGGGGTCGAGTCGCTTTTCCTGAAAAAATGCGTTGATCGAAAAAGCACTTTTTAATAGGCGCTTTCTGGCCAATTATCATATGATCCATAATCGAGGCTATAGTCTGTTCAGATTTCAAATGTCAAGCAGCTAACTCCGCCCCTGCTGAAACGGTACCTTTTCGTGTCGATGTTTTATCGCGCGGAACTAATTTTGATCTTTTTTGATCTTGAAGATAGAAACAGAAGTCAAAAATGCAGCCTTATTAAAGGGCCATCGTCATCTTTAGATAAAAAAATTGACGCGAAAGATACTGTAGCCTTGGGGGTGGAGTAAGCTGCTTGACATTCGAAATCTGAACAGACTAAATCCACACCGAAGTGATTTTTCACGGCGTTTTTCGATGGAGACTCCCCCACTTTTTCTCCGTAAAGTGTCGTGTGCATACACTGCGACGCTTTGGCGCAGAAAAAATTCAGGGAGAGTTTGCCCTATCGCAACGCGGCCGCTGCGCCTTTGATTTTCCCTGTTATCTATGCTCTTAGAGCCGAAATCTCTGACGTCACGTGAGAACGGCGGAGGTTTTCACTCCGCCCACCGCATTTTTGGTTTCACATTTTTTTTCCACTAACAAAAACGCTTTTTTTTTAATCATCTACTCTGAGCGTTTTATTGCAGAAAAAGCCTTTAATTGAACCTTATTTTGATTTTTTTCAAAACCAACCGTCTTGTTCAGGAACATCAGCAGCGTCTTTTTATTCGTAGCACTGTGCAGGACTCCATTTCCAGTGTTTGCTTCGATTTCATTTAGCGACTCTGGCGACATTTCCAATATTCGGTTCAAAATCCTGGAAAAAAAAAATCATAGAACTCTTCAAATCCTTCTCCTTGGAGATAAGCGTTCCGAAGAAAATCGAAAATTTTAAAACTGTTACTAAAAACTTTTTTCTAAAGTTTCCCAGCGCCTAGAGGCAATTTTTCAAATTTTTTTTTCAAATCCTCTTCAGGTCTATTAAAAGAAAAAGAAACGAACGGTTCATCGACTTTCCCGCGTTTGATCGCGCCAATAAGTGGCGTCGGCGCTTCTGTAGAGTTCACAGCAGAAAGTGAAGCTCCTGAATTGTTTTGATCAAGACAATTTGGGAGAGAAATTCGAAACCGAGTGAGCTGAGGCATCTGGAGCACGAAATATAGCCATTGGAGACGGCGACGTACATTGGCGAGTTGCCATTTCCATCGGGAGCGTTCAGAATTTTCTCGCATTTTCCGGTCGACCAGAGGAGCTGGAAATGAAGATAATCGATTATGAACTTTGAGAAACTAGAAAAATAATTCTCGGCTCGAGGGGGTTGGGAATGAGGTCTAGCGAAAACTTGAAAAAACATTCCAAAAAACCGAAAAATTAATAAATACGAAAATCTCAACTTTCGCGCCTCAAGGTCAGAACGTACACTTAAAAAAAAACTCAGATTTTTCTAGATTTTCGGTAATTCCACTTTTAGGCTTTTTTTAAGGGGCTTTGACCAGAGTTTTGTAAGCTGTCAACTCCATTCACAAATTTTTAAAAAAGTTCAAGTCTACTTTCCAGAAGTTCAAACTCGTCTTTTTTGCTGAGTTTTCATCGAAGTTTTCGGAAGTCAACCCATCTTGTTGACCTTATTAGGTTCTGAACGTGTGGACCAGACTAGTAATTTGGGTGGAGAAGCAAATTTTGTGTCTGGAAAGGGATTACCCTGATCATATCTGGGTTGGTCATGGCAGCGATATGAAGAGCCGAAGATCCGTCAGCGCAGACGGCAGTGACATCAGCGCCGAGGTCCAGGAGAACCTTCACTATTTCTGGCCTGAAATCGACAATAAAGTTCATTTCATTGCTCTCTAAAGAGAAGAAAAACTTACTGATCGTTCTGAATAGCGATCATCAGCGGCGGAAGACCTTCAGGTTGACAAATCCCATGGAGCGAACTATAAACATTCGATTAAATTTCCGAAACTCATTTCAAAATCAAACTTTTTGATTTTCCTCTCCTTGACCGTTTTGAAGTACTCAACGAGGCCGATCTTCGACGCCAAATGAATCGATTTCCAGAGAATGTGTTCTCGGAGTCCGTTCAGGATATTCATCATGTACACTTTTGTATCAACTCCTGAAAAGATAATTTTTAAAATGAAGCCGAAAAATGGAAACCTTTCGGAAACGCGCGGAAAAGTTCTGGATTTTCTCGGCATCGCTCACAAAGTGCCACTACATCGGCCATCTAAAATATAATCCCATTGATTTTTCAAAGAACTCCTGGAAAACAAACATTTCTGCTTCTGTACAAGGAAAGCATGTACTTCTTGTCCTTGCTGTCCGACTTCCATAAAGTTATCACTAGGTGATGAAGCGGCGCTTTTTTCCTAAAGAAAAAACATTGGAAAACATTATAAACTTGAAAAGAATCTAGAAAAAGGCTACAGCGCACATTTTTCAATCTTTTTGATATACATTCCGCTAGAAATTTCAATTTTTGAATCGTTATGAGTTCTAAAAAAACGCCAGCTCTTTTTTTACCCATGAAATTTACAGTAATATTTAAAACTATCGTACTAAAATAAGTACTCAGAACTATTCAAGATTACTCTCCAAGCCTCAAAAATCCAATTCCTTCCACTTTTCCCATTCCCCCACCACATGGAAACCATGTGAAGCAAACATCATGGTACACGAAAAAAGCGAACTTTGAACAAGAAACTTTTCCCGTTTACAACCACTTATCAAACTTTTCTCTCGGCGAAAATTATCACTGAAGTCTATCCTAATTAACTGACGTAATGAGGGCGCGTGCGATAGCGGCTCGCAAATTAAAAGACCGGCCAAACACTGATAAAGTCAAAAATCACAGAAGAGGATTAGGAAAAATTAATCCGGAAACGAAGAGCTTTCTGATTGGAAATCATCTGGAAATCGATTGATCACCGAAAAAAATCAATAAAAAATTCGAAAGGGTTTGGGCTTAAAACTCAATTTTCGAGGATTACTGTAACATTATCTTAAAAAACCTTCCAAATCACCTGAGCTTATCAAAGATACGGTAACTTTATCAAAAATCTTTTCTCTTCAGGCTCAAAAAAGTGATAAAAATTTTGAGGAACATAAAATCAGGTGCACAAAAAGAAGACCACGTGGTTCGAGGCAAACAAAGATGAGAAGGGGCCAAACAAAGTTGTAGAAACATCAATTATTATCGAAGATAATCAAAATCTAGATTTTATCTCTAATTGATAAAGTGTTGATATCGTATGAGGTCTATGGGAAATCATTTAAGGAGGCTACAATGAGCTTTTCAAGAGCTCAAATCGTCACAGTAAGAATCATCTTGTTTCAAAAACTGAAAAACTCCTACAGTGGCTGAAAAAAAGGCGAAATCTACACAACTCTTTTCTGCGCCTTTAATAAAGACAAGATGTGTTCAAATAAAGGTGGTGAGGCTGAAAAACCTTTCATGGGTCAGTAAAAATCGACTCAGTTCCAGAAAAGGCGCCAAAATGAAGCAGACTCCAAAAAGACTACCGAGATCAATCTTTAAAAAAAATAGCTCAAGCTGCTCCTCTAATAAGGCTTCAATGAGCTACAAGACTTTCTTTTTGAAACCCCGCCCCCCGCCTCATCATTGGACTTTTTTAAAAAGGTCTACCGTTTCCTAAAAAAATTTTCTTTTTTCCACATTTGCTCACCGATTCTCCTCGAGGACCTTCTCGATTTTGCTTTCGGTGGCCGAATGAGCCAAATCGGATCCGATGGAGTCTCTTCTTTTACTGCTCAGCTCGATTTCCGAGTTGGTTCTTTTCGCCTCGCCTTCGTTGTTGTTGTCGACGATGCTCACCGCGTGCTTCAATGTTACTGATTATTCCGGAGCACTGTAGATATTCCGTTACGAGACCCTTTCTTAAAATTTACTTTATTTGAAAAGAGGGGATAGTTTTGAACTAACTTGACCTCAATTTTTGAATCTTTCCAGGAAAAAGCTTTTAAACTACAGTCTATCAAGAAGCTTGTTGAATTATAGCTCTTTCGTTTATAGTTAGATGACTAGCTTCAATCAAAAAAAAAATCGATTAAATAATCCCTTCAAAAAATTACTCACCTCACTGGTGAGAACAGAAAAATCGCCATTCTTCATCACAAACTTGCTGGGAGCTGAAAAATGTAAGGCTACAAAATAAATTAAGTTTTCAACAACCTTCCGCGGTCGGATGGACCTTTTTGTATCGGAAAGTGGCATCTTCTGGGATTTCGACGATCTGAAAATGACGAATACCATTATCTCGTATAGCCAGTTTTCATAGAGCCTCAAACTTTTTTTTTGAGCTGAAATTTTGAGAATCCCAATACCGAAAAAAATGATGAAAAAATTCAACTTCAAGTGGAAGATCCTTCAAAGTCCAATTTTTCTATCCAAAACTTTTCTATCCAAAACCTCCAGCACGGCTAAAACTAAGCCTCAACAAAACTTTTTGGTCTGAAGCAGGTAAGAATTTCCCAAACTTAAGAAACACTAAGCCTAAATTGGACATAACTCAGGTACAGTTACATCTATTTTCTAAACTTTTCAGCTATAGTTAGCTCAGCCCCCATTCTTCAGTCTAGACCAAAAAAGGCACCTCTTCCGGATCATTCGGGACCCAGGCGTCGTTTCCAACGATGTAACTTGCTTTTCGCTGCACCGTCGCCGTCGACATCAAGATGGACGAGACCATCGACAGGAAACTGGAAAACGAGCTATTCTTCCTGAACGCCAGGGGAGACATGTTATTTGGGGTTCTTTCGGGAGACCAAACCTCATCTTTAGAATAGAATTAAGTTTTAGGACCAGTTAAAGATTCGATGGACGGTGGCGGAGGTCGCGCGCACGCCAAGGCGCGTTGCGATAAAATGAATTCGACAAGCAAAAAGTTATCGCCCGTTTTTCGAAAACGACGACGAGGAGTTAAGCGGCTGATAATAATTGATAAAACGAGGGTCCCTGACGGAACTCCATCGGGTTCACAACCGGCTGTTTGATGTGTGTGTGCGTGCTGATTAGGAGGGTGATGTTTCCTGATGCGCTACCGGTTTCCATTTTGACTTTTGCAGAACAAAAATGATCTACAAGTAGTCTCGAGCTCGAAAATCAACATCACAACTTCCTTAGAGACAGTTATCTACGCTGATTCCGGTTCTGTGCTAAAAACTATCAAGGAGATCTTTGGTGAAATTGGAAACCGCTCAAAGTTTGAATCATTTTTTTTCTTGACTATTCTCAGGGATCATTTTTGTTAATAGATTTGATTTTCTAAAACAGAAATTGAGCTTCTAGTGGCCCAGAACTTAGAAAATGTAAATAATATGGTCCCTAAAAGAATTTAACTTGAAACAGTGACAATTTTTCGAACTGGATTGTCGAAAAAGTTTAATTTCTACTCTACAAAAAAAAAGTTTCAGTAAGGCCAGACTCCAACTTTTTGGAAGCAGAATCGATTTTTGAGCTAATTTTCATGAAAACTCGAAGCTTCTCATTCCAAATAGGAATGTCGGATATTTAAAACCCATTTTTAGTTAAAATGAGCCTTGAAACTTCTTTTTTGAGTCTGGTTATTGTATACGATGATTCTTGATGTGCTACCGCTTCCGATTCCTATTTTCCGAGCAAAAAAGGGTATAGAGTAGTCTGAAACTTAAAAATCAACATGATAGGGTTCGTAACTCAAAGTGTGTTATTAATCAATTGATTCAATTACTTATTTATTTTTATTTTTTAGCTCCTTGAAGCTGTTCAATCTCATTGCATATTTGTATAGAAATCTCCAGCCAATTTTTTTCCTTGAATCAAAAACTTTATTCGACTTTGGACTTAGGATTCCCTGGAAGAAGGGCTTTTTGACGCAATTCTAACATCTAAAATCGATAGAAATCGGAATCATACTGAGCTTTTGCTGAAAGAATAAATATTTTTTTCATAGTAGTGAATATAAAACAAACATTTTCTGAAGTTGGAAACTAAGAAGTAAAGCTGAGTTTTCTAGCGCAAAAACCAGCAAAATGGACTCAAAAACTTTGAAAAAGGAACTGGAAAGCTTTGTTGAAACAATGAGTTCCATCAAAAAAGAGCAAACAAAAGTCAAAAAATGAAAAAAAATGGCCTGGAACGACCTCCATTCGATTTCGACCACCACCGGCATGAAATGACTCAAGAAATGAAATTCACATTTCTGAAGACGTTTTTCCATCGTTAACTTCATTCTTCCTATTTCTCTTATCAGTGAGAAAGAATCGTTATCATTTTTTAATTTTGTTAAAAATGAGGGAAAAGTTTGACGTAGAAAAGGACTGATAACTGCAGAATGAGACGTGCGTTTGGATGATTCAAAGAAAAATCTTATCAACCTTTTTTTCAATCAAGTAATTAGATAATTGGATTCGAACATATCAAAGAACTAATTAAAACGACTTTACAGTTGCTAATGGATTGATTGTAAAAAAAAAATGAACACCCATTCGCTGCGACTTGGAACAGTCTGGCCTGTCTGCGCCCTCTTTTTCCTCGCCGGAGAGGTCATAGAAAAATGAAGAGAGCATCGAGAAGGAAGAGGGTGCAGAGATTTTAGGCTGTCACAAGTGGAGATTAAAAACGGAACAATACGAAAACCCTGATGAGTTAAAGTCATACATCGGCAGAAGAAGTTATCTGAGCCGAAGTCGCAAAAGGTCGGGCGCAATTTCCCTTCACGCTTAACTGCTGAAACGCAACGCAGCCGCGACGCGCCTTTCAGACGAAATTTTAGGAAATTCAAGCATTTGAAAAATTATCTTGCAGAACTTAGCGAAATAGTGTGGGAAACCAAGAGATTCACTTTTCTCTAACCAGGGAAAGGTCTCAACTCACGGTAGGATTTCCGAATGAGACCATGTTTTCTAGATGCAGTTTTTTACGCTGGTTCCAAATCTGCCCTTAAAAGTTTCCATATAAGTCTTTTCGCAAAAAGGGCTCCCAAAAATCAAAAATTACAGTTCCTTCAATTGAGCTCATGTTTTGTGGTTATCCTATCCCACTGGTAACAGAAGCTTATGCATTATTATGGACTATGTGTTAAAAAAAATACCGATGAGTCATGGTGTCGTCGAGCTCTGCAGTGGTAGAAGAAGGCGTGTCGCAGGCCTCAGAATTGTCGTCGGATTCTGAAGGCTTGACGGCGTCGGCGGGGACCAGGACGATGCCCCCTTCCGGCCCGTCGGCCGTCACCAAGATTGGCGTTTTCTCATCCTCATCTGGATGATGATCTGCTTTGAGTCCCATCAGGAACATCTGGAAAAAACCCTGATTTAATTCGAGAAAATTGATTTTTAATGGATTTTCCAGCCAAACCAATGAAAAAAACTAGCATGAAGAGAAAACAGATGAAAGCTTCGAAAAGTGAATGAAGAACAATTTTTTTTTTTGACGTTTTTGGAGAAGGGAAACATTTATCTGCCATTCCCCGAGCACAACAAAAGTGCAGGAACAAAGTATGAAAAAGACAAATCGTCATCGATTTTTTCAAACGGACTTTGACCTTTTTATCTTTTTAAACCTTAATTTAATAAATTTTTTTCTTCTACAACCAAAACAACTGAAATTGTGTCAAAACATTGCAAAAAAAGTGTTTTTTTACTTGCTAAAACAGAAGAAAAAAAAGCCTCGCAATAAAAAAATCAAAAAAATTACTATTTAATTTAAAAAAATTTCATTCCAGGCTCCAAATATATGAAATTTGGTTGACAATAAATGAATTTCAAAAAAATTAAAAAAATACTCATACAAAAAAAATTTCAATGAAAAAAAGCGTTCGGAAGATGTTCAAAAAAATGATCAAATTTTTTTATTTTTATTTTTTTAACTAATTTCAGACCATTACTATTTTTCTATAATGACTGCGTAATTCTTAAAAAGACCCCTCAATTCACTTTCAATTAGCTACCAATCAAAAAAATCATTAAAAAAACAGAAAAAAAGTGAACTTTAGCACTAGACATTGATCAATCATCACTACACATCATGATGACTCAAAAATGAATCAAAACAATTGGAAAAATTCTTTTTCAGACAAAGCAAAGTTTCGAAAAGATGGTTCAAAAACAAGGGCAACAATAAAAGTGATCAAAAACCTCAGAGAACGATCACTGAAAAGTGGAAATTTCCGAGGCTTGTACAAAAGTTTTGAAGGCAAGAGTTCATGGAAAATTTGGAATAAAAAAATTTTTAAAAAAACGGAAATTTTAAGTCGTTTGAAAATCTCTCGTTCAGCCAACCAAAATTTGAATGGAAACCATAAAAAAACATGAATTATGAGTCTTCAGATAATACCCATGCCTTTTTTTAATTCCAAGCTTCGATTATTATAATTTCTAGGTTTCAAAAATCGGATTCCATTACATCTACGAGGAAGATTTGAACAAAAAAAGAGACTCACAAATGATATTTCTTATAGTTTTTTTCAGGAAAGTTCCGTTTCAAACTGACTAGTTTCATCCTCAAAAAAATGCTTCCAAAGAAAGAGAGAAAAATTTTTTTCAAAAATCGTAAAATATAACTGACTCATAGTAACACGTCAGCGCTGTGGAACTCTAACAATAAATTTTAAACGTTTCAAAAATCATTTCGCATTAAAGAAATCTTACAAAGTAGTTTTTTTCATATGAATTTAAAGCTGAACTGAATTTTGAAGGGAGAGGAAATGAGTGGAAAATAAGAGCGTAACCATCTCAAAAATCCATTTTCCAATCGACCAAAAAATAAAAAAATGAGATGCATTTTGAAACGTCGCGAAACGATTTGCAAATAGAAAAGTCAATGAATCATAGAAGAGCCAAAAAATGATGTAACGGAGCAGATTTTGGAAGAACAAAGCTTCGAAGAGCACCCCACAGAAGCCATCAATTGTGACGATATTTTTCGCGCCAAATTTGGGGTGATCTTTTTTCTCTCGTTTCATGGTGCTTTCTAAAACGCATGACTTGAAAAAAAAAAACGAAAAAGTTTCTGTTCAAAAATGATAATAGCATTTTTGAAACCGCTAGTTATACATAAAAAGTATTTTTTCAACTGCCAACTTCTTCATATTCGAAAAAAGAGAGCTTGATTACTTCCCAAGAGGGGCTCAAGGAAAACAAAAATAAATAGCTGGGTAAGCTCGAAAACAAGAAATTTTAAGGATTCATATTCGACAAAAAGAAACTTCATTTCATTATTTTTTAAGCTTCATTTTCTCTCTAGAAGAATAAAATGATTATTGAAGAATCGCAACTATATTTTTCGCGTCTATATTGTTTAGAGCATTATTTCATAGCTTTTATTCAGCAGTATTTTCGTTCGATTCGTTAAGAATTTCATGAATTTGAAAAAGGACATGAAATATCAAAAATATCGAAAAAGAAAAAAGACCGAAGACTTCGAGGTTGTTTTTGGGTTGAAAGGAAGAAGAGGAAGAGGAAAAAGGGGATGGAATCGCCGGACAACAATGGGCGAAAGATCGCTCCAGGCTTCGGAAACGCAGACACGAGCCAAAAAATATAGTGAGAGCTGAGAATGGCTTGCCCTGGCTCAGAACGTTTCGAAATTGCTCGCAAATGTTTGTCCCTGGGCGTTGGTTTGCAACAAAAAAAAAACGAAAAAAGCAAGAAAAAATGAGAAAAAAAAAACTCGTCTCTGCCCTTGATTATTTCAAAAGGAGATAACCAGGGCCTTCTAGATGCATTAGATGGAAACCGGAAAGATCTCGAAATATATAACTTCAGATTTTTCGAGAAAAGGTACCGGAAAGTCAAAAGAAGACCATCAAATTCCGTTAAAAGGAGTCATTTTCCGACTTTGAGCCACTTTTTCTTCTAAAAATCAGTTACTCAGGTTGATATTTTTAAAACCGACACATTAAAAATCATTTGGAAAGATCTCAGAAAATTCTAAAGCGAAATCTTTTTTTAAATGTGCTCACAACGGAGATTACTATTTATACAGAAATCGAAAAAAATTTGCATTTTATGGAATCGGAGAACCTCCCATTTCAAAAGAAAAACTGTTCTTTTTTTAGTGTTCAGTAAAATTTTAGTAATAAAATGAGCTCAGTTAATATTCCAAAAAAGCCCGGCACCTTCAGATGAGAGTCACTTTTTGCAGTTAATTAAAATGAACTTTGATTTTTGATTTTTTTCGGATTTTTATTTCTACAGAGTACCCTACTTAGGCTTGCTAGGATGAATATTTTCGAAAAAAAAAATCGACAAAAAATGTGTCTCAAGCAAACGAATGGTGAAAATTGGCTACTGGCAGCTTGAAAATTTCTTGTTTTCGATAAATATTTCGAAGAAATTGAAGATTGTACTTGTATTATTGAGTTGGAAAAAGCGGCTGTCGAAGTTTTATTTTTGAAAAGAAAAAAAGCTTTGAAAAGAGGATTCTTGAGATTTTAACTTCGGAATCACTTTATTTTTTTAAATACTATAATATCTCTTTTTTTAAAAAAAGATTTTTATTATTTAAACTTTTTTTCAGTCTATTTCGAATGAATTTGATGCCTATACATCAAAATTTGTATAAACGAAAAGTCAACCTTTCCAAGAAAAAAATAAGTCAAAAAAAATTTTTCAAAAAAATAAGCAACTTTCTGAAAAATTTCAGTCCGAATAAGCGGGAAAAAAACGAGAAAAAGCTTGAAATTTGATATCTAAAGTAATTCGAAGGAAGCAGGAAGTGAAATGAAGAAAATAATTTCGAATTGAAAGTGAAATATTTTTTTAGATTAAAGTGGAACTTTATTGGAGTGGAGGCAAATATAACTTTCATGGTTCTCTTCCTTCACGCCACAGATCTGTCTGTGAGCGAAAAAAATTTCATTTCAAATTCAAAAAAATGAATTATTATTTTTCATAAATTCAGGATTTTGCTATCCTTTTTTTATCTTTTTATCATCTCATTTGACTATTACTAATTTCATTCACGCGTTCTTTTTTCAAACATGAAATCGTTTCAAAAGTCCACTCGCAGTCCAACCGAACAAAGCCCAAAGGCCGCAATTTCCTCCCACTTTTTCCTCTCTTTCTGCAGAGAACGTTCACGGCGAATGACGTTTCCAATGATCAAAGACCAAGGGGAAAACCTGCATCTTTTCGAATTTCGCAATTTTGTTTACGCCGGCCGCAGAAACGGCAAAAAAGAGAGCAAAAAGTGAGGCGGAAAGAGGAAATAAGTCATCGAAAATGGCTTGTTTTGAATAGAAAATTGAGGAAATATGGAAAATACTTCTCTGGGTAAGTAAACGCCCAATTGAAAGGATTATTTTTAGGGATAACTTTAGGGTTTTGAGCTTTTAATGGTCCCTGATAGCTTTATATAATGTTGAAAGGTATCTTGAAGTCCAAATGGATGAAAATATACATTTTTTTTTATTTCAAAGTGACCACTTAAGATTTTTAACGTAGGGATACGCGTTGGAAGATTTTTATTAGCGATTTAAAAGCCAAAGTGACTACTTTAGAGGTTTCTTATACCTTTTCTCGGCTTTTACTCACTCTTAAACCCAATAAAAACTTCCTTATTTGGAAAAAATATCGGAATATACACTAAAATTGAAAAAAACCTCATTTGCAGTCATGTTCGATGTTGATCCCGCGACGTGAGTGTCCGTTTCATTCCATGCAACTGCGACGAAAGCCATTTTCGAATATATTTGTAATCTCAGTAATAGTAGAAAGTGATTAGGGGGATATGTAGATTGTTTTCTGAAAAGAAAATGGATAAAACGTGGGAAATTTATTAAAAACGTGTGAAAAACGAGCCTTGGAAAATAAAAATTGGGAGATTTCTCTCGAAAAGAAGCTTCATGAGCTTGCTTGAAAAAACATGAGAACATTAATTTCAACAAAGAAATTCATATTTGAAAAATGAAGCTCGAATAAAAAGAAAAAATTTGATTTCAACTTCCAAAAAGCCTCCAAAAATCGTCAAAATTATCATAAAAATTCGCGAAAAAACAAATTAAAGAGTTTCATCTTTAAGTGATAAGATTTCATGAGAAAAAAACATGCACAGATAAATACATTTTAACAAAAATTCGTAGGACTTCTTGTGCTCAAAAATCTCTAAAAATATCATTTCCAACAAGAAAAAGCCTCAAAAATCTTCCCAAGAATCCTCAAAACGAGCAAGAAGCCTGAGAAATTGAATTGAGAAGGAATAGAAGCGGGAAAATTTGCAGAAGCCCGCACTTGTGTACAGAGAGGAAATCAACATACTTTTTTTGCCCCGCCCCACGAATTTCTCAGCAGTTTTCTCGCTCTCAACAAGTTCAGCAAACACCAAGTGATTGGGCGTTCGTTCTTATCTCTCAAAGATTAAAATGGAATCACGAAAAGAGAGGTTGAGAAGATAAGAAATACTTTAAAAACGGGTATTTTCATGAATTCAATCAAAAATCAACCTGAAAATGCAATTTTTAAACGAATTTGATGCTAAATTAACTGAATATACTTAATTTATAGGATCCAAACGGACTGCCGCATTCAGAATGACTTCGAGGACGTTCTAATAAAATCGGAGCGCATTGAGCCATTCCAAATGCGACCATATGGTTTTCAGTCATAATGAATCAAGTATAATGAACTATCGAAAAGCTTCGAAAACCTGAATGAATGACTAAAACAAGTACACATCCAGCATTTCGACAGAAAAAAGGTCATTTCAAAAACTTGAAAAAACACGTTTATGCTTTAATTTCAGTACAAAAAAAAACTCGAAAAAGGTGAATATTCATAAAAATAAAGTTATACAAGAAGCGCTAGGCGCACTAGTCGGTTAGACATGCAATAATGTTTCTCCTTGGAAAAAGAAAAGAGAAATGAGGGAGGAAAGGGGGCGTCAATAATCTATTTTGTTTGTGCATCGGGCAGGAGAGAGGGTACAGCAATGAACCAAGGTTCAGATTTTTCAAGGAGGTTAAACATTAAACAACACTTTTCGCACCCAGAGAGGTTGAAGTTCAATATCTTGGAAAGTTCGAGAGCTTGATAATGTCTGATAAAAGGTGACTAGACCAAAAAAAAAAACAACAGAAAAGTGGAAAATATTGTAGACTACTTGAAAAATCGCTCCAAAGCCTCATGATCAGGCTAAATTTCAAAAAAATCGTCTTGAATTCAACTTTCCAAGACATTCCTTTCATAAACCTCTGGAAAAAAAGCAATAAAATCAATTCAAGCCATTGACAAATGAGCCCTGTATACAAAAACGTTAAAAATCAATCAAGCCTCGGAAAACCTCCAAAAAAAAATTCGCAACCATTTGAAAGAAATGAAGAAAATCACACAAAAAACCGTTTTAGCTCTTTCTTTTCACCACCAACACCATAAAAAGTATAAAAAGACCCAGAAATCTCGAGATATGAATAGAGTTGACAAGAAATACGACTAGGATTCAAAAAAGATTTTCAAAAACGTGAGCAAAGGAAAGTTAGCGAGAAAAAGTTCAGCCGCAAATTTTATGTTTCAGCTAAAAAATGTATGTTGATCTTCGAATTTTAAGCTGAACTTTTTCCAGCCCCTTTAATTTGGAATACCCTTCAAAATCGCAAGAAAAAAAAGACGGAAAATGGCTAAGGATTCTCGTCGTTGTATTTGCTGTAGGCGTCGTTGAGTTCGGTGAAAATCGCCCTGGCCAACGGCTCGAATTCGGTTCCCGTTAATTTATCAGGATGGACTATGAGGCAAGCTTTCCGGTACTGCTTCTTGACCTGAAAAAGATAGAAACTCTATCAGAAAACGACAGAGTTCAATAGAAATAAAATTAAAAAAAAATTTTGTATCGGAAAAATGAAAAATTCTCGCGTTCTCGGCGTCATTATAAATGTTTTCGAGGTCAATTTTTGCAGTTTATACAAAAAAAACAAGAAAACTACATAAATTCGAAAAGTCTCAAAATCAAGCGAACACGGTTCAAAACTGTGCGGAAAATGCTCTTTCTTGGAACTGAAAAACAAAATTTTAATTTTCAATTTAAAAAATGTGTTGGTTCTCTTTAATTTCAAGGATTTTAATGACCCTCCTTCATGTACCACCTCTCCGCGGTGATGGGGATCAACGACCATTTATGGCGGCAACGTCATAAATGGCGGCTAACGGTACACCGGTCACGCAGTTCGCCTTGCTTTATGCTAATAGAATGGGCGGTCCTCCTAGCCCTGGCAAGGCAACGAGGATAACCAGACCACAAAAAAAAGCTAAAACACGTTCAACAAGACGGCCCCCAGTCCTCCGCCCGTCGGTCACGCGCCTCTCCGGTATCGGGGGCTGCCTCTGCCGACGAGGGGCGATCAAATCTCGGAGCAACAGGATACCATAGAAACGGACTACGGACGCGCCACGGTGACTGTCTACGTTTCGGAACCCTCAACTGCCGCTCGCTCGCTTCCGATGCAGCAAAAGAGCAATTGCTCGCGGCAAACCGAAACGCACTCATCGACATAGTGGCGCTCCAGGAAACAAAATCTCAAGACACCAGCTGTAAGACTTGGCCAAACGGTGAACTTCTCATCCTCGGCCACAAAGTCCCTGGGAAGAACGTCGGCGGCGTCGGTTTCCTCGTCAATCGCTCGGTCCAACACCTCGTCGACTCGCACGAAATCGTCAACGCCCGCCTCGGCATCCTCCGACTCAACCTAGGAAAACGAGGAAGACTCACCATCATCAACGTCTACTCGCCGACCTCACCAGAAGCCGAATCTAAGGCTAAAAGGGAAGAGAAGGAAAAGGAACTTGACGATTTCTACCGGAAGCTCGAGGAAACGATCCAACGAGAGAAGGCGTACTACATCTTCGTTCTGGGTGACTTCAACGCGAAGATGGGCAAGTGCGCCACTCCCTCGATTCGTCACGGGAAGCACGGACTCGGAATTCGGAACGACAACGGAGAACGCCTAGCCGAACTTCTCGACTCCAGAAGGCTCTACCACGGCAATTCTCTCTTCGAGAAGCCTGATCGGAGACGCTGGACCTGGAAATCGCCCAACGGAGACACCACCAACGAGATCGACCACATTCTGGCCAACCGGAAATGGTCTCTCCTCGACGTTGCCGTACTACCCAGTTTCGACGTTGGATCCGACCATCGACTCGTTCGCGCCAAGGTCCGTCTGAACCAGAAGTTCCTGAAGAAAGACTACCACCAGCCATCGAGACCGAGAAGACCAACCTACGACATCACCACGTTGGAGGAGAAGATCTCGGAGCACGACTGGCAGCTTCTCGACGACCCGACAGCCGACTACGAATCCCTCTGCGATGGCCTCATCAGATGTGCAGAACCTGCAGCTCGACCAACCTCGTCTCTACCGCCGCGACTCGACCAACGAGCGAAAGATCTGCTGCGAAGAAGAGGAGAAGTCAAACGAGACCCGCAGGCCACGCACCTAGAACGTCTGACGATCGACAAAGCCTGCAGAATGGCCGTACAAAAGTCTCTAGCCAACCGACGCAGGAGTGCACTTCTTCAGACAGCTGAGAAACGTCAAAGCCTCAAGAAGAAGAAGTTCGAGCTCGTCGACGAGCGAACGGTGATGACAGCACTGAAGGACGAGAACGGCCAGCTGAAGACGTCAAGGAACGAGATGGAGCGCCTGACGGTCGACTTCTACACGAAACTCTTTCGAAGCGACGTTCCCGTCCCCAGAACACCAACGCCGCCACCAGAAGATGAACCCCCGATCCTTCCCGAAGAAGTCAAGTACGCCATCAGGAAGCTGAAGGTCGGAACGGCCGCAGGACCCGACAACATCTCATCCGAACTGCTGAAGGCTGGAGGAGACTCGCTGTACCGACTACTTGCCCGGCACTTCTCCAAGTACCTGAGCGAAGCCTCTATTCCGGAACAATTGAAAACGTCCAGGACGATCCTCATTCCGAAGAAGGGCGACCTCACCGACCTGAACAACTTCAGACCGATCTCCCTCTTATCGGTCGTCTACAAGTTGTTCACCAAGGTCATCGTCAACAGACTAGAGAAGCAACTCGACAACTTCCAACCGTTTTCGCAGGCTGGCTTCCGACGCAACTACTCTTGCCTAGACCACATCCACGCCTTGACATAGGTGGTGGAACGGCACCGGGAGCACCAGATGCCACTTGCGTTGGCCTTCGTCGACTACTACAAGGCCTTCGACAGCGTGGAGATCAACGCCGTCTTGAATGCTCTTGCCTCCGCCGGAGTCGCCACGAAGTACGTCGAGCTGATCGCCAACAGCAACGAGGGAACGTACACGACCATCCAGCTGTTCGACAAGAAGCTTTCGATCCCCATCAGGAAAGGTGTTCGCCAGGGAGATACCATCTCCCCCAAGTTGTTCTCCACGGCACTAGAAGACGCGATGCGCCAACTTGGATGGGACGAAGAGCACGACTGGGAAGACAGTACAGACATCAGAGGCATCAACATCGACGGCAAGGTCCTCACAAACCTCCGCTTCGCCGACGACATCGTACTCTTCTCAAGCTCCACCACCGAACTGTCCTCCATGCTGAACGATCTGGACGAAGTCGGCAAGAAGATCGGCCTTAAGATGAACGTCAAGAAGACGCAGTGGATGAAGAACCGCTTCTGCGACCAAGGCAAAGTCACCCTTGAGGGCCGCGACCTTCAGGAGGTCACATCCTACATCTACCTTGGCCGGGAAGTAAACATGGTGAACGACCTGCAAGCAGAGATCGGCAGACGCAAACGCGCTGGATGGGCCGCCTTCAACTCCATCAAAGAAGTCACCAGTCAGCTGAAAGACCCGAAACTGCGAGCTCACATCTTCGAAGCGTCGATAATCCCTGCCATCTCCTACGGTACCGAAGTTTGGCCTGACACGAAGAAAAAAATGCAACCGCCCTACGAACTTCCTACCGCGCACTGGAACGTGCTCTCATCGGCACCACTCGCTTCGAGCAGTGGAAAAAAGAACAGAGGAGCACAGACCTCCGTCAACTATCCCAAATCCGGGATCTAGAAGAGCACATACAACGCGGGAAACATCGCTGGGGCGGCCACGTCATCCGCAGACAAGACGACCGCTGGTCCACGAGATTAACACACTGGATTCCGAGAAACATCAAGCGCCCACTCGGGCGCCCACCGACCAGATGGACGGACTACTTCCGCAAGAACATCAGTCAGCCAGGCCGCCACTGGATGACCGTCGCGCAAGACCGAGCCGCCTGGAGAACGTGTGGTCCACGCTGAGAACATCAGCGAAGATGGACCATCAAAGTATCAAAGTAAGTAAGTTTAATGACCATGTCCTCCATTTTTTCTGAAGCTTTTCTGCCAAAATTCAAGAGTTTTGGCCTTTGAAAAACCTCACTTTCTTTTTGATTCGCAGCTTTCTAGGCGATGAAAAGATAAGAACTAAAAATCTTAACAGAGCAAAGTTTGAAAAAAAGTTTCTATGATTCTCAGAGAGCATTGAGAGGGAACTTCATGATTAGGAGAAGAAAAAATTACAAAGTTCTGGGTTAAAAATGATCGACGGTTGTTTTTTTATCAAGAGAAAAACTATTTATACCTGATCAGGCGTCAGAAGGTCTGCCATTGAAGGCTGATTCCATTTACCGGCGCCTTCCCACAAAACTTCTTGTAATGATCCCAGTAGAGCGCGGACGTTTCTTTCTTTGCCCTGGGTCCAGTCGCGGATCTTGAAATTCACAACTCAATATGCTGCATCATGAAATCGGAATCGAATTTCTTAGAACAACCAGGAAGGATGATTTCAAACAGGCTTCTGGATTTAAATGGAAAATTTTTATTCGGTTGCCTTAAGTACTCTCTCGGCCTTTTCTCCAGACTTTCATAGATTTGAACAAACGAATGCTTACAGGGTTTGTGAATACTCTTGAGTGACCACTTGTAACAATAAATGCCTGAAAAGTTTCTGAACACTCTTGAGTGATCGAACAGCCAGTTCCACACCGGCTTGTCCTTTCTTCCCATTTACTTCTCATTTGGCCTAATTTTCCGTTATATCAAAAGCGCAGACACACAGGCAGGTCACGAAAATCAAAAGAAAGCTTCCCGGAAGGGTTCTTTAGCTCGGTGGAAAACAGAAATCCCGAAAAGCTGTCGCGGAATGAGCTATAACAAGAAGATCATGTAAAATGGCTGAACACTCTTGAGTGACCACTTGAGCTACGCTTCACCTTGATCTCCTCCGGCGTGAGATTCTTTGATTGTTGAGCGTTCAAAAGGGCTCCGATCGACTTTTTCTGGTTATCCCATGTTGTTGGCTTGAATCCCTGGAAAAGAGAATTAAATTCACTTCAATTTGTCACGAAAAACCCCTTGATTGAGCAAATCGCTGAACGCATCCGATGAGACTTTGACATTAGGCGCCGCATCGCCAAAGGCTGGTTTGTAGGTGGGAACTGAAAAATGTCTTGTTTTTAAAATTATCACTCAGTTCTCTGCAAGAGAAGCAATTGAAACTAGGAATTTTAACAGGTAACAAAAAGGTAAACATCGTTCAAAAAAACCCCAAAAGACGAAAGATTAGAATGAAAGAATTTACTTCAAAAACTGCCCAAAGTACGAAAAATTAGCTGTTCTTTTTTGAAAAAAAAATCGAGTTCCCTTTAAAATAAAAATTGAAAAGACAACGTCACTAAAATAAAAATAAAAATAAGAAACGCTGCAGTTTTTATCAATTTATAAAATAATCCCATTTTTCAGTTCAAGAAATCTTGACAAGAACTAAAGGACTAAGTAAAAAAAAACCTTATGAACTTATTATAAAAAAAAACGATTCCTCTCCTTTTCAAGATGAAATTCTTCAAGCTTTTTTCGCATTTCGCATAGTTTATATCAAGATTCTACACGGATTTGTAGCCCCACCTTTGTTAAAAGTCTGCTTCTGAAGCGGGGGAGTACTTCTGGCCTGGGCCTGTTGCTGTTGTTGCTGCAAATTGGGCGAAGTTCTCGCCGGCTCCGGATATTTCGACAGAAACGCCTCAAAGTCCGACTGGGAGTTCACTTGAGACACCGGCTTCGAATCTTCAAGAATCGATACTTTTTTTGGTCCTTCCACTGTTTCACAGTTATTTTCATTACACAACTATCCACTACGATTGAAAAAAATTCTAACTCGATAGAGACTGACTTTTTCATGTTTTTGGCCTTTTCTAAGTTATTTAATTTTCTTTTATCGGCATGCAACGCACTAGTAGCACTGCTAAAAGTCGAATTCGGAGGTGTGGCCGTCGGTTTTTGTGGTGAGAAGCTGCCAAGGAGGTCGTTTTCCCAAGAAGTCGTGGCGGAAGTCCCGTTAGAGACGTTCGAAGATGAAGACACCGGTTTCAGGGGCGGCCCGAAGTCGAAATCGGCCAAGTTCGTGGAGCTGCTTTGGCTCGAGCCGACGGCGGTTGGGGCCGTCATGTTTGACGAACTTTCAGAGCCTATAAAACGGAGATGATTATACAAATGCTGGTAAAAAAATTTTTTTAAAAACAACTACCGCTCATAAAAATTAAAAATGAGGTCTCAAAATGTTTTTTTGAAGCTTAATTCTTGTTACAAAGACTGATGAAGAGCAGAATAACGCTCAGTGTCACGAAAAAAGTTTTTTTTTTCAGGTATAGACTTGATTCTCAAGAATTATTTATTTTCAGTACAGAGGCTTATGAGAAAAGCAGAGAAAAGGAAATTTCTAAAAAATAACTTCAAAATTTCGTTCTAAACAAAATTAACTATTTTTTTCCTATGCGACTCGAAAAAATTACCCAATCCTAGAAGATCGTCGATGGCGGGGCCAGAGACAGCTTCGCTGTAGCTGGGCGTTGAAGAAGTCAGAATCGGCGTCTCTACGACAAAAGGAGTCCCTCCGATCCGTTCGAAATCACGGATATCCGTGCTCGAAGGGGAAGCTCTCGCGTGTTTTTGCGGGCTCTCTTCGTTCAAAGAGAAAGAGCCCAGAAGATCGGCCGTCTTGTGGGTTCCTTCGTCCTGGAATATTGAAAAAAATGATTTTTTTGAAAAAAATTTGAGGGATATCATCTTTGACACTTTCTAAAACAGGGAGACTCGGTTATTTTTTTAAATCCAGCCCCTAGAACTTCTTACTAATAAGAAAAAAATAAAATTGCTTTTTTTCAAGAATTATGCGCCTTGAATTTCAAAGATTGTAATTTTTTTAGGAAGACGATCTGTTTTTCAAAAAAAGTTCTCTGTGAGTTTCAGGCCTAATAAATTTCAACAGAAACTACAAAAAACCCCTGTAAAAATCATGGAAACCCAAGAAAAATTATCAAAACTGAATATTTTCCATTTGCAAGTTCCGAAACTCGACTAATTTCTACATCTGGTTGATTTTTCTTCCAATTTCATCCGCTTCACTCCGAAATTATCTTACCAACAAGTTCTCGCTGCGTTCTTCGCCATCGTACTCAAGTGTATCGAAGAAACTGTTGGAATCCGTGGAATTCGGCTGAATTTTCTGATTTTCCTCTCTTTTCTGCGGTAAAATCCTCGTTCTATCGTTGACCAGCTCTTCGGGATTCCCATAAGACTTTCGATAACCTTCTGAAACATCAAAAAAAAAAATTGAATTTCGTGAGATTTAAAAAAAAAAACCGAGCTCCTTCTCGTTTCGAACACAGAAAAGTCGGTAGCGTTCAAATTTGAAGTTCAAGGAGTTCGTCGGCTCTTTTCTCGTCGTAAATTTCAGGATCATTCTGAAAGAAAGTACTTCAAAGTATTTAATTTGAAATATCAAGTTGAAAAAACTCGAAATAGAAATATTAAAAAAATTTTAAAAACTCGATTTTTCATTAAAATTGTGTCATAATGCGAGAAAATTTCGGAAAAATTGCGAAAAAAAAGTTTTTTTTTTCTATTAATAATTGACAAAAATATAAAAAAAAAACTATAATAATATCTGCTCAAGTCTCCTAGTTGCCCCACGAGCTGAAGAGACAGAATAAAATATACGAGAATGCTTTTCAAACTTTAAACCTTAACAAAAGACAATGAGAATGAGACAAGCAGCGAAACTACTGGGAAGTGAACTTATTACACAAAAATAGACATTCTCCGATTCACTGAGAAGGAAAAGCCACTCAACCAAATGAACGACCAAAAGCGAAACCGGATCCTCCCCAAAAATCGACAATAACCCCGTGTGACGTCTCTCCGTTTATAGTAAAAGTGCACACGCCGAGGTCAGCTGTGCCGCGAGAATCGAATTCCATTCGAGTAAACGCGGAATTTTCACTAGTTACACAACGGTCAGAATATGAGAAAGCTTGAAAATTGATCTAACGAGCTTTTATATAAATTTCTTTTGAAAGCCACAAGTAGACGCAAAATTTCTACGTAGTGGCCTTCAAATTATAAAAACAAAAGAAAGCTTAGTAATGTATCTAGCAATGTTATATACAATTTTTCTTATCGGACAGCATTAAATCAGCGCAAAATTTCTACTAGGTCGTGGCATGAAGAATGGTCAGAATGTAGTGAAATTTGATAAAAAAAATATCATTTTAATGACAAGTTTTCCCGTTTATTTTTGATATTTTGCATATATTTTGAGTGATCTTGAGTTGAGAGCTTCAGAGAAAAAAACTTTGAAAAAAACCCCACTAAATAGTTCCTTTACATAATACAAAAATAGATTGAAATTTTGAAAACAAAAAGGAAAAAAGGTTTAGAATCGCATGGCTAAAAAATTTCCACATATTCCGCGGTTTAACCCAAAAATTACATTCAAAATTTTTTTCATAACTTTCAAAATATTGAAAAACCATGGCCAGAAATCAGAATGATAGAGGCCTAAAGATTGAGATTTTTGGAAAGCTAACAAAATTTTCAAAATTTTTTTCTTTTTTTTCCCATTTTTTTTTCAAATGGAAGCCTAGCAGTTAGCACTTCATAAAAATGCAAAACAATGATAAAAAAAACAATGCTCCTGATATTTTTCCCCCTACAAGGTTATGACTTTTTCTAACACTTTTCAAAAAGTCGCATATAATCCAGAGCATTCTCCAGGGCAATTTTTCTCCCTTATTGTACAAAATTATGATTTTTATGTCTCACTTGGATAAGCTGAGATCAAACCTGAGATCATTGGCAGGCCTCGGTATCAGAGGGGAAAGGTCCATGTCGTGGTGAGAGATGGCGACGTCGTCGTCATCGGGATGCAGAAGCTGGGTGTTGAGCCGACAGGTCATCATCGATTTCTGCACTCGGAACGGAAAATGAGTTGTTTTGCGGCGGAAAATGCGGGGCAGACCCATTCGTGCACCGGGCGGCTATTATCGCGGTGTCCGACGGCGATGGTCACGTCGTCGATCGCCCGACATCCGCCGACTTCCACCGAAATCTGACCCGAGCGGCTCCTAAATCCCCTTTTCAACTGAGAATCAATCAGATAGGTCATTTATCACTATTTGTTTACTCATTTAGTCTAATAATTATTTTTCTCTCAAGGAAATGTTTATTAGAACTTTTGATGAACGTCCCCTTCTAATGGCCTCAAAGCCGAAAAAAAAGACAGAGAAAAGGGAAATAACATCCAAAAGAAAAGGTTTTGAATTTACCGAAATCCGGCAACCTCCTCAGAATTTGATCTGAGCGGCTCCTAATCCGCCTCTAAACCGACACTCCATCAGGTAATTCTACAAATTTGGAATTTGAAATGAAATTTTCTACTAAAAAATATAAGTTTCAGAGGGTTTTTTTTTACTTTGAAAGGTTCCGAAAATTCCCCAGAATACTCCACGATGTACCAGATAAAGAACCAAACATTCTAAAACTATACAATTTCCAATTTTATTTTTCGAAAAAGACGGTCTTAAAATAGTTCATCTATCCAGTTTTTTTGACAGGATCTTCTATCAAAAAAATTGAATTTTTTTAGTTAATGCCAATAAAATGATATTCCCCTCAACTTGACAAGAGCTTCTTCCTTAAAAAAAGCTGAAAACTGTTTTTCTCAAAACGTTGTTTAAATTGAATTAAATTGAATTGAATCGAATTGTTGTTTAAACTTGAAACGTTGCAGGAAGCAAATTAATTCTGATTTTTTTCATATTATCTCGGAGTATGACATTTAAGTTCGATTAAACTTCTTACTCCGTCGGGAATGAAATGAAAGGCCTGAGAAAAAAATATTTCGAAAGCACTGTACTGAATAAGAACAAGTTTTTGGGTCAATTTTTCAAAATTTTTCATCAATTTTATGTTAAAGTATCGAATCTTTTTTTTTTTTTTTTTAAATTTCAATCAGGGCGGAATTTTTAAAACAGCCGCAACACAGGGACAACTAACTAAATATCAAATTCCGATTAGTGAAGCCCCAATTCAAACTATAAAAAAATAAATCAACACGGAAATTACCTGCTGGCGCCCGCGTTGAACTCGAACTTCTTCATTTCATTGCTCCCGCTGGTAATGATCAGGAAAAGATCACCTCAAAAATATTCGAGTTCAATATTCGGGAGGATATGTACCAACCTTCAATGATAACATTCCCGGGCTCAATAATCAACTGATTTATCGTTATTCCAAGTTGAGGTGTCTGGAAAATAGATAGATTTTTCAGCTTCAAAATCCTTAAGAAAAGTACTGGAAAACTCAAAAGTCTTTACTGTTAAGAAGTTAGTTTTCTCCCGAAGAAGGCTATATTCTTATTCGAATCAAATCTAAATTAAAAAATTTCTCGACAGGAAATATTTATTATTGTTTTCGAAATGACTTCGAAACCTTTCTCTTAATGCTTTCAATGCAAAATCAACGCATTTCTCCTTAAAAAATCCTCTCAAAAACCCACATTTTGGTCAGAAAATCGTCGAACGACCTCCGTCGACTGTTCCATGAAGACCTTATAAGTGGGCGGAAGCTGCTCGAAACGCGTTGGCAAGGCGTCGCGCAGAAATTGCCGGCAGTTGATGATTGATCGGGAGGCGATCAGACAAAATGCGGCCGTCAGTATAACATTGGCTGAGAAATTAGGGGATTTTCGATTGATTATGATATTTTTTCTAACGAGGGCGCGACTCAAAGGTTCTTTTCGTCTTATATTATTTTCCTTGGTTTGTTTCTAATCAGCGCCCGCTATTTAGTGCATTTAACACGCTGTCTCTGTAATTTTCAAAAAGTCTCAAAAGCAACGGGTACAATAAAAAAAAATATTTTTTGATTCTCATGAAACTTCATCCAGTGTGATAACCCATCATCAGAAATGCGGACCCAACTTTTTGAGCCATTTCCCCCTACTGTAGCCGGGTTACGGTAGGCAGGTGGGCACCTGCGTATCTAAGTATTGAGGGGTTTTTTTACTAGGCAAGTGATATATCAATCGATAGGTAATCCAAATTTTTAGGAAACTTTTACAGTACACACCAACTGGGGTTACTGTAAGCATTTTCGAGTTACGGTAATTTTTTGTGTTTGGAAAGTCGGTTTTTTTCGGTCACCCTGGTCGTCGGGCATAGAATCGCATCGTGATTGCTTCCATGGAATATGCCCTCCAGTATGCTTTTCTACACGATGCCACAAAAAAAGTTAGAATTTCTAAACCTAACATCTCGAGATTTCACTCCGAACGCGCGCAACTTGGCTCTTGGCGGCCAGGGTTGGTCGGGGTTGACGATTTTTCACATTTTTCTTTTGTTAGATATTGGTGTAAAACTTTTTTTGATTGTAACTACAGTGTGTTGTGTAACATTCAAAGGAGTTTTGAGAGACTTTTATGCTACATATTCAGCTGAAACTATAAATATTGAATATAGTCAAAAAAAATCTCAAATTCGGCCTCTCGTGAGTGTTATCGGTGGGGCGCAAAGGTGCCTTAATTTTCTGCCAACGATGGCGAAATTTTCGTTTCTCGCTTTTCTGCATCGTTTTTTTTTCTCACAAAAATGTTACTTCTTACCATTTTCGGATAAAAACGAAGCAACAAGGCTCAAAAGTCAAACTTCAAACTTACCAACGAAGCCAAAAAGGGTTCAAAAGGAGTTTTTGGCGAGACAGGTTCGGTGAAAGTTGAGCAAAGTCTTATGAATGATAACTTTGAAGATGTCAGTCACTTATTTGATAGCTTTGGAAACTGCGGTACAGTTGGAAATTTTTAAAAATCTGTTTTTCAAAGCAAAAATTGCTTTTTCAAGCCATTAGTAAGTTCAAAACGTAGTTTCGGCAGGACAGGTTTGGTGGAATTCAAGAAAAGTCTCATGAATTGTTACCTTGAAGATGCTAGTTTCATATTTGATAGCTTTGGAAACTGCGGGACAGTTGGAAAGTAGAAAAAAAATCGACTTTCCGAAGGGAATCGCGCTTTTTCAAGCCAAAGTTGAGTTCAAAACGAAGTTTCAGCTGAATATGTAGCATAAAAGTCTCTCAAAACTCCTTTGAATGTTACACAACACACTGTAGTTACAATCAAAAAAAGTTTTACACCAATATCTAACAAAAGAAAAATGTGAAAAATCGTCAACCCCGACCAACCCTGGCCGCCAAGAGCCAAGTTGCGCGCGTTCGGAGTGAAATCTCGAGATGTTAGGTTTAGAAATTCTAACTTTTTTTTGTGGCATCGTGTAAAGCATACTGGAGGGCATATTCCATGGAAGCAATCACGATGCGATTCTATGCCGACGACCAGGGTGACCGAAAAACCGACTTTCCAAACACAAAAATTACCGTAACTCGAAAATGCTTACAGTAACCCCAGTTGGTGTGTACTGTAAAAGTTCCTAAAATTGGATTACCTATCGATTGATATATCACTTGCCTAGTAAAAACCCCTCAATACTAAGATACGCAGGTGCCCACCTGCCTACCGTAACCCGGCTACAGTAGGGGGAAATGGCTCAAAAAGTTGGGTCCGCATTTCTGATGATGGGTTATCACACTGGATGAAGTTTCATGAGAATCAAAAAATATTTTTTTTTATTGTACCCGTTGTTTTTGACAGTTACAGAGACAGCGTGTTAAGCCTAAAATTCTCTGGAAAAGGTTAGAAATAAAGCAGCCAGTCCCCTTACTAGAAGAAGAAACGTTTATGTAAATTGATATATTTTTTTAGTTCTATCTAGCTTTTTTTGGACATAGCAGTCTATAAAAAAATCGCTGATTCCAAAAAAAGTTCAAATGGATGTTATACAAAGCTTTTTTTATAAGTTTCAGTTGTGCTAGAAAGGTTTAAATATTCAAAACTTCCCGGAAAAAGTAATTAATCCATTAGTTTCGGAAAAAAGGTTGCAAATGGTTAATTTATCTGTCAATTAAGCAATCGGGGACAAAGACTGATTTCCGAGAAAAGATTTATTATCACAAACTAAACATTTTTCCCCTGTTCTCTTAAATTTCTCACGCATTAATAAAGAAAAAATTATCCGATTACAAAAGTTCTAATTATAAACCTGAATCTTGAATTTTTTCCTCACACGTTTCATATCTAATTTTCAACAAGTTAAAAAAAACCTTCAGAACCGAATAAAACGATCGCCGCATCATTGGTCAATAAGGAGTATTCGTTCAGAATCTGGAAACTTCATTTGAAAAATTTTTGATTCTTAAATAAGTTACCGGCAACAGAGCCCGAAGACTTGGCGGATTCAAAAAATTATCCCGATGTAAACTTCCAATGGGAACTTGGACGGCTTTCGCGTATCCGTCGAGTTGCAACGGGCTGAAATACAGAAATATATGAATTTCGTCTTTCACTATCTTTTTTTAAGGATAAAAAGTCTACTTTTGAGCGGTCTCTTCGTGAAAGTCACTCAGAGTCGGGCGCACTTATAAGGGGAGCATCGAAATTGAAATTCTGAACGCAACGCGACGTTTGGAGCCATTTTGATTCATGTGAAGTTCATTTTTTGAATATATAGTTGATTCAAAAGTTCTTTAGAACATTTCAAACACAAAGGAGAGAAAGAAAGGCTTACACGGCTTCGAATAACTTTGGTAAGAACTTCTACGAGTACTTCTTACGGGCAAGGGAGGACATTTTAATTTGCGGTTCGGATATACCTGAAAATTGGCTAGAACACTCCTTGATGTACCAGAAGAAGATTCTGAAATCCTTAAACTGCATAACTTTCTACTTTTTTTAAGTTCAAAGAAAACGCTCAAAATCCATCAAAATGAACTATTTTGAGGCTTTATTGCTGCAAAACGAGGAAGTTGGGCAGGTTAAAACTTTCAGAATCTTCTTTTGGTACATCAAGGGGTGTCCAGACCACTTTTTCGGGAAATTCTCAACAACAGTTAAAATGACCTTCCTTTCTATGACCTCATAAGCTATTTTAAAGCATAGAATTGAAAGCACCATGAAAAACTTTTCAGAAGATAATCAAAAAACTTTAATAAATGACTTTTTTTGTAAACTGACATTGCATTCACGTTGACCACGACGTAGGGTTGACAATCGGACATTTCTCGGATCAGTGCCTTTTCAGCCTTAAAATCAGTGAATCAAGGGAAAAGTTGTCTTCATTGAAACCTTGATCAGATCCTCCGAAGAGCGATGATGGGTATCGGCAAGAGCCAAACGATTCGTCAGCCATACTATTCTCAAATCTTTCTCTTCTTGGGCGCCCTTAAAACTATGATTTATTGAAAAGATCTCGAATCTTTCGAATACCTCCCCCATAGCTCCATCTTTCATCAACTTGTTCCCGAAACTTTTGAGATTTTTGGCCAAACTCGAGCCTTGTCCTTTCAACGACTCGAAATAACCAAAAGCGCTCGTCGTTGCCTGCTTGAACGATTATGAACTTTGAATCCAGAAATGTATCAATTAGAATTACCTGTGACCATTTCTCCAAGGGATTCGAAGACCTGGAAGGACGGGGCGCGTCGTCGTCGATACCCATCACTAGAAAAAATCAAAAATTATGCAAACACTTTTTTTTTTCAATTTATACGTGGCGATCATTCAACAACACCTAAAATGAGATATTTCTAGACTTTCACTCGGAAATATATTTATTTAATAGTTTCGGGTCAAAATATTAGTTTTTTTCTTTTTGAAAAAGAAAAATTTTCAGTCTCTAAAGCTTCGAAAACTAATCAATTAGAGAAATAAAACTTCACTTTGAAAAAGCAAGTCTAGAACGGTTTAGAATAAGTATAAGTTTGCACGTTTTATAAATACACATCAAAAACATCAAAAAGTCTTATACTTGACTTCAGAAGTTTCGAGCTGAGCTCCATGAAAGAAACGAATAGTCATGTGAAGTTCGAAAAAGAAAAACATAAATGAAATAGAAAAAACAATGGGAAAAGCTGACTTTTCCAAACTTTATTCTTAAATTAGTAACAACCTTTTCTTCAACTTTAAAAACTTCAAAAAATGTTCGAATCATCTTTGCCTTTGAACTGAACTCTGAAGCTGGTAAGAACCCCTGAAATGGCAGGTAAAACCCAAAAGTGAAAGTAAAAAACTTTACTGAAAAAAAAAGATTTCCGATAGAAATAAAATTAATTGAATAGTGTCAAAAGCTACAAATTACGACGCAATACAATTTTCAAATGAAAACCTAGCTTCTAAAATTGAAAGCTTAATGAAAATCAACAAACCCAAAAAGGAAAAGCGAAAAGACTTGCGACTAATTTGTTGTCACGCGCAATTTCAAAAAAGTTCACACACCGTCACGGCCAACACGCCTCCCTCGACACCGTAGACAATAAAGTCAAAATGACCTCTTTTCAAATAAACTTCTTCAAGCAAGCGATATCACAGCCTTCACTTTAAAGAACAACTTTGAAATAAAATATTTTATTACAGAATAATAGGGGAAGGAAAAAAAACACGGTTTGGAGAAAAACGACCCATAGTTTTGCGGAAACACGCGGAATGCAAAATGAAAAAGAAAAAAAAAATTTTTGGAAATGTTCTAGACAAAAGAAAAAATCTCAAAACAATGAGATGAGCTCTTTTGCATAGGTATTCATTATTAGAATGCTGATTTTGGTGGGAATGAAGAAAATTATCAAGAACAAAGAAGTGAATCAAATCAATCGCTCAGCAGGATGGTGTCCGCCGGGAAGCTTCTGGATGGGTAGGTTTCTTTGAGGTCGATGATTTCTCGTCGTTACGGACTTCTGTAACTTCACTAATAAAATTGGGCAGCTTTTCCGAAACTTTCACGGTTTTTTTTCATAAGGAAACGCTCTTTAACTTTTGTGGATTTTCATTGAAAGAAGCAACCGGAACCTCATTTTGGCACTTCTCTAATGATTGTGGATTTTTAAGAAACTGTCAAAAACTGTCGAGAAGTGAACCTTCGGTCGGACCAAAGTCTCATGCGGTCTTCGGAACTTCTGACGACGTCCTCTCGAGCCGCTGAAGTCGATGACCGACTCCGGCGTCTCTGGCCGGTCTCGCATGGCCACAAACTTCGTCTTGGTTGGGTCGGCGAAGGCGCGAACTGTGTAGTCTTTGGTCTCGACACGAACCGCCGTGATACCGTAGTCTTCCAAGAGTTGGAACACCTGGAAGCATGAAATCACTCAAATCACAAACTCGGAAGCGAGTTAAATCTTGGATTTGGATAACTAGGTGTGACTCATTTACGACTGTCCATGAAATCCATGGAAAATAGAAAAAGAATATTTTATTATTTTAAAACTTCATTTCCTCAGCTAAAGCCATAAGGGCATCTGGAATGGCTTAAATTTTTCTAGTATTTCATTATTCTTCATTTTTTCAATCTCATATTTTGATTTTTGAAGATTAAAAGACCTTATCATTGAAAGTAGTGACTCCACGTTTGGCCGGAGATCTCCTCTTGGAGACAGATTTCCCGACCGGCTTCCTTTCGAACTTCCTCCTCTTCATCATCTTCTTGTGCAAGTCCGAGAGTCCCTCCTTCTTCAGCAGTTTTCTGGAGATCCTTCTGCGGACCGGAGCTCGACGAAGTTCTCCGGCAGCCAGGCTAGGGTACACTCTAGTGGGAATCGGCGTGTCGAACTCCTCGTGAGTTAAGTAGAGCAATTTGGTCGGTGGAACTGGACGAGTTCGACGGGGAGCCTCAAAAGCGACGGCGTGAGGTCGATGTTCCTTCAGATCGGAAGCTGGAAGGGGCGGAGCGTCGCGACGGTACTCCTGCTTCTCCAGGTACTGCTTCTTCTTCAGTCGCTCCAGTCTTTTCTTGTTGATGACGTCACCGATATGTTTCTTGCTCATGACCAAAGGGGTCACTTTCTGGAAATAAGAAGTTCAAAAGACGATTTCAACATCCGTTATATGAAAAATGTTTCCTGGACTTTTGAAAGCACAGAAGGCTTATACGACCTTAAAAATATTGGGAACGGCTCTTCGGTTTTAATCTTATAATAAACGATTTAGCGAGTTTTTTATTAGGTTATGAAAAAGTTGTTTTTTAAAAGGCAAATACACTTGACTTATTTGTGCTTTTCAATAATTCTTTGACTTTTTTTCAAAAGTCAATCAAGCCGAAATTTCATAAAATAAACGAAAAATTGCCTGAAACTGAAAAAATTTAGATTTTAAAGCTCTTTTTCGAGCTTTCAGTTTAGTTAGAAAAAGTGAAATTTCATTAGCACAATAAAAACAAGTGGTCTATGGAACGCACTAAGAGCCACCAATTTTTGAAGGCTCTTTTTAGGGAAAAAAACTACAACTGGGAAAAAACTTACAAAATTCTTCAAAATCGGCGTTTCCGACATCTTTCTAGCCTTCTTGGTGGTCTAAAATCAGTTTTTATTTTCAAAAAAATTTTTTCTCCAACCGTATCGAAAAGCTGAAAGATCTGATCGATCGCCTTTCTTGTGCTTGCCACGAATTGCGTGTTATTGCTCAGATCAAGTTTGCTCAAAAGAGCACTCAAAACCGCTTCGGGACCATATTTCTCCACATATTTGGAGGTTTCTGGAGTTTTATCTTTAGATTTTTTTTTTCGGAAAAAAATTGAAACCGATTTTGAGCTTGAGAAGCTTCGTCTTGTTCGCGAATGGATCTTCTTCTGAAAACACGAAGTTTAGGTTTTAAATTATCGAATTTTCTCAGAAATCCAAAATTCTGATATCTCTGCTATTTATTCTCGACGACTATCTCGTGTTCACTTGTTATTTTCAAGCCTCTCTGAATCTGCAGGTGAGAGAAAAGAGAGCGCAGACAAGTTAAAACGTTAATGGTCGTGGCGAATGTGTTACAGTAACCCACCATTTGGGTCAAACGGATCGTAGGACAGCGCAAAGTCTTTCAGCGGATACGAGTTGCCCTTGTCATTCTGCAAACGACATTTACGTCGGAAATCGTCTCCAGATGACGTGCTCACCGGCTCGACGTCGCTTCTCCTTTTGACGAGGATTCTGCCGGGCTTGAATCCGTCTTTCAGGGCCACCGACGCGGCCAACTGAAGCGAGGAGACGCCCAGCAGCAGACCCGCCACTGATCGCATTTCTTACCTTAATTAGAAGCGAAATGATGGAAAAAAAACAGCTGGATCGATTCGAAAAGAGCGTTATTGTCGGCATTTTCCTTTCGAAAGTAGTATAACACTTTCCCCAAATGTTCATGCGGAGAAAAAATTCTTTCAAAAGAAATAAAAATTGATGAACTATTCCTTACAGGCCACCTCAATACAGGTATATTAAAAATTCAGGTTTATAACATTCCCATGTAAAAAAAAGTACAGGAAAAATTTATGAATTCTTCACTCGTCTCTATCGCAAAAATTATCTTTTATTGAGGAGAAGGAAGAAAAAACACACAAAAAACCAGAAAAATGAAAAATTCCGAACTTTCAGAAATCTTATAAGAAAACATGTACATTTTTCATGCCTGTTTGTCGGAAAACTGGCAAAAAAAAAGTAGGAAAAAACAGCTGGAAACTCGAAAAAAAAAAGCAATCTGCATATTAAAACACTCTTGCAAGAATCTTTACGAACTTAGGGTAATAAAATTCATTTTTCAGGCCCTAAAATCCTGATAAATTCCTAGTTCTATACGTGAATTGTTCAGAAAGTTGAAAATGGAAAGATTTGAGCGATTCCCCGCAAAAAAGCACTCTGGAGACTACAAAATATCTTTTTGTTCTCTTTTTCAATCTCCATTCCCTAGAAAAAATTCATCAATCTTGGAAAAAAGGTGAAAACACGAGAACATTTTGTCCGAAAGAAAGAAGAGCGATCCATCAAATAATAAATTACCCTATTCTCCTGTTTTTCAGTCGAAAAAGGTGCAAAACAGAAGTTATTTACTTGGAATGAATACGAAAAAAAGCCCAACTCGATTTTTTTTTTCGGACAAATATCATCAAATTACACGATTCAAACAGCCCAGAGATCACAGAATCAGCGAAGAATGGACGGAAAAAAACTCTCGAAAAGTCAGAAAAAAAAATATGAACAGAAAATGTAGGGATACGTATGAGTACATCAAAAATTCTTCGGTAAACTTTTTTAGGCAGCTTTTTTCCCTTTTTTTTTGAGGACCCCCAGGAAAACAGCGCTCAAAAACTAGTTATTTCAACTCAAAAGCTCCAAACTTTAAGAAGAAAGAAACAACATTGAATATGCAACTTGAGAAATTTGACCCTGGTTTTTGTAGTTCCAACTGAAAAAATTAAAAAATTGGACAATTTTCAAAAAAAAAATCCATTCGTAGTCTTCAGAAAACTGCAAGAGAAGAATTCCGGGGAAAAAAGTATTGGGAGTAGCTCAGAGTTTCTCAGGAGCAAGGCGGAAAAAAGAGCCCCGTTGAAAAGTATTGACTCTCGGCTTCTCTTTCTGTCCTTTCCGTCCGGGTTCATTTCCTCCAGCCGAGGCAATCCTACGCTTTTTGACACCTCCAGGAATTGCTTCAAATTTAATTCGAAATCCATAATTTTGAAGAAAAAAGGACAAAAAACTTCAAATAAAATAAGTTCTAGCTCACAACAGCTGACTGATGCTTAGAGAGGAGCAGAACTATCAGAGAAAAGGGCTCATTTTTGAGCTAATTTAGACTCACTGCGTGACTAAATGAAAAAAAGATATGGAAGAAACTGATAGGTTTTTTTGAAGATAATGACTATTTCGGTACCGAAAAGCCTCGAAAAAAATATTAGAAGCTTAGAAAAGAAATTTAGAGAAAACTTTTAAACAGCCCGATAGGCTATGATATGGAAGAAATTGATATTTTTTCGGTCCTTTAAGAATTAAAATTTATGATTGCAACAAAAAAAAATGATAAAGGCGATCAAACCAATTTTCCTACGTCTTTAAAAAATCAAAAAAAAAACAAACTTGAAAAAAGTCGTTTAGACGGCCCTGTAAATGATTTTTGAATCTCAAAATAAGAAGTAGCTGCATTCATTTAATTACACATATTATTCTTGTTCATATTAGCAAAAAATGTATTTACCATGGAATTTACAACTAATTCTACAAATGGGCTGATTGAGTAGAGCTCTCTCAAAAAAGAGACCCAATTAGTTGGCACAAAGGATTTTTTTTTAACGGAATGAATGAAAATAAAAGCTTTTTTTTCCGGAAAAGGCATTTCTGCTCTTGGGAATCAGTCCTGACGAGCTTTTCAAAATTAAATAAAGTCCCCAATTTTTTCCAGCAACCAAGAGTAACTTCGAATCTTTCTGAATCCAATAAAATTATAATTAGAAATTTCTCCACCTTTTGAGAATAATTCAAACTTCTCAATTTCCTACGGCCCCTCGTTTTTTTTTTTGCTGTTTTTCATGCACCCAAAGTTTTCTCCAGCCAATAATCTAGCCAATTAAACATATATAACAGCGCATCTTCCTAGTTGAGCCAATTATAAAGAATGAGAGAATAAAGAGAAACGTCATAGTTTCCAAGTGAAAAATGTAATAAATAAATAAAACATTATTTAAGATGGAAAATAGAGAGAAAACCCGGTCTACATTAGGTTGAAAAGCACTATAAAACTGCCCCAAAGCCCTTTTAGGGGGTATCAAAATTCTTCTTTCGACGTTCAAAAAGTTATGCTCTATTTTCAGTTACACGATTTTCATACCAGTTCTCAGAAAAACTTGAAAAACTCCCTTTTTCTTAGTGAACCTTTTTTCAAAAACTAAACGAATTATGAAAATTGACAGTCTCCTATATCGAATAGTGTGAAAAAAACATTTTTTTGGATCGTTTCGAAGAAATGGCTTGCGGTCTCTACTTGCAATAAAAAAATCAGAAATTTTATTAATTCTTACAGAAACCTCAAGGTTTTCGTTTTTTTGGTGGAGTGAGGTGGAAAGACATTCGCCTACAAAAACTAATGGAAAACGAATCGAAAGTTATTTGGTTATAAAAAAGGATGAAATGGAGTAAACGAAGTAGAAATCTAATAAATTATAGGCTCGAAGAGCTTTTTCTCAAATTTAATTTAGGCCTTGCATTCTCAAATTCTCAACAATCAAGTTGTTGTCGTTTTACTAGGCATAGCCTATGATTATTCAAAGAGTTTGAAAACGAAAAAAATGGTTGAGAATTTCTGGCACATGAATGAACTTTATAAAAATCAGCAAAACAAAAATGTCAATGGCAAGTCTAAAAAAAATTTAATATTTCCTATAAAATATATTCTTTATTTTTCGTATATTTCAGCTAGCCAGAAGCTACTTGGCCCAATATAGGCTCTCGAAAAGGTTATAAACCCCATTTTCAATATCTTAACTGGCCAAAGGCGGTCACAAAGCCAAAATATATTAATTTACATGTTCGAGCTGCTTTGCTGGCAAAGGACAAAATTTTCGTTGAATATCCAGGAAAAAGAACCAGGGAAAACAGCCTTGAAACGCAATAAACCAACCTAATTTGAGACAGAAAGCTTACTTTTGAAGTTAGTGCCAAGTCAAAAGTCGGAAAAGTCACTTTTGGACAATACAAATTTCTACAGAAGCCTGGAAGTGAAATAAAAAACCAAGAGAGGACTCAATACTCTACAGAAGGTGTGCGGAACAAGTGAATGGAGGGAAAGTGGGCGAGCCTCGAAAAGCACCGTCATTTGGCCCCGCCTCCGAAGGTGTCTCCAAAGCTGGTTTCCCCCCAGAAAAAGGCGAGAATCGGGTCATCAGCTGGCACAATCTCTTTGAACAAATCGACGAGAAAACGATTCCCCTAGATTATGCTGTTTTTGCAATTAGAAGTAATCCGCCGTGGAGGCCCCGTAAAAAAATGACCATCTTGACTAGGAGAGAAAGATTGCCGGCTCGCGATTGCAGCAGTGAAATCCGATTTTCCTTTTCATCGACGACCTCTGTGACTCGTTTTTTTTCTTCCTTTTCATTTTGCTTCCAATTCAGAGCGCACACCTATTCTTCTGATATCCGTTTTACTCGAGCTATTGAAAAGCCTAAAACTTTTTTTCCAGCTTTCTGGAAGTACTTTGAGTGGGGTCGATGGAAGTTCCAGTGGGACGCTTGAAACCGAAATTTTTTCGAAACTCAGCAGAGCTTTTTCTGCTAACTTCCCAGAAGTTTCTAATTTAAAAAAAGTAATCTCTAAAAAATCTAATGACTTGCTAGACGTTTTTTCAAGTTCTTATAGAAAATGTTTTTACAAAATTTTAAGTTTACATCTTAAAACTAAAAATTTCTATTTATCAGAGAGAACGTAGTTTTTTTAGCGCCTCAATGGTACAAATAAAAAAATATTCTCAGAATTTTTTTCAAAAACGGTCTCACATATTTCCCTCAAAAAAACTATTCCTCAACTTTCTAAACTTAGTGCATTCTCAGTTGCTATCAAACCCTCCCCTACATTTTTTTCTGCAATTTGAGAAATTGAATAACAAAAAAAGCAACTTTTTATAATTTAGAAAGAAAAAAAATCGCCGCACCTTGGTTCAACACGTCGTTTTTCTCAGCTCTTTGGCGGCTCTAAAAAAATTAAATCGAGTGAAATAATTATTTTTGAAATGGAAACTCACAATCTTATGTTTTTTTCAAACGCGTCGGGCACTTGGGAGAGTTCAAACAGCTAAAAAAAAAGGAAAATAAGGAGAATAAAAATATATAATTATACTTCAGACGTAGTTTTTTTCAAGGCGCCGAAAGTGTATAGAAAAAGAGGAGAATCGGATCGTTGCCTAAATTTGGAAAAATTTAATTAGGCGTAAAAATGAGAAATCCAACATTTCCTTGTTATCCACCCGAGTGACCACGAAATCGGCATTGTCTGAAACTTTAATAGGATAAAAAATTCCGTATTCATTTTGAATGGTTAAGTCAATCTACACCTTCATGCTTTGAATGGAAAAACTGAATCGTTGAAAAACCGTCAAACAAATCGAGACAAAAATGAGCAGCTATTTTAAATAAAAGATGAATATATAACAACCTTTTTTTTTCTTTGAATATTTAGAAGTTTTTTTTTTTAAAACTACGACTGTGTAAATACAAAATCCTATGAGGTATTCTCAAATTATCTTTAGACTTCAATTCACTGACTAGTTTTTTTTTCCTAATTTTTTAGGCTCACCTGGCATCGGTTGTATCGGTGAAAACATGACCTCCGGCCTTTCACACCTCCTACAAAGTTAAAATTAACTTCAGAACCTTCGAAATTCTTAAAACTTCGAAAAAACGCGAAAAAGAAAACAGAATCTTCACGACCTGTCTTTCTGTTGGAACTGGGAAATAGGCAAAAATTGTAAAAAGTACTTAGGTGTTAAAAAAAAATATTTTCAAAGAGGTAATGTCAGATAAGTTACAGAAAATTCTCAAAACGTGTATTTTGCACTCTTCTGGCGTCAAAAAAATACGCGAGGAGCTTTTTATCGTTCTTGATTCAGACTATATTTTTTATTCATACCACGCTTTTGTGAATAGACCAAATCTGAAACCTATTAGGAGAAACTGAGAAACTCGGATGGCTCCTTGTGTAGGTCGCGTCAGATGGCGTGTTATAAATCCTGAATAAGTTGTCAAAATCGTCTTTAATGCCATCGAAACCGCTTGAAACGTTCCGGATCTGATGATTGTCCCACGGGCGGCTCATTCGAAACTCGATCTCCATTCACCTTTTCCACTGATTCTTCTACGAATTGAGGTCTGGGCTCAAGAACAACGACTTTTTCTTCTTCGTTTGCCCTGAAAAGCTCATAAAATCAAGTCGCAATATCAAATATCCTACTCGAAAGCGTTAGGCAAAGCTTTGATACAGTCAACTTGGCTTTGCGGGAAATCTTCCCTGAAAAGTTTCAATTTCAAAAGTTTAAGACTTTTTTACGCACGGTTCTTTGGAGAAAGCGTTTTTCTTGTCCTTGAAAGTCACAGAGCCAAGCCTTTCCAATGCTGTAAAATAGGCTTCTGTCGTTTTTGAAGACGTTTTTGAAGGGTTTGAAGTTGACTCATTGACAGCAGTGTTCAGGGGAGACGTAAGAAACGAGCAAGACTTTGAATTCTTGCTTCTGTAAAGTGCAACGGTTTGAAAGAATTTTTCAAATCAAATGACGATGATAAACTTCTTTTTCTTCGGACCATGAAGATTTTCGTTGCTGCCCGACTCTGTAGACTCGTCTTCATCCAGTACTCTTCAAAAGTAAAAAAAAAGCATGCGAATTAATTTTCAGAAACAAACTCCATTTGAACAGAAAATAGGGGGGCATCAACTTGAATCTCATCGCGAGTCATCAGAAAAACTTCCTCATTTTCATTCATTTCAACAGAAATTTTCTGACTCGTGCTGTGGTTCGTCAGAATCTAAATTATTTAATCACCAAAAATATTGGGGGAAAAAGAAAAGTTTTTGGCATGTCGAAGGGATAAAATAATTCGGAAGCTCATAATGTTCAGAAAGTAAGTTTATGAACTATTTCAAGTATTTTTCCGTCATTTTCCTGGATCTACACTGGGGCTTGTCTTCACTTTTCAACTTTGAAAGAGGCTCAATAATAACTTGACGTTAAAGCTTATAAATTTCCTCTTCGAGTTCTGAAATCCTCTTTTTTGAAAAGATTCTTTTTCTTTCACCTTTCCATTAAATTTCGACACGATCATACCAGATTTTTCCAAGAAATATTTTCATTATTGTCACTAGACTTGTTTTACCTGAAAAAGACTCGATCTGAAAGCTTCGAGGGCGTCGAGTCGCATAGTTCCGATAGTTATATGCCGAACAACTTTTAATATCATTTTCGGACACGCATCAACTTCAATCAACCTAAAAGGGAAATTTTCAAACCTAATACATTGTTTTTTTATAACCATCTCAAGGCCAAATTAATAAGGTCGACTTTGGAAGCCGTCGGGAGTTCCACACAAACCAGCAGGCAGATAGCCGGTGAGGAAAGCGAAAGAAGACCTTCCAGGGAAATTTCTTCGTGGGATCCGTGGAATTTTCCGACAACTGATATCAAAGTCTCACGTGAAACACTTGGTAGGATTAGCTCCGTCACGCAAACTTTGCTCTAAAGAAGAAAAAGCTTCTTTTATGGTTTTAATATCATCATCTTTTCGCTTTTCAGGGTTAACAGTATACTGCTCAGAACTGTAACCTGTGATGTTTGAATATTCCGAGAACATAGAAAGAAACTTAGAAACTAAAGGTATTGATGACGTTTCTGATAGTCGCTACCTGCGCAGATGTTAATTTTCAAGATTTGTTTAAATACCGTTTTTAGCACAATTCGACCTCGAATCAATCTTTTTAGACTTCAAAAATGCCATCTCGAAAGCGTAAAGTTCGTACAAACCTATCCAAAATCTTTAGCTGAATTTCCTTCGAAAAATCCTAACAAATGAAGTTTTATTGCCATTTTTTTAATATTTTTTTAAAACTTATAATTTCTCATCTATTTATTTTTATTAAATCAAACTTTGCATTCATTTTTTTCAAATAACCTTTCTCAAATTTCTCCCAAGAATGTTGAGCGCAAACTGTTGTTCGCCATGATTTGCTAATTTTTCGACCTCCGCCTCCAGTTGAGCTTGAAGAAATGGCACCTCAAAACCTCTATTTTTTCTTCTTTGTTTTAATTCTGAACAAACTTCTAAAAAATGAGAGATCTTGAGGAATTCGTGAAGATAATCAATTGAAAATTCTGCCTGAAATTTAGAAGAGTACTAGTAAATTTCGATCAGCCTCTACCTTTCCGAAATAAATCCACTCGATGACCGTACGAACAGATTTTGGATGGAATTGTCGTAATTTAAGAGAAGGATACGGTGTTTTGTACGTTTTTTTGTGCTAAAATTTTCGAGCTTCGTCAAAATCTCAGCGAGAAACCTGTAATATTTTCGAAGAATATGCGCTCAAAATGACAGAATGAACGATTTCGAAGCCATTTTTCAGCTCTATTCGTAAGTCGCCAGGTCTGAAATGGGTATTCGATTATTTTTCATTTTTCGCGCTAGCCTGGCGTCGTATGGACGATTTTGGGGTGCTAAATATTCGGCTACTCGAGTCCAGTGTTTTCCGCCTTCTTTTGTCACAGTGTCTCTAAAAAAAATACTCGTTCCCATGCACTTTAACTTTTTTTTATTTCGAAGCTCACAATTTTGAAGCAGCTACAATACCAAGATGTCTTGACGGTGGCTGACTCGAACTGTTTACCATAATATTCTTGAGAAATCTGGGATAAAAATTTTCACACTATCTCTCCATAAATTAACCTCTGGCGCCGGCGGGGCGACAGTGTTGAAATGTCATTCGTCACGTTCACTCACGATTTTAGACGCACAATCTTTGAAAAATTATTTGTTTACGTAATTTAAAAATATATGAATAGGTGAACACCAAGAAGTGTGAATAGTTCGAAAAATTGAAGCTGCCAAGAGAAAAAAATAATAATATTATCATTTTAAAACTGCAATGATTTAAAAATTTTAAAAAAACCGAAAATGAACCTTCAAAAACTTTTTCGCGTTTTCATCGAACAAAATGAAATTTGTTTCGATACGCAAAAACCTGCTCTAAAACTAGAATTAGTACTGTTTCGAAGCAAACTGGAGGCGCCGATGACCACTCTTTAAAAAACGATTTGAAAAATGTTGTTTTTCTCCGATCAACACCTCGGACATGGGGCGCCTAAAGATCGCAAAACTTTTACACTATTTTGTCGGTTACTCACAGCTGGATAATGACGGAAATCCGCGGAATAATGTGGATCCGCGAAAGAGTTTCTTGGCGTGTTCAGAAACGGAACATGCTTCAAATTTGAAAAAAAAACGAAAAATCGTGTTCATCGGCGCGCCGAAATGGCTTCAAAACAATACTAATTTTTGTTTTGGAGAAATTTTTTTTGCATTTCGAAGCAATTTTCGTTTCGTTCGATGAGCATGCCATCAAAATTTCCGTGTGAAAGTTTTGGTTGTTTGCTCCAGCGAACTTGCCGTTCACCCCTTGAGGGCGAAAGATTTTCAAATTTCATTTCCCCACCTTTTTTCTCTTTTTTTTGCCTTTCGAGTTGCTTCCTTCTTGTTTTGCCAGATAAAAACCTCAGCTACAATCTCGAATCATCCATCGGATATCAAAAATTCTCTTATTTCGAGTTTTTTTTACTGTTTCCAGGGAACCGAACTCTTTTTTTTTGCAGAAAAAGTTTTTATCAAGATTGCTGAAGGGAAGCTGATTTTCCTTAAAAGTAATAAACATTTTCTCCATTTCATTTTTCAAATTTCCACAGTTCCTTCAATATAATTACCACGGTTTCCCATTGGATTCTATTTTCTTTTTCTTAGAGTGAGACTAGGCCTTGGGTAATTTCACACCAAGAAATCCCAAGACTGATCGAATTTAAACTTTTTTTTTCAAGTCTTTTTTATTCATTCCTAGTATCTTGAACGATGCATCGCTTATCAGCGACGTTCGCACATTGCACTCTTTTAACAGCCGTTTCTTCCAATAGTCCAACTGATCGAGACTTACAACCAACTGTTCACGACGTGCTTTCAGAACAAAAGCGATCAATGACGAGGCGATTGCTCATACTTGAAGAAAGAGGGGAGGGAAATCGATGACACGGTTCAGTGGCGAGGTATTCAGCCCAATTTTCCAAGAATTCGGTTTCCTGTTTATTTTTATCAAGTTTGAGTTCCATTTATAATGCCGTGTTCAATTTGATTACGCGAAATGCAAAATACCCGTTAGAGAAAGAAAAAGATCACTAAATTTTGGAGAGTCAGAGATCATTTTGCGTTTCGCGGAATCAAATTGAACACAGCATAATTCTGTTTTCTTCTCTCTCTGTCTCTCTCGAAAAAAAAATAGCTCTTGTTCAGACTTCTACTAGCAGCTCTTTTTCACTATTAATCTGATTTTCGGTTCAAAAAAATTCTGTCATACTTTTTAAGAGGCGCAAAAAAATATTCAATGAAAATAACACTGGAAAGGAGCTTCACGCTTCGATTTTTTTAAAATAAGTCTGTTATTTATTTCTTAAAAAAATCCCAAGGAAATTTGTGAACAAATTATAACAATTTTTTTCAATTGTAAGAAAAAAACGAAGCATTCATTAAAATCAAAATTTTTGTGATAATTCGCTAAAAAAAAATTTTTTTGTTTGGAAATATTTCTGTTGTTTTTTTGAACGACGTTGTCGCGTTTTTTTCACTCTTTCACGAAATATTTTTTTCACTTTCATAGAACCGAATCTAAAGACTCAATTTTCCAATTGTTAACCCTGAATTCCAGAATATTTTCGTACCTCTTCACATGTTATTAATCATGAGTTATAACCCCCTAATCTAATAACTTTTTCAGAAATGTGCAAGCGGGTTAATGATGAAGTAACATTTTTCTCATAGTTGATAACCTTTTTCTCATTTGTTTTAATTTTTTTTTTTCGAGGCCTTGTTTCATTAAAAACATGTCTTTTCGTGACGTTCGGAAAACGTTCGGCTTCATATGTTTCATTGAAATAACTATGCTCTTTCAAATTCCCCAATAAAGATTTTTAGAGCCTCAAAGTCGACATAAAACTTCATTTCCTTTTTCAGAAGTTTCACCTGTTCGTCCTCCTCGTTGTGTAAATGAAACAAAGCTGCTAATCGATTTTTTTCATATTTTTTTAAAAAGCGATTTTTGATGTTTTTATTGTGAATGAACTTTATAATTTTTTTGGAATTTTTGTTATTAAACATGTGTTTTTCCATTTTTCTAACTCCACATTTTTCGTTAAATTTGAGATTCATTGAAAGTATACCATTTCTGTGATGCAATAAATAATTTCACTGCTCTGTTTTATTTGGAATTTGGAAGAATCAAAATGGTTTTCTCAAATCTCTAAATACTTCTGAATAACTTTTTTTTTCAAGAGCATGCTCGTCATATTTTTTTTCTATGTGAATTCATGAAATATGCTTATTAATGTGTATGCTTTTTGTATCTTCGTTGGCAATGAAGACGTATTTGTGGCCACCGGCCGAAATCCGGTTTGTCGACAATATCAATGTGGAATGGACGGAGCACGACGTTGCTTCTGTGATGTTCTCAATTATGAAATTGCTTGATGTTAGTTCCGCGTAGAAGCTTAATTGATTGGAAATTGCATTGAGAAAGTTTTCAGATCGAATGGCAACCTCCTTGTAATCAACTTTTGGAACGTCATATCGATGATAAATCCGCACTAAATTTGTTCAACCACCTTGGCAAAAATATATCTGTTTTTTGCAGTTGGTTTTATTATTCATTAGAGTTGTTGAAAAATCGTATTTTTTATAGTTTCGGATTATTACATCCCTAGTTAAGTGCGCTCTATCGATAAAGAAAGTTTTTTTTAAATAAAATTTCGGACATTCGCAATGCAAAAACGGACTAGCTCCGGACGTTTCTGTGCATTTCTAGTATCACTTAAGAGCGCTGACGCTACTAAAGCGGTCACTAGAAATGCCCAGAAACGTCTGTTTCGCGTTGCCATTGTCCGAGTATGTAAAATTCAATATTTTTTCTAATATTCAGTTTTTTCATTCAAAGCCATTTTCTGTAGTTTATAAAGGAGCAGTGGACCGATCACATAATGTCTTGAAAAGAAATGCGACGTTGTTTTGATTGTGAATAGTTTCTGCTCCTTCATAAAGTCGAGGAAGCTGTTTTGATTTCACAATTGTTATGGAAACGTTGTTTTCAAAGGCCATATTGACATTTACAAAGTAACTTCCTCGTAAAATTACTTCTGCCTTCCCAGAATGTAGTTATCTTTTTCTCTCTGTGACGGCCATTTTTGATCACTTTTAACCCGGAAATAGGCGTAAAAACTTTTTTTTGTTTCTTTGAAAAATCTTCCCAAAACATAGGTAAAACGGAAAAGTTCCTTTGAGGATCCTCAAAGGATCCTGAGAGGGAGATAAAAAGCTTCCTCCAAAAGCTCCTAAAATGATGTAAAAAAGCTTTTGAGCACCTTTTTCATAGCCTCAGAGGATCCTTTTTGAATCCTCTCGAATCTTTTTAGTTGCTTTCCAGCATCCTTTTTGTTAGAGGATGTGAAAAAGATGCAAAAAAGAAGTGAAACGATATAAAAAAGATCTGCTGGGGACCCTTTCAAGGTCTTTTTTTGAGAAAAGCTTTTGGGGAGCTTTTCAGTTTTGCCCGAGAAGTTTATTTTTTGCACTTTTTTTGCTCGTATGTTTTGAGCCCCTATTCAATTACATCACATGCTCCTGGTAGAAATTCGCACAAGTTTCTTTTTTTTTAGAGCGCTATTTACTTCTTTTTTTCCCAAAAGAAAAGAGTTGTGAAAAAAATGATAGTTTTTCAAAAGTCTTTTTTAGTTAGAGCTTTGTTCTAATCTTTTATGTTCATTGAAAAAAGCTTACGATTTTTTGAAGTTACTGGACATTGTAACTAAGAAAAACTGTAACAACACTCCACGAATAACATAGGTTTCATGTAACGGTCCTTCATTTTTAATTGATGAAATTTTAGAATCTCTGCGCCTTTAAACATCCCGAAAATCTGGCGAAAATAGGCTTTAAAAACGCATTTTTCTTCCAGCCTGGTTGAACTTCAATGATATAAAGTACATGGCTCTTCAAATGAATACAGACAAATGGAGTTTCATAACAACGTCATGGCAGGAGATTAAGCGGCACCAACCGGAGGGCTGTCCTCATACTTGGAACGCTCTTTTCGAAGTCAATAACAATTTTCTATTCATTTAAAGCTCGAACTTTTCAGAACTGCACCCCGATTTTGATGACCAGAAAAGGGCAGTTTCTAAAGTATTCAAAATTGCGCGAAAAGGTTTACGGGACCGTCGATAAGGTCGACATGACTTTCAAGGAACTTTTAGCCAAATATAGGCGTCCCGAAATAAGTGTGAGTGAAAAAAAAACGAATATTGAAATGGAAAATTATTTTTTGCAGATAGAGATTTACAAAAAGGTGTGCGAGTGGTCCGATCTCAAGATCCACACGATGGAGAAGAAATATTTTTTTGTGGAGAAAAAACAGTTCTGTGACGTTTTGGGGGACGGCGTCGCCGACATGCCCGACGACTATGCGAAGAACCTCGCCGAGTTCCTTTTGAACCACGGCGACAAGTATTTGCCGCTGTCTTTCGCCGGAAATATGCTTTTTTACGTGAACAACGAGATCGGAAGGGTTTGTTTTGCCTTGTAATGCAAATTAGGTATAGAATTCGACAATTTACTTCGAGTCTGATATTTTTTTCTTACTTTTCAAAAAATTTACACTGTTCGAGAAAATCAGTTGAAAGAGAAATAAAAAGCGCTACCTACTGATTTATACTTTTCTGAAAATTTCTCAATAACTTCCGTTTTGAAGCTAATCTCAGGTTTTTGGACTTGAATTCTAGAAAAACCTTTTTATTTACGAAACCAATTTTTTTCTAGAATGAACGGTGTAATTTGATCTTTGAATAAGATAACATTTTTCCTGTTATTCTCGTAAGCTTTAATCAACATAATTTCAACGAATCATCAAAACAAGTCTAATTGTTATGCCCTCGTGCAAAAACAATATAATTTAACTATGATGCTTCATCATCTATCCTTCTAAAAATAGAATTTCAGTCGGCGGACTTCGATTTCTACCTGAAAGAATGTGAGACACGCGAATCCCTTGTGGAAAAGATAGAAAAGAGCCGACGTTACTGTATCAAAAAGCCGTTGATAACGAAGCTTCTGGACGATTTCGAGTACTGCAGACCGTATAAATACGTTCTTCCGCGAATCCGCTGCGACGACTTCGAAGACAGAATTGCCGAATATATTGGTCCGTTTTTTATAGAAATTGAGCCGTTTTAACTTTCATTGAAGGTGGTGAATCCAACTGTCTTTGTGATGATAAGCTTTGTGGGTGAGTTTCAGGAAACTCAAAACTTTCCCCAATTTCCCCAACTTTCAGATGCAGTTGCGATGAAGAGGAAACGAAGAAGAAAAAGAAAAAAGGGGGCAAGAAAAAGGGCAAAAAGGGAAATGTTTATAAGGATAAGTTACAGGCTCCGATTATAAAGTTTCTTGGAATTTTTTTCAAAAAATGAAGGATTTTTTCAGTGGACCTTCTGTTAATACTCAGCCGGAAAATCGAGGCTCTGATCAACTTGGGTGAGTTTTTTTGTGTCATGAGAAAAGAAATTGCAAATTGCGCAGGCTGCTATTTTTTTGGATCGGCTGCAGATTTTAATTTTCGTTTCAAATTTTCTTATTGAAGTTTCTATGAAATGAATCTTTGGGGTTGATTTCTGATGGAAATTCCCAACATAGACCTGGTTTTTTTGAGTTTTTTTATGATTGATCTTCATAAACAAAACTTTTTTTGATGATTTCCATAAAGATGAACTTCTATTTCATCAGTTTCAGTCCGAAATTCGCTTCTAATTTCTCCATGAAAATCAAGTTTATGGTTGTATTTTCGCTTTCATTTTTTTAGGCAAGAAAATGTGTAGAGCTTTTCATCAATATTTTTCTACTTCGCAAAAACATTTCAGCCTCATGAAGCCTGGGAAGCCTAGTCAACCGACCAAACTACGGAAAGAACAGGAAGAAAAGGAGATAATTGTGAAAGAGGAGCCCATTTTGACCAAAAAATGCTCCCTTTGCTTTGTCGTTGATCGTCTTGACGTTGGATTCGAACAGGTTTTTCAAGAAAGAGAGGAAAAATCTACTTTTCCAATAATTAGGTCTGCTGCCACGCGAGCCCGCCCTGTATCCTCGTTGTCCATAAAAAATGTATGATGAAGGCGATGGCGGATCAGGGCCACCTGAAAAAGAGAGATTACAAGGTGAATCGGGAGTAAAGACCATTATTCAGGTGTTTATTCAAGGTAATGGTTAGGTTTTGGCTCGATTTTTGAAGTACTTTCAAATATTTATTGACAAAAGCTGTTCAGAAAACTTCTTTCAATCCTTATATGTATAAATATAATAGATTCTGAATTTCTCGACATTTTGCAAACTTTGTTTTCGGTTTTCCGTACAAGTAGAACTAAACAAAAAACGTTTTCCTCTACAAAATTGAAATCTAGGAGGCCAACTGCCCTACAGACGGCTGTGGAGCTCCACTCGACAACTTTTTCGACTTGCACTCGGATGGAACCGAAGGAAAGGTAAAATCATCATTTTTAAACAAAAAATTATTCAAAAGTTTTCAGCCTTTATTCTGCAATTTAACCTTTGCGAAGGAAAAAGAGGCGCGAGCGGCTGAAGCGGAGAAAAAGCGGCTGGAAAGTTTGGCGAAGAAAAAGCCGAAAATTAAGAAAGTTCAAGTCCATAATCCGCGAGGTTTACTAAAGAAAAAAAACTGGAAAACTGTGATTTTCAAGAAAATTCGAGCGTTTCAACTGTCGAAGTTCTCGATGAATCTCTGAGGATTGAAGAAAAAGAACCGGCGAAGGAAGCTCCGATAGTGCCGCCTACGGTTCGAAGATAACTCAGGAAATATGAGAGTAGTCACTTGAGTAATGTGTGTTTGGAGTGATGTCACTGTGTCATCAAAATTATTAAAAACAATTTTAGAACGGACAAAGTATTTTTTCTCATCTTCTGGTTGAAAAATTGCTAAAAAAAAAGACTGCATCACAGTTTAGCAAAATGTTTTTTTAAGTTCTGATGCTTGCAAGTTTTCCAATCTCTCTTGAGTGACAACTATAGATTTCCTTCCCGAACGCGAATTATTGATTAATTAACTCAACGTTCAGCCCATTAAAATCGCGCCGGAAAACGTGATAACGAATCCTGATGAAGAAGGCATCACGACAGTCAGATTGGAAAGAAAAGTTGACGTCGCCGTGGCCAAATACGACGCCGGAAAGAATAGGAAGAAGTTCAAGGGGAAAAGGGAACGGAATCATGAGGTCTTCAGTTTTTAAACTTGTATATTTAGAAATTTTCTTTTTATTATTATGAGAAGTCCTATTTGTGAAAAATCTTCAAAAAAAAATCTAAAAGAACATAATCACTGAACTGAGTGAATTTTTTGTGTTAAAGGAAGCCGATCCGGAACTATCGCAACTCCTGAACTTTTCCACGGGCCGTAGGGAAAGAGTGGAGAGTGTCAGCTCGGAAATTTTCGTTTCTTTGGTTTGAAACTCAAAAATTGATTATTTCTGGGGTCATTTCCAGATGGATTCCACTCCGAATCAAACGACGACTTCTGGAAATGAATACGACTTGGAAAGAGAAGCGATCATGATGATGGATGACGCGAGGGAGGAAATCGGCGCCGTTCAGGACCAGCAGTCAGGACTTTTCAATAGAAAATAGTGAAGAAAAAATCTTGGATTTCTAATTCTAGGTAGAGAGATCTTTTAGGGTCATGCAAGAATTTAATGAATAATTGAAGAATTATGAGTGAACCGAACTAAACTTTCCATTCAAAATACCTATGTCAAACGTTTGATTTTTCAGAACTTATGCTTCTGAATTCCATTTTTTTTATATTTTCATTTGAAAATTATTGGAGAAAACAAGAGAATTCAGTGAACTTCAAGTTTTTCATTCAGACTCATTGAAATGTTCAACGACGAAAATCTGGCCGATTCCCTGGCCCAGCAACTTTCTTTTGATGAATACCCCAAAATGAGGGTGACTAAGAAGAAACATGGGACTTCAAATATATGATCTCATTTCAGAACAACGGAATATTTGATGGGGAAGTCGATAAGCTCTGCGAGATCAAGGAAAGCGTTGACCAACTCGCCGAGAAATTGGAGCCCTTTTTAGAGTTTTTCGATCGAAATTGACACCAATTTTTCATGCTTTTTCAGAGAAGTCGCTCTGAACTCCTCGGATGGTATCCGACCTCTTGAAGAGTTTTTCGAAGTCGCTTCGTATTTTGTGAACGATTTGTGGGAATCTTACGCCGATATCATCGATATGGTCATTTTCATGTGTATAGTCCATTCCGCGCCAGCTTGTCACGACTTTCGTTTCCTTCCGAGCAAGAGAATCATTCGGTTCGAAGCGCGCGAAATGTTACCATAACTGAGTTTTTTATTCGGCCTGAAGTTTCCGTCATGTTCAAGGCGCAATCAGATATAAATATCACGCGCATAGAAAGTAAGGGCTCTGTAGATCAGAGGAAAACAAAAATCGTGACAAGCCGGCGCGGAATGGGCTATACATATTGTTGAAAATTCTATTTTTCTAAGTAAATTATCTTCTAAAAAGTCGTATAAGTATTTGTACCGCGGAAGAAATGGAAAAGTTTGTTCTTGCAATTTGTGTGAATTTTATTTTCCTTGACAGTTTTTGAAATTTTGATGCTTGACGATATTCACAAAAGAAAGGGATATATCGAAATTCAGTTACCCCAAAAACTTGAAAATCTCATTCAGAAAGTCATCGTCAAAAAATTATTAAATCTGCTGACTTTTTGAAGTGATATTGTTGACGCAATCGCCAAACTCAATTGTATTTATTTCATTTTTCGAACTGTAAGCTCATCTTTTTTTCCAATTGAATTTTTTTTATTTTTGTCATTATTTTTCAACTCTAAAAAAATTCAAAGCTGTGTATAAACATTTTTTTCATTTTTCAGCTAAAAAAATCGGCGACGAGACTCATTTGCTCCGTTTCGCCAATCTTGAACCCATCAAGAAACGTTTCAAGTTTCAGATAAGGACGGAGTGTCGATATTATAAAAAAAAGTAAAGGAATAAGACGCATTAATACTACATTAAAAAAACTGATTTTTGAGGTCGCCGAAGGAAAAACAAACAAAATTTTGGTTCTGACAGATCCCTCGGACATTTCCACATCAAGCTCAGAATCCATTGAGAGTCAACAGTTAAAAAAATTGGTGATGAAAAGTATTTTTAATTGATTTTGAAGGGCTTCTGTGAGAGTTGGTGTGCAGACGGAGGAAAGTTTCCCGAGTGACAGGTTTTTTTTTTTGACTTGTCAAAGTTTTGAGAACTCCAGGAAATTAAGCAAGGCAGAGCACCCTGATTTCAACAAAAAAAAAACGGTTTTCCACGCTTTTTTGGATTAATCTCAAGGTGCTCTGGAGTTGCCAATTTTCATCAAATTCTCAAGTTCTCGTATTGCTTTTTTAAGTTGATCGAACTGTGATTTTTTTCAGACTACCTATCGAAAACGCGGGTTTTACGAATGCCCACAGCTTGAAAAATGCGGTTATCGCCAATTTGGAAAGAGAACAGAAGCTGCTCGAAGAATTACATGAGAAAAAGTTTGTATGGTTTTCCTACTGATATTTTGAGGCGAAAATTACGCATCAGGTCTTTTGAAGCGTGTTTTTTTAAAATTTTTTTAAATTTTGAAGGCTTTTTGGCTATTAAAAATTGAGACTCCTTATGAATATGCAATTGTGGAGAGACATGAAAAAAACTCTATAAGTTGGTTTTTATTCCCAATTCAAAGTTTAATTTTTTTTTTTGTTCTGATAATGCCCTCAGAAAAAAAATTGAGCGAAATCTAAAAAAAAAATGCTGAAAATTCTTCATTCTACTAATTCTTTCTGATTTTCAGAGTTAATGAAATGGAAAAACAAATAGAAGATTTGAACGCTGACATTTCCAAAAGGGATATAGAAATACAAAGACTCGCCGAAGTGTGTTCCCAGCGAAAAGATGAGCTCATCAAAGAAAAAGCTTTGATGAAAATTAAGTGAGTTTTTTTTAATGTCTTGAGTCTAAGTTCAGATCACCTTTCTTCAGCAGATCACTAGAATAAAAGTTAATTTCAGAGAGGAGTCCGACAGTGAACGAGAAAAATCACTCAACGGTTTGATCCGGGAAAGAGACTCGACGATCGCTCAAATGACCGAGAAAGAGGGCCACTTAAGAAAATTGGCGATTAATTAGTGAGTTTTCAATGCTGCGTGTGGAACGGCTTGAAGCGTCCGACTAGAAACGACTTGTCTCTTATCCAAAGTGTTTGAAAATTTTGTTCAAGCCGCTCTGAGTCTTTCTTGGAACTGCGATCGAATTCCAGGACAAGCCCTATGGATTTTTTTTTTCAGCAGTGACAGGTTCAAAAAGTTAGAAGAATCGACGGCAGCGAAAGATTCAGAGATGGAGACGCTCAAAAAACGTTGTGAGGAGCTGGAGGAACAGTTGAACAAACAGTCTGAGGAAGACAGAAGATGACCAATTGAATTTTCGAATTTCAGGTCAAGAGAATTAGAAGAAAAAGCCGTTGAAGTCAAAAAACCAGCGGAAAGTTCAAAGGATGACGGCTTGAGACGGGCCGAGGAAATCGCTAAAATTGCCGATTCTTCTCTCACCAGCATTTTCGCCATTTTGCCTATGTAGGGATTTATTTTCGAAAGAAAAGCGGAAATCGATAGAGTTGAAGAAAAAAGATTTCCAAATTTTTTTTGACGTTTCCAAATTCAAGAATTCATTCATATGACTTTAGCGACATCGGGATCTTATAGAAAACACCTTATTTTAGTGTTCAGAACAAAAAAGCCCCTTTAGTGAGGACTTGAAGGCTATTTACATGACGTAGACGTTTCTCGTAGTTTAAGATATTTCAGGTTCACCAGCGCCAATAAGATGCAGGAAGTCGGTGTGAAACTGGAATCAGTTCTGAACGAGCTTTTGCAAATCGGCGAACTCGCCAAGGAAACTCTTTGTCCTTCTGACGTCGAACCCGTGGAAGTCAAACCTAAAGAAGTTTATTTCGTTTTTCTCAACAAATCCGTAAAATTTCAATTAAATTCAGGAAGAGTGGATTTTGAAACAGCCAAGGAAGCGTAATCCTTCAGTTTCTGTTGTGGTTGAAGGTCGGCATGTCTTTTAAATCAGTTTTCAAGTTAATTTCTCTTCAGAAGAGCTACCGAAAGTTGAAAAAGCCGAAGAAATCCCTGAGGCGCCTGTCGCTGTTGAATCGAATCCAGTTGAAGAACCCAAACTATCGGCGAAAGTTTCACCACGTTTCAAAGTTGGCAAATTGATCCAAATTGGAACTTATTTTGAATTTTCAGCTCTTCGAAGCGTCGCAAAACGCCTTGAATATCGCTAGCGATGCTATCCGCAAGTTGGATGTCATAATTGAAAAGTTTGTATAAATTAGTTCATCATTAGAGGTTCAATGAAAAAGTTAGATTGAAAAATGTCATTTTTCGAAGCTTTTCTTAGCCGTAATCTTTTATTAGCGAAAAGAATAAATTTTTACTCCTGCCAAATTTTTTTAAATGATGGATTACTTCTCATCTTTCTTCATTCATTTTTTTCATTGAATCTTGATAAAGAATATTTTTGAAATTTCAGACTCGAATCACACAACGGGAGCACAATGAAGGATGTCCGAACTCGCCTTCAAACTTTCAGAAAATACATCATAATTTTTGGAAATGTTGCCGACGATAACATTCGTGCATACGCTGTAAGCTTCTAGAAATCCGATTTTCAATTTTAATCATTTTTTCTTTGAGGAAAATCGGAAAATGCAGCCCTTGGCAATGTTCCCGAAGATGGGATGCGCCGATATGACTCTTGTCGAGTTTTTCTTCAAACACAGCTATCAGAATGGCCAGCAGATGGTAGAAGTCGCGCATATGGCCAATTTGGGTGCGTTACATGAACTTGAAGGCGTATGGGGAGCCTAAGCTTTGATGTTCTTCGCTTGAAAAAATTCTTAAAAACCCTCTTGCGTCTACAAAGTTTTTTTTTTTCCAGCAGAAAACCCTTTTATGTTTCGCTGTGTACCTCTAATTACACCTGTGAGTTTGACTAGTCTTGCCCATTGCAAGGCCATAGGCCATAGGCACTTAGAGTGACCACAATTTCGCTAAATCGCTCGAAGGAGTAGGGTGGAGCCCCAAAAATAGTTGTGGACTCAATCCTGCGCCTCTTAATTATTCAAGCGATGTATCAACTTCAAAAGATTCCGGTTTTTCAGATTCTCTGGAGAGACCTCTACCGAATTCAACACCACCCACTTCCTATATTCCCGTTGAAGATCCACAGGCACTTTCGAAGTTCTTTAAAAAAAAAAAATAAACATTCAGATCAATCAAAATCTGTTGTCTCGAGCAAAAATCACCGCTGCTGTTGCTTCGAAATCGGTTCAGAACTTGGATTTGATTCTGGCGAAGTGAGAATTAGACAGAGAGAATAATAACTGCAATATTTTTCAAGGCTTGCCCCGTGGAATGGCAAGGAGATCGATGAGGTGAAAAAACGGCTGGAACGGATGAAAGAAGAAATTTTTGTTGTAGTCAATACTGCGAAAGAAAATGAGAGTTTGATCGGGCAGGTAAAATGTGGATTTGACTTAATTTCGTATTCCTTACAAAGATTTTGAGTATATAGAATGGATAAATAAGAAACTGATCACGTGGAAGATTAGACCAGTGGCTCAAGCACAGGCGAATCGGGAAGGTACCATAATGTGTCCACAAAGGTACCTATCAAAATGGATCTTGAAGACCCCATAATATGTTCACCTCCAGCATACCTTTAGCTATACCTGAACCATCTAGACGGCACTTCAGAGATCTCATTTTACTCAAATTCATCAGAGGTATCCTCGTGGTACCATCGTGAGAATTCAGCCCCTGCGATTTACCTCAGAGGTTCTCGCGATACCCTTCCTCGATTCGCCTACGGTAAGATGGTGATGAAGAGAGGTGATGACTTCCGGGTAGCCACGAGTCGAATGAGTTTGGGAGGGCGCGGTCACTTGATTGTCCAAGCTTTCTTACGATCTGTGGAATCAGACCTTTATATAGTGGTCTAATCCTCCACGTGATCATTTTCTTATTATTTCCACGTACAGAGAAATTAATGTCTTTTTAAAAACTTTTGCATATGGCCCTGCGGAACAGTAATTTTCTTTTTTTTATGCCAGTTTTAGGGAAACCAGAATTTGAAACCGATTCCGAAATTCCCTACAATGAGCCTGTTCGACATGGCTTTGATTGAATATTACATCCAAGGTAATATACCCAAATCAGCGATGAATCGTGAATTGAGCAATGTTCAGGTCCCAAAGAAAGTCACAAGGAAAGTGCGGGCTGGAAGTTTTCCGAATCTCGAAAACCCACGGTTCGATTCTACAAATACTTTGGAAAATTTTCAATAATTTCAGGAAGCCAATAACATTGGCGAGGAGTGCGCGATTTGTTACGAAGTTTTGAACACTGAAGATCGACTTTTCCAGTGTGACCACTGTACAAAGTATACTCACCATGAGGTCTGGGTATCATTGAATTGTGTTTTAAAAAAGGATTCAATCTTTTTTTACCTGTTCAGTTTCTTGTCGAAGATATATGTGAAGAATAACACTATTTGAGGCTGCAGTATGTTTTGTTTGACTTCGAAAAATAGAAATCTTGAGTGATTTGAAAAGCTGTTCAGCCAAAGTTCTTTTTAGAAATTTCATTTAGGACCTTTAATGTTATAAAAATGGTCCAAAATGATTTTCAGTGCCTCGTGGATTGGTTCAAAACGTGCCAGTCTTGCATTTACTGCCGGGGACACCTCAAAGATCCCGACGAGTTCCCCGATCTTTCCTAAGATCGAAAATCAATTTCTGACCTTTTTCATTAATTTGTGTACGTTTTCTGTTGTTCAAATTTTTTTATTATTCTTCACTTTCGCTTCCGCAAAATTTAGTTAACTTTATCGCTTTTTTTGTTGTTAATTTAAAATTTACTGTTAACTTACGATCTGTGACAATCTTTTTTTCTCATAATCAAGATTTTAGTACTTTTCAACTTTTACGTTTTACAACATTATCACAGAAAAAAATCTCAAAGAAATATCAAAAAAAAAAATGTGTAATCCAAGATGATCAAAAAACAAAGTTGATAAAAACGCGTATTTTTGAATTTTTTTTTTGTTTTTCTAAATTCGTTGAGTTATTTAATAACAGAAGCTCTTTTAGCAGATCTCTATTCCTTTTTTTTAATTTTTACGAATTTTCCCTACCTTTGTAAGAATATCATTATTGTTCGTGTTCCCCGTGAGTTTGCCTCAATTCGTTTTGCGAAAATGAGAATGAATTTATTTTTGTAGCAGTTTTTTTAAATGAGCAAGTTAAAGGATGCAAATTTTTATATACTAAGTCTTGTCATTTCCTGTAGACATCTCTGTCTTTTTCTGAGAATTTCTCCAAGAGCTTCGAATTTCTCGAGAATTTCGGGATTATCTGTCTTCACGGTCGAAATCAGCTGGTCCAGAGCTTTCAGAAAGCGCTTCATCTGTTTTTTAGCTTTTTCTGAAACGAAACTGATCAAAATTCAAACTTTTGCAAGAAAAAAAGATTGAATTTCAAAAAAAAAAGCTTTTTTCTTATTTGAAAAAATTCAGATGGAAGGTTTTTTTCTTATCTGAATTAACCTGGTTCCATCGTCTTGAGTCGGTTCATGATAATCTCAATCGTTTCCGCGTATTCGTTTGCTTCCTGGTGAATCCAAAAAAAAATTTTTGAAGAAAAAAATTGATAACCTCTGTGATTGACTTTTTGCGAGTTTCTGCATGAGGCACGATTTTTTCTGCAGAAATAAATGGATTTACAAAGTGCGCTCCATAGTACAAGCGTAAAAAGGACGCGCTCCAGACGTTTATGGGAAATTGTAGGGATCGCTTAAGAATGCTGACGCTACTAAAGTGGTCACTTGAAATGCCCAGAAACGCCCGGAGCACGTCCGTTTCGCGTTACCAATGTCCGAAGAAAAAACAACTTATTTTTTATTCATACTATATATTCGAACGAAAAAATCAAAGAACAACGATATCACGTACGGTTTCTCAAACTGCTAAAAAGGTGAAATAAACAGGTCTCAACATGAAGTTTTTCACCATACGTATACGGTTTTTGGCAATGAAAAATACGGAAAGCTGAAACCTCGCAAATTTTCTTTTTCGAAAAACTAGCTTTTGATATTTATGATAAACGAGTGATAGGAAATGAAATTTTTCTCAATTCGAACCTTTTTCAATTTTAAAGCCCTTCTTTCTAACTATACCTTCATCTAGATCTTCACGTTGATGCCAAACACTTTCCAATGATTCTTTCTCCTCTCTTTCGGGCTAAAAATATTAAATCAAACTTTCCTTTTTTTTTCAAAAACCTCTGATCCAACTTTTTTACGGGAGCTCGTCTGTTCGGTTGATTGGGGTGGTAGGCAGAAAAGCGTTTCAGGAGTCTTTTGATTCGAAATACTGAGAAAACATGGAAAATTATAGAAAAAAAAGCGTTGAACTACTTTTCATCTTTTGTTGAACTTTTTCTTTCCCCCAAACCAGATGAATTGAGGTTAGGCTCCTGATGAACTGAGGTCTGAAAATTTATTTTTCCGAGTTTTTAAAAATTCGATCAGAAATTGAATTCACCTTTTCTGGCTTTGGAAAATTGCGAACATCCTTTTCGACACATCCATTAGAACATGAAGGCTACAAAAACATAAAATAAAAATAAAAATGAATTCGACTTCACCAAAGTAACGTTGAAGAACCTCTGTCCGTCCCTGATAAAAGATCCAAATCTGTAAGAAAAAAAAATCTTTGAACATTTTCTTTTATTTACTTGAGAAGAAGTGTGAGAACTTAAAATTATTGGTTTTTAGTAATCTTAGTATCAGAGGAGCACCCCTTTGACAAGAATGAACTTCGACCCGAAAAAAAAACGCAAATTCAGCAGTTATGGAAAAACGGAAGTCCTGGTAGTTAAAATGGTAGTGTCTGTCCAATCACTATTATTTGACAGTCCTTTAAGCCCGCTCCTGTGCGACTTTTGTTTGAACTGAATTTCGAGAAAATTAGCAAGAGATTGTTCAAAAATGGAGAAAAATTGGTTTAAACAACTTCCCGTTAAATCGCAAACCGCTACTCCCTGACGTCATCCCTATGACATCATCTTCATTTGCAAAATTCGCACACGTAGTCAAATCATTTTATTCATTTTTTACGTTCCAATTTATAAAATTAGATTCGACGTGAAAACTTTTCCGGTCACATGAGAAACAGAAAGATAACACACTTGAAAATCCCCTGTTGATTGGAAACTTTTTTTTATTCTTCTATTTTTCTTACTTTTTTTAGAAACCTTTTTAAAGGTTTGGAATAATCCGAGGCTTCGAGGCCCACGCCTACGCACAGTGTGCTCCTTTAATTTTTTTCTTTTTTGGGAAATACATTTCGCAGATTTTTTCGCTACGCGTATCAAGTTTGCAAATCGTTTAGAGCGACCTGATAGTGTTATTAGTGTCCACTTTTTGAAACTAAATGCCTTTTATGCCAAGTATTTCATTTATTTGACGAATTTTTTACTGTGGCTCAGTTTTTTCGAAGCGAGCCACAGTCGGCTTCGCGCTATGCGCGCTCCGCCTCCGTGTGAAGCCTTAAAACTAAGCCTATTTTCCTAAATAATGCATGAACCTGTAGGCGCGAATTTAATGCAAAGGCGCAATTCAGGCTCCTCCCATTCTTCAATTTTTTCAATCTCAATTTCAATTCAATTCAATTTATTCAGTCTACAGAGTAAGATGAAGAAAATCTCTGCTGAATCATGGTATAATCGAAGAGTTAGTCGTCGGCGCGGGTGACGGTCCACAATCGTTGTCCAATACGTCCCGGAGTGACAGCTAGCGTTGGAAAATAATGTTGCCAGCGAATAAACTGCTTCACCATTTTGGAACAGTACAGCGCCCAGCTTGTCCAGGGCTGACGGGCGTCGGAATATTATCCCATGAGAGAGCGGCAAAGAGACCGACCAGTCGACGTGATGAAATGAGATAATAATAATCTTCTGAATCATGTTCACGTGAATAAAATAAATATTCCGATTACGCTTATTTCTTGTGTTACGAATGGTGTCATGAAATGACGTCAGGGAGTAGCGGTTTGCGATTTAACGAAAACTCTTTAAACAAATCTTAAAATGTGATTTCCTTCCACTTTTTGAAAAACTTGGAACATCATATTTTCCCTACACCCCTTATTATTTTCAATTAGTAGAAGCCTATTTTTCGCTTCACAATATTGACTTTTTTTTTTCTGCCGATGCTTCTTTGAAATAGAAATTTTCACGCATTTCCAGAATTTTTATTCGAGTAGCAATACATTTTTGAGTTCTTGAAAATTTTGAAAAACAAATTTTCAGATTAAAATTTAAGGAGCATCATTCTTGAACAAACGAAACCAAATAATAACCTCAAAGCCTATTGGGCAGGCCCAAAGCGTCAGCTCTCACTATTTTAGACCCCTATGAAGTTTATAAAAAAATTATAATTATTTGGCCGTTTTGATACAGATATATCTCTTCTTCGTAGATTGAAAAAAATGAACAAAAAGATAAAATTCTGGTCTCATAACAAGGTCCCTTAACTTATTGTTGGGAAAAATGTAGAAATGAATAATGATAATAGATCACGTGGAAGATAAATCCACTATATAAAGGTCTGATTACAGCGATCCTTATAACTCGCCTGGCCACCAGCCCAACTCACTCGCCTTGCCAATCGCCCTGTGGATCTCCAGAGCCCCCGGACTTTGTGTTTGTTTCTTGTGTGCGTGTTGAAACGGAAAAGTTGTATGACTACAAGGCTTTTATCAGAAAGAAAAACCTTTCTCCATTTTTAAGGAAACATAAAAATTTTATATGTCCTTAAAAAGTCAAAGGAAGTGGTAGAGGAGTCAGTCGTCCGTGGGCTCTGGAGATCCACAAGGCAATTAGAAAGGCGAGACCATCATATAGTTGATTTATCTTCCACGTGATCCATTATTATTCATTTCTCTACACTGTACAAGTTGCGCATTACTTTTCTTCCTTCGATTCTCATCATCATTTAAAAACGCACTGTCCAATCCTCTTGCACTTGATTGTGTCATGAACCGCGGCCGTACACTGTCGCAAATCACTAGAAAGATTCAAATCCGGTTTGGGAGGAGAAAAAGTTCGGTCTCTCTCGGACACCTCGAAAAATATGAATAACATGAGTTTTTTGTTCAAACTACACATCTGCGAGTTCAGGTGTTGATCCGCGCGAGTTGAGCCGGTACTTGAACTGAAATTGAATAAAGTTACATTCCACACCATGTCCTCGACGTTTTTGAGCACAGTCCTGATTAACAAAAATAAAATAAAGAAGAAAAATTAAAAATAAGCTTCAGGAGGCTCGCACTTCGAGTCAAAAAGTCAAAATTGGAGTCAGACACCTTACTAGGATACAAATGTCAAGGAAAAACTACCAAAAAACGTTTCTGGCCATTTTCATAGCAACAATCATGTACAAAGTCAATTATTTCCCTTTTCCGACTGTTCTTCTCATTGTTCAATTCAATTTGTTTATTTTTCGCAACATCGGGATGGTATGGTGATGTTGCAGGGAGGGAAAAAGACCACTAGGTGGATTAACTAACCCCACCTGTGAAGAAAAAAAAAAGTTTTTTGTGTAAGAAAAGAAACATAGAACCATAATAAGTAGATATTTAAAACCAAGTTGATCATGGCACAAATCTGTGAACACTTGAAAGAATATGCTCGACGCCAACATCTTCTGCATACACTAAAAACATGTCCTTAAATTTTTTCTTGTCTTCCTCTGCCAATAATTCATGTTCAATGTCATTCCAAACATTAGTAATGCGATGTGATAAGAAATTGAAGAAAACTGTTCTACAGTATTGTTCTACAGTAAAATCAATATTTTAGTTGAAATGTCATAGATTCCTCACGTGCGAGATGGCCAAAGGTGTCTTGCCGGCCATGGTTACTTTCAACTGGTTTCCGAGCCAATTTATGATTTTGCCGATTTTTTCGAAAGGCAAGTCATAATCACAAATACTGTTTTCCAACTGAAAAAATGAATCTTTTTTCTAATTTTTGATCCTTCAAACTCACCATATCCGCCTCCTTTCTCTTGAAATCTTTGTGGACCTTTACAATAAAGAAACCTTCGCTCTCACTCAATAGCTAGAAATTCGTTTGTTTTATTTTTCACCAAAAAAGGGGAGGTCAAACTTCGAGACAGAGCCAATAGGTCTTCTCTGCTTCGATATTTGGGTGCAGAGCCTTCACTATCAAAGACATTGGATCGTAGATGTGTTCCGGGGAAATGTAATTCTTTTCGATCCAAAGTGCGCCGTCCGTTTCCACAGAAACCGAAACTTTCAGGGAAATCTTAAATACGTGTAAAGTTTTAATACCAACAGGAAAAAAAACCAATGAGCCTTTTCATAAAAAAATATTTGAACGGCCGATTGAACTTTTCATAAAAAGGTTTTGACCTTCAGCTCTATCGCTAATGATCAAAAGGTAAAAAAAAAACCGGTTAAGAGCGCAAACCGTAATGTGCCAAAAACCGCGACGAACTTAAGATTACTTTAAATTTCCGCAGTCTGTTTTAAGGCCGTTTTGGTGCCGCAAAAGGAGAGGACCAAAAAAGGACACAGAAAGGCATCAAAAATATTCCTTTTTTTCGAGCCTTTCATTGTTTCTAGAAATTAAAAGGCGGTGGAAAAAATGGTGGAAAAGGGAGAGGCAGCAGAAAAGGCGAATAGAAGCCGATGAATGGAGCAAAAAGAGAGCCTCTGGCACCGTAAAGGAGAATTTCTATGAAGAGAAAATGCTGTGTTTTCAAAAAGATTTTACTCCCTTATTTCAAATGATCACATAATTTTCAATTGACGTAATATTTCCTCACCAGAGACAACTTTTTCGTCTGGAAGTAGCGTATGTTGATGTCTTTGGTGGGAGGATAAAAAATTCCAAGATCTTCAAAATCGTCCTCTTCGAGCTTTGTTCCGGGTCTCGTTGACTCGGGCACGTTCAATCTATGACAAAATGTCTCCCAATTAATATCGAAAAAAAGTTTGTGGCTCAAAGACGCGAATTTTTTTCGTATAACTTTTCATTTTAAAAAGTGTCAAAGCTAAGGATAATGATAAAATTTGATTCTAAAAATTGCAAAATTGCAATTTATGCACTTTGACAAGCTAAAAATGGACACAAAACGAGTTTCAAGTAGCACCTAAGATAACAGCCAAGATTGGCCAAAAAGTTGCCGTTGATCATAAAATAATAGCCAATGTCTTTTGAATAAACTGCCCAATCGCCGTTGCCCATCTCCGCCACAACAAACGCTTCGATTATTCTTCTCGCCGAACTCTCAAATTCAACATATTTTTCCATATTATTTTTTTGGACTGACATTGGCTTTCCGACTTCCATCAAAGTCAAAGGGACGGGTTGTGGAGGTTTCAATGACTGCTTCAGAAACTCCTTCTGTGAAAAGCTGAAAAAATTAATGGGATAAAAAACTTTCTGAGTGAAACTAGTATGAGAACTTTCCGAGGACCGAGGACTATACAGAATAAATAATTTACCCCATAAAATATTTCAACTTTTGAATGCCCCTAACGCTTTTCCTACATTTCATAAAAGCATAATCGATTTAGGACTATAGATTGGGACGCTAACGGGGCGTGGCTTGTCTGCGCTCTCCGCCAACCAGTCACTCTTTTTTATTTTCGCTTCAGGACTCTTTTGGCTCAAGCCAGCCATGTATCAGCTAGTTTTTGAGCACGATTTCGGATTGAGTGTGAAAAGCGAATGCCGCGTTCAAAGTAATTTCGGCGATTTCAAAATTATCGCGTTATTCGTTAAAAATGATTTCGGCAAATAGGCAGAATTGGTATTCCGGGAAGGCGCGGAAAAAGTGAGTCCTACAACGATATATCGTTGGATACGCATTTCCACGGTGAGTTTTACGCGCGAATTTAAAATTTCAGTAGAAAATGCCCAAATAACTCCAAAATTTTGAGTTCCCGCGCAGAATTTTCAGTAAAAAAGACATATGTAAAGCGATATATCGTTGTAGGACTCACTTCCGCGCCTACCCGGAATACAAATTCTGCCTATTTCCCAAAATCCTTTCAAACGAATAACGCGTTAATTCTGAAATCGCCGAAATTACTTTAAACACGACAGAAAGAAAAAATGCAAATACTAAACTAATTCTCACTCAAGTATTTTAATTCACTCGATTAAGCCAAGTTCTTAAACAGTTTGCGAAAAACTTGAACCCCATTCTCTGTGGCTAGCGTTTGTTGGAGCTTCTGACGTTCGTTGAGTTTCCTCTGGTCCGGATTGTTATAGACAGAGTTTTCCGCAGACATTGGATACATCTCCGCGGATTTTCAAAAATTTAGCAGACAGACACTGGAATAATGACTTGTTGGAAACGTTTTTACTTGATTTCCTGTTCAAAGTGATTCCACGAACACCAATTTCCGTCAGAGAGTGGAAGAATATGATAAAAATAATTTTTAAAATTCACGGAAAATAATTTTTTTAAAATTCGCGGAAATTACTTTAAACACGACACAAAAATACTGAACAAAGAAGCTCAATAAGTACATAGTAATAATGAAGGGTGAAATCTAGAAAAGTTGCTGTATTTTGTAAGAGTAAAAAAAAATTAAATTAACAAAAAGCTCCAGGAAGCTGTTACAAAAAATTCAAACTAAGAAAATATTGTTTTACAAAGTACTCGCCGTCTGTGTACATCTTTTCACAAACAAAATCAACAAATTATGACAAGAAAGATTAGCTTTATTTATTCATGTGCAATAGGTTAATATTATACAATGTTCTTATTTTCTGAATCTCTAGTTCAAGCAGATGCACTGGCCGGCGTTGCACGGGAGGCCAAAGCAGTTGTCCGAGTTTCTGGTGCACTTCTTGACGTTGCAGAGGCCGTTGAGGGCGTCCAAGTAGGAGGAGAAGCCGTTGCTGGCAAAGCCGGCGAAGCAGTCACAGCGGGCCGTCGCGTTCGAGCAGGCGCCCTGGAGACCTCCGCAGCCGCGGTCGTTTCCACAACTGAAAATTGTTGTCGATTGATGAGATGATATAAGAACTACATCAATTTCAAAAAAGGTTCCTGTCCTTTTGGATGAGACTCATTAGAAAAATTGGCGAACTGTCAAAATTCAAGACTAACTAAATAAAAATTTCGCGCAGGTAAAATTGGAGCTCACCTCCAGAAGTTGATGCAGGCGTTGCAGTTGCAGGTTCCGACGAAGGCGCCGACGCATTTGCCAGATTTTCCGCACTCGTCGTCGCCGAAGCAGGCTGCCATGCTGGAGCAGGTTCCGTCCTTCGACGCCGTCGAGTTGACGCCGCCGTTCAGGCCGTTCGACAGCTCGGTGTTTGAGGCTCCAGAGCTCTGAATTCGAGTACATATTCATTTTTTGGTTCATTCTTTTCTTTGAGCTACAGAACCCTTCTATTAAGCTTCGCTTTAATGAGTCCAGCTGCCTCTTTGCATGCGCCTTTAATTTGACCTATTCCGTTTTATTAAAGGCGCACGCAAAAAAGCAGACCGAGCGTATTGAAGCGAAACCCCCGATGAGCTTTGTAGCTCCGAGGAAAATGAAAATCGTGACAAGCTGGCGCGGAATTGGCTATACCAGATCAATTTTTCGAACTTATTCAAAGGCACATTTTGTGACTTATGTAAACAGCGCTTTTCTTATTTCACCGAAATAAATTTTTCAATCAAGCTGCGATTTTTAAACTTGAATTTCTTGATCAACATTTTTATCTTGGATTTGACTTCTCACTTCGATTCCGGAGCTCTCGATTCCAGATGATTCGATTCCAGAGCTTTCGATGCCGTTCCCGTCGGTTCTTCCGTTGTTGGCTTGCTGATGGAGGGTGTTGGCGGTGAAGAAGACGACGCGGGCCGCGTCGGAGACTTTCTGGGCGTTCGTAGAGAGCGTGTTGAGCTGCTCGAGGATCTTGTTCGTCTGCTGGACGAGGTCCTGAGACTCGTCTTGCATCTGCTTGGCGTCGTCCTCGAGCTTCTCGATCAGAGCAACGGAGACTTGGCCGGCTGAACAAATTTCTCCATTATTTTTGAAAAATGGAGAATTTCCCACCTGGAACAGTCTGCTCTTCGCCGGAAGCTTCTTCTCCGGATTCTGAAAAAACAGTAATTGATAAAGATCCAAAAATAATAAGTTTCTCAGTCAAAGCAAAAAATATTTTGAGATGAGATTTTATCCTATTTTTCATGCTCCCCTCAACTTCTCACAAAGGTTCATTATTCAAAGATGAGGAAACTTTTGAAAAATTTCAGAAAAACCACCTTGATTTATTGATTAATCATTTTTCCTCTACAAGAGAATTCCAAGAATATTCAAATGTCCAGAAAAACTAAAGAAACACTTTTTCAGGGTAAAATACTTCTAGATTCAGAAAAGAACACAATTTATCAATTTTTTTTTCAGTCTGAAACAACTTTTGTGAATAAAAAAACGAATGATCCACCTTCTCCAGACGCTTCATCGCCAGATCCTTCAATTCCAGAAGACTCTCCGAAAGCTTCTCCCGATGACTCTCCAGAAGATTCTCCAGAAGCCTCGCCGGAAGACTCGCCAGAAGCACCAGAAGATTCGCCGGACGCTTCGCTACCGGATCCGGAACCATCACTGCCAGACGCCTCCGTAGTGTCTCGCCGGGCACGACGACTCGTGTCAGGGTGGGCGAGAGCTAAAAATAACTGATTTTGTGCGAAGTGAAAAAAAAGCCTCACCTTGAATAACAAGCATGGCGAGGACAAGAACAAGGAAACGCATGGCGGGTTAGTTGAGCCGGAGTGAGTAGAACGCATTTTGCGATATTATTCAGCTTTTTATAGACAAACAAGCGCGAAAAAATCTTTTGGCGGCTATCAGTGATCTAGCCGTAAAAACGTTTAGATCAAATCCAAATATTAAAAAATTCTATTTGGAGAAACAAAACTTCTATTCCAGACTCTCTCTTCCCTTTTTTTATTTTCTAATGAAGAAACATTCGGGTTTTAAGTCAAATTTTTGAAGTCCCGCTTTTTCTTGAAGCTTGCGACCGTGAAACTCAAACATGCGGCCGGCAAACCCAATTGCACTAGAGCAGACTTTCCATTTATTGTTTTCTTTTCCTCGTGACCATTTTTCCTTCTTTGCTCGTTTATTCATTTAAAAATTAATAGTGTGTTTAACATCTTTCTAAACATAAAAAGTATTCACCAGAGCTTTTAAGAGCCATACGGTTATTGATTTAATAATTCTAACGGTCCGCAGCAGTTTTGTCCGACTTACGCGTTCATAATTACTTGTTAATTTCCTAGGCACATGAATAATCCAGGTATTCAACTTGCCAATCTTAAAGCTTCGATCACCCGCTTGGTCAATGAGGTAACTTTTGTATTAATGCAAAAACTAAAGACGAAATATTTTCAGACATCGGCCGCCAATGAATGTGCGATTAGAACTGACTCGGCTCATTTGAAAAAGCTGAAACAAGCTATACGTCATGAGAGTAATGTTATAGAGCCTCTTGTTGAGTCCTGCTTCGAGAAATTTCCGGTTTCAAAAATGTTACAGGATTAATACATTTTTCCCTTTTTTTTTTGCAGCGCATGGATTGTGCAGATCGAGCAATTCTCCTAACTTTTCTCGATTACTTTTTCTCTCGATCCCATATGTTCCGCACTTACGTACTGAATAGAATGCATGTAGGTTTTCTGAATTCTTTAAAAATGTAAGTTATGAGTTAAGGACCTTCTGACTTATGTATGCGAAATTGATCCGCAACGAAATCCTTTGCCTCGATATCGATCCAAAGAATTAAAAGTAAGGGAAAGAAAAGATCATAAATATTCTTTTTATTCAGGTTCTGGCAATTAAAATTATTAAAGAATGGCATGTGAGATTCGCGCCCGGATACGTCAAACTGGCAAACGTGGCCAGTTTTTTGAGCGCTTCAAAAGTAAATTAGCGATATTTTATTGAGATAAATATCATCTTGAGGCTTTGGACTACGAAGGCATGAATGCCGAACTTTTGGCCGAAAGAAGGAGAAATGACGAAGAGGATCGAAGAATTAGCATGATGGAAGAGAAGGTAGAGTTTAGAAGAAATTGAAAACCTTCTAAGGTTATTTTTAGTTCATCCATTCGATGCGAGAAAAATGGGGCAAATTCAAACCCGATGTTGTTCGCTGTTTGAATGAGGTTTCTTTTCATTAATAAAATAAATGATTTTTTTTTTTCAGCTCGACTCAGCCCTTTGCATTTTGGTGCCGCCGATTGAAACGGATGTCCAAACAGTGGGAAATAAGCAGAATAAGGTTGATATCCAGTAATAAAACGGAAATCTTATGCCGTGTTCAATTTGATTCCGCGAAATGCAAAATACCCGTTAGAGAAAGAAAAAGATCACTAAATTTTGGAGAGTCAGAGATCATTTTGCATTTCGCGGAATCAAATTGAACACGGCATTAGTAATTTTCTGATAAAATTGTTTTATGTAAATGTTTAGGGGGTATTAATTAGTCATTAGATCGTTTTTTGACTTCATAAAAAAATTTCATTTCAAGCGTTTAAGGTTGAAAAGAAATCCCGGTATTTTTAAGGGAAAAACTAAAAATGAGGATATTGATGCGTTTTCTGCTGCAAAAATAATTGATTTTGAAGAGAAAGTTTATTTTTCAGTTTATTTTTCTCTTTTTTGGAATTTCCCTTTGTTATCCAACTTTCAAACTATTGGCTCATTTTATTGAAATAAGTACGTTTTTTTGAAACTCTTGATTTAGAAGTTAATAACTTTTATCAGTTTTCGTACGTGCTTCTTGTAATTTTTTTGGAAGATAATACATGAACTTCTAGCTGTATAAAAAAATACGATCAAACTGACGTTGCGTATTATTTTTTTATTTTTTTCATTGCCTTGGTATTTAGTACATATATTTAACTGCACGAGAAAAAAAAATAACTTTACAATTTGACATTTTGTCATCCTAGAAGTGTTGACTTAAAAGTTCCATTTTTCCTTTTATCAAAAATTCAAAGTTCAAAGGAAAAATATTATTTTATTTTGCTAATCAATTTTCAGCAACTGCACGGTTTCGGCGATTCTGATATCGTGACGGTGACTTTGACGTCTGTGAATCCAGTCGTCGTCGTCAGCTCCGAAAACGACGCCCTCGTTCAAACTGTCATCGACGGCCGGACCGTTATGGCGACCCAGCTGAAAATTATCGAAAAGTATAATTCCAAGTTTTTCAGAATTGATCAATTTTTAAGGTACCTGAAACGGCTCACTAGCCTGAAAACTAACGCTGCCGACTTTCTCAAAGACTTGGTTGACCACAAGTCTCGCCTCGAAGCTATGAAACAGAAGGCCGAAGAGTTGGAGATCAAGGGGACCGTCAGGAAAATCAGAGGAGATAAGGCGGATGGAGAGGAGAGCGACAGCGATTGGGAAGACGTCGATGACAAGAAATGTAGGTATTCAGAACGGATTTATCAGGTTTTTGAAGGCGTTTATTTTTTTTTTGTCAGGTTTTTGAAGGCCCAGTGAGGTTTAAATTAACTACTAGGAACGGAATGTATTTTTAAAGTTGTTTTTTGCCCTTTGAGTTTATGTTTTGGTAGTTTTGATACAGAAATAATTTTCTGCGGTTTTTGACAGACAAAAACCAAGCTGCTGATCAGAAAATAATTATTACTGTTTTGGAGAAAATCTAGGGCGCTAATGAACACGATTTTGTAACGTTTTGTTACTTCTACAAACACGCTATTAATTTTTTTCAAAATGTAAGGCTTCAAGTTGAGTTTTCACACATCACTAAAGATCGGACCGCTATTCTCATTTTTGGCATTTTCCTTACCTCAGAAATATAATATATTCGAAAATAATCTGTATAGACTGTTCAAATTTCCATGCTGGGTGGTTTGAAATAGGTCTCGTAGCGATTATTCGTTTCTTCGTCTTTCGACGTTTTTATGCCCTTGAAAACAACCTAGCAGGGTCCTTTAGTTATGATATGTGAATTTTTTTTTTGAAACTCACGCTCTAAGCACTCTTTGTTGCTTCTTCTAAATTTTTCATGTGCCCCAATTTTCAGTGGAAGACTTCGCTATGCCGAACGATACCCCCGACTATATCATGGATAGACTGGTGAAAGATGATTCCGAATACTTGGAGCCGTGCGGTAGCCATGAATTCCTGAATCTTCAAACGGTGCGCAGTTTTCAAAAGATTAAAAAATAATTGCTATGTTTCAGGACACTTTCGAGAAGGAGGAGGAAGAAAAGCAAGAAGAAGAAATCAAAAGTGAGAAGCCGAAGATTCCCGTTTTATCGTATGGCCTGGACCTCAAGTACTGGGGCGACGACCGAAAAGGCGTCAGAATCCCCAAAAACGACGCCGGTTGCCATCGTTTCTGGCGCCCGCCAGATGATGAGTGGAGTGTTTCAGAATTGTTATAAAATGAAAAGATTTGGAGGAGAATTTTCTTATCTACTATGTGCAAATCAATGTAATTGTATCGAGAAGAACTTCAAAAATTAACCTTTCTAAGTTTCAAAATTCTCTTAGATTTGTACTTTTTTTTATGATGCTCGTGTACTTGAAGGATTTTGAAAGATAAGTTTCGAATTCGAAACAGTGACCATTTTAGAGTGGCAAGAAGTTTATAATAAATAGAACCAGTTCAGCGAGAAGTTCCTCTTCATGATTCGAGATAATTCAAGAAGGAGCTTTTCAGCGGAACGATGCTCCAGCAGGACGACGTCTATCAAACCCGGGTCTTCACCTACGTTGGCGAAGAGCGGAAAAGTGACAAAATCTGTCGGACTCCACTTCCCAGCGGAAAACTTTGTCCCCGGCGCGATTTTAATCGGTTTTCCTAACTAGTAATCGAGAATAACTTTTTTCTTTCAATTCCAGGTGCCCATTGCACGGTGTGATCGTGGAGAGAGACGCTTTAGGATTTCCTTTGAAGCCCGTCTCCGAAGGCGAAGGTTGTTCCTATTTGATGGAAGCGGCACAAAAAGAGGAGGAAGAATATATGAAGTACAATATATTATAAAAAAAATCTGGTAAAAATTGCTCTTAAGAGATTTGGAGCAGCAGACGGGGAAGTCGATTAGGATGGTCAAGAAAAAGATTTTGAAAAAAATGACGTTTTCACCTCGCGAAGGGGCGCGCCAACGGCTGGAGGTCTGAATTGTATCGAATTAGGAAATGAAATTCAGTATTTAGAAAAAGCTTCTGGACCCGAAAGCTGTCAAACGAGTTTCGGAGGCTCTGGACGCCGCTCGGAAGGCCAGACTTGAGAAGACTTTCGGCCATCAATTTTCCCACATGTAGAGAGAGTTTCGTATTGCTTTTCTGTTTTATTGTACGCATAATAATCAAAAAAATGATAACCACCATGCACATACGTTTTATAAAAATTCGCTTTCAAAGATAAAAACTGAAAAAAAGAGAAACAGTTGAAGACAAGGAAAGAAGAAAAAAGTAAAAATTTAAGTTAACACAACAAATTTAATGGCTTCAAATACACCTACTTATGACAATGGGATGAAATTACACATTCACAGACAAGAAAACAAAATTTAGCATGATGATTTTTGAATTGTAAAAAAAGAACACCAAGCGCGCTTTTTTGACATTTTTATTCACTTTTTTGATATTTTTATTCCCCTTTCATTACAGATATCCGAAAATTCAAACAACTCGAGCAGTCCTCTTTTATTTCCAACCAACGATTCAACCAAATTTAATCCTCACTTCCAGAAAATCACTCGAAAATTGAGCGAATGCAGATTGAGGTAACTTCAAGACTTTTCTTCTCAATTCAATATCAAAGATTAAAGAAAAAAACTTTCAATAAAAAATTAACGGAATATGTATTATTAAATGTTTCAAAGCCGTATACTTTCCTTAATTTTTTGGCATTTAGTTCATTGTTTCTGAGAAAAGTTTCAGTATGCGAGAAACGTCCCACCAGAATAGTTCTTTTTTTAGGCTTTTACGATTTTCTTCGACATTTGGAAGTGTTTTCTGAAAAAAGTAGCAAGTTTTGCAAGTTGAAACTCTTTTATGCCGTGTTCAAAGTAATTTCCGCGAAATGCAAAATGATCTCTGACTCTCCAAATTTAGTGATCTTTTCCTTTCTCTAACGGGTATTTTGCATTTCGCGGAAATTACTTTGAACACGGCATTAATCTCCATTTGGTACACCGAAGAATATTCTGCCCAATTTACAGAAAACCTTTTTTGAGAATGACCGTCTTTTTTAGTTTTTATTGAAAAAGTGGGGAAACTTAATTGATCCTTCTTTTTTAAAATAAAAAAGGCTTTTTTTCGGCACTATTTCATATAAAGAAACGGTGATAAGTTCAATCAATCATTTGTTTTGTTGATTTAGTCATAGATATAATCGACTAGGCGGTAAACAAGAGCTTCTGAAGCTATAAAGAACAACCGCCTTTGGCGAACAAAGAGTCCAAACGTGTGGAGTTGATCAAGTTGAAAGCATGGTCTTACGGTCCTTCGCCTCGTTCTTCTGGGCGTAGATCGTCCAGTTGCGCTTTGACGAGCTCAGAATGTAGTTGAGACCGTGCTCTAGATGGAAGTCTCAGAATGAGAGCGACCACTTCGAGTGCAGACTAAAAGGAACATGTTAACAACTTTTCACTTTGCTTATGACTTCCATCTCGTAACATTTCGATGCGTTCCCCTTCATCGTACCAACAGTAGTGTTGCATGTTGTGCTGCGGCGGATAATGAACGGCGCAAACAAAACAAGACGAGTAGAAACAGAAGCTGAAGCTGAAGCCGCAGAGTTGAGGGAAGTCGCGCCAGGTCGTCGGCTGCCCCCAACCGCCTCAAATATTTGCATAACACCGCCGGGCATCGTCCAGTCCCCCAGTGGACTTGACTCGACTACCGCACCTCACCGTTACCTCACCTTACGACCTTTTATTGACCTTTTCCAGTTCATTTTGCGAATTTTTGGAATTTGAGCAGTGGATGTGTTGAGAAACAGAGGCTTATGGTGCTTGTGAAAGACTTTTATTGCTCTTTATTAGTTTATTTTTCACTAACCAAGAGTTTTTGAATTTTTTTTCTTCTTGCTGTCAACAAGGCTTTTGAAATTTCTAAGCGAATTAAAAGATTTTTCATTTTTTTTCCTTTTTTTTCGAATTTGCTATACCAGGTCTTACATTAAAATTAGAAAATCCTGTTTCCAACTGTTAATAATCTCAAAATTTTCGATCTTATCTTAGTTTTCGGTGCCCAAATCAAGTTCTAAGGTGTCAAAGTCCTCTGAATATTCAAAAATTTTAATAAAGTGCCATAAAAAAGTTCTCCAAATCTTCAAATTTTATTCTTTCCCGATAAGTCCTTGGACCATTTAGCTCAAATTTTTTCATTTTCTCTTTTCAAAAATTTTTCTTCCGACATTTCCGGTCGAAAAATTCCTTTTTCATCGACTTTTTTTTACGAAGAGGAACTTCGAGGAACACTCGACGCCCCGTTTTCAAGTGTGATTTCGGGGCTCGTTTTTATAATATTTGTGACACTGTGTTTTGTTGTGTTTTTGAGCATATACGTATTGTTCGTTGTCTCGAATCGGAGCGGTTTTCGGTGGGAATTTGAAAGAAAAAGTGGAGGTTTCGGCTTGAGAGAGTGGAAAAAGGGCTTGCGAATCGAAGAACGACAAAGTTTTGATGAGAGCTTTTGAATTTTTAAGAAGTTAATCATGAAAACTTTTGAAGCCCTTGAAAAATGATATGGTAAATGCTTGATCCCCCTAAAAAAAATGCTAATTTTTAAGGTTAAGAAAAGTTATGTTTAGAATTCAAAATTTAGTGGTATCAGGTTGAACTATTTTTTTAACTACTCTCAATTTTTTTTTCTCTGATCCAATAAAAATTATAGTTATAGGTGAGTTAAAAAATTTTTCTTATGGTTTCTTTGAGCCCTCTTTTTTTAATGAGAACTAGAGGATAAATTTACATTTTTTTCAATCATGACGAGGCAGTTTTAGGAAGAGATAAAACAGTTTCTAGAAATTTCAAGAAGCTTTGAAGTGGGCTTTTTTCCATTTTTAGAGTTAACAAAATTTTAAAAATATCGATCAATCGAAACAAGAATTTTTTTTCCAATTTCGAGCTGGTGAATTGTTTAGTGAGATTGACAGATTTGACAGATTTTTCAAGGAAAAAGATCCTTTTTAGCGGTGGTATGAAAAAAACACCAGCGAAAATTCAAACGGCGACTTTTCCGATTTTTTCATATCGCTAGGGAACTTTCCGACGGCCACCTTTCCGACGAATCTTTTTCCGACTTTTTTTCTCGATAAAATCTTCGTTTTGAATCTTCCTATATAATGTAGGTAGTTGGTTCATGATTAAAACACAAAGACATAGGAAAAAAAGTAAATAGATGTCTTATGAACCGAAAAAAATATAAAGGAAAAAAAGTCGGAAAAAATTTCGTCGGAAAGGTGGCCGTCGGAAAGTTCCCTAGCGATATGAAAAAATCGGAAAAGTCGCCGTTTGAATTTTCGCTGTTGTTCTTTTCATACCACCTTTTTAGCAAAAGACAGCGATGAGAAAAGAAAAGTTTTTTTTGGGAATTTCTCAGTCCTCCCGGTGTTTTCAACAGCTTTGATGAAAAAAGCTCGTTTTCTTGTTTTTTTTCAAATTAAAAAAGACCAAAATACGCACACCGAAGACCAACTATCAGTCCAAATATTGACCATGTTCCGGTGATGTGAGGTCCTCCCCGTTTTCGGCTTTTCGGTCCGCCGCCAAGGCGAGGAGAGCACCTGCTTTCCCTCATTTTCCATCATTTCCGTCTTCCCAAATTAATGGATCTTTCAAGATTTTTTATGATTCTGGAACATTTCTTAAGGTTGAGAAAGTATCATTTTTCTTTAGCCTTTATATTTGTGAGCTTTAACTTCCCGTCGGTTTTTCAAGAAATTTTCAGAGAAAAGGAAATTGAAACTGCATAAATGTGTTTCAAAACAGCTTTTTCAAATTAAATTTATTTGATTTCTGTTACCTTTTTACTGTATAAACTGTACATTTTTCAAGTTCTTGTCTCTGTATTTATGAGAAATTGATCTAGTAGGATCATCATTACTTACTTACTTAGATACTTAGATGGTCCATCTTCGCTTTCGACCTTTTAGTGCCTTTTATTGATCGAAGCGTGGACCACACGTTTTCCAGGAGATCTTATGCAATCGGTCAGCCAGTGTTATCGTCCTGGTTGACTGGTATTCTTGCGAAAAAGTTCCATCCGTGGTGTTGAACGTGTTATAGCATAATTTTGGTCTGATTACCCTTTTTGCCTTGCCAGGGCTAAAAAAGACCGCCCATTCTGTTAGCAGAAGCAAGCCGAACTGCGTGACCGGTGTACCGTTAGCCGCCATAAATGGCGTTGCCTCCCCATCACCGCGTAGAGGTGGTACTTGAAGGGGGATCATCATTAGAAGGATCTATCTTCAAAAATCTCACGAAATAAGAAAAATTTTTGAATTTATTAATAATTAACATTTCGACATTCACTCCTCCAAATTCAATTTTTTTCTATCAATTGTTCTTTCCAATCTAAATTTTTTTCAAAACTTCGATTTTTGAAGAATTTTCAAAAACGTTTAAAAAAAGAAGTTTTGCATTTCTGATCTATTTTTTTATGAAGAACTTCTGAAAGCTATACATTTCTTTGAAAAAAAGGTTTCAAGTCTCCTGCCGCTTGCTCCGTTCCGAAATACGATCGGAAGCCTAGTTTGATAAATTCTAAATTTCATCCAATTTCCCACCTTGTGCTACACTTTTTTCGAATGCTAATAATGTATAATCATTCTTTGAAGATGACCTGGGGCTAGGAAGTCATTTGAGAAATATCTTCACTGCAAAGCGTTTTCGACCGTTACGCAGCCGCGCCGCTGCTTGACCTATTCCGAAATCACGATCTGAAACCTCATAAAGTTTCCTTCCTTCTGCTCAAATTTTTCCCAATGCGAAAAATGTCCAATGCTCTCCTGCTCCTTCTGTGAAGATGGTCTGGAGCTAGAAAGCCATCTTCACTACAGAGCTTTCCAGCCGTTACGCAGTCGCGCCGCCGCTTGACCCATTCCGAAATCGCGATCTGAAACCTCATAAAGTTCCTTCCTTCTGCTCAAATTTTTCCCAATGCGAAAAACGTCCAATCCTCTCCTGCTCCTTCTGTGAAGATGACCCTGAGGCGGCGGTCAAATAATGCGTGATTAGCGTGTGGCTCTGTTTGTGCTTGTTGCTACTCGGCGCGTTCCGTTCCCGAGTTGGAGCTCATTTTCGGGCCGTTCGTATAGCGAAGGAGCACTACTTATCCTCACTTTCCGAATTTGTAGGAACCACGGAGGAGCGCGCCACGGCGGCTTGATGCGCCCCCCTCAGAACATCACACAGTTTCCGGCCCTCGACCACGAACCACGCGGACACGGTTCGTTCATTTATCATTTATTTGTTGATAGGATCTTCAAAAAACTTGTAGGAGTCAGGGATATTGATTTCTTGTCATTTTTTGATAAATTCGTAGCTAAAAACTGTGAGATGTTGAGGATGTTCACCAGTCGGTTTTTAATTTTTTACGAGAAAAAGGTTGTTTTGATTTTCAAAAGGTAGTTCAGGTTGTGAAAATTTTAATTTTTGAAAAGCTGTCTTGAGTCCAAAATTAATGATATCTTGCTAATTTCTATAATCTATTCAAGGCTTAAGCTAACTGTAGAAGGCTGAGATATTATATAGAAAACTGTAATTTTTTTTTGTTTGAGAAAATTGATTGATTCGATGAACTAGTTGAAGTTAGTAAGTTGCTCCACCCATTTTTTTGCTATTTTATAGCTGGAAACAGGATTTTTCTAATGTGATTAGGCTTTCCAGTTCTTAAAGTATTTTTCTTGATTATCCTCATTTTTTGACAGCTTTTTTTCTTCTTCAGAAGTATGTTGCTTGATTCATATGTGATTACGAATTTCAGAAGAAATCAAAACATGGAGAATGAATTTAGTTGATTTTGGTAATTATTTATAATTTTTCAACTATTTGGAAGTTTACTAAAGTTTAAATATCATTTTTTTAAAAAAAGCTATTCATCCTTTTTTACCAGGGTTAGTAAAAAGGGATGCCAACTCAACACCCTGAGCTCCATTTTCTATTCTTGAAATTTTTTACTTTGATTTTTGGTCATTATAATCAAAATTGATATTCCGTTGTCTTGAACCTTGAAGCTTTCGTAAAGCAGAGCCGAATAGTCATGCAAACAGTGCGGCTTCTCCTTGTCTTCTTCCTTCCTTCATCTTTTGAGGCGTTTTGCATAAGTCGCGCAGCGAGGGAGAGAGTTCGTGTATGTGCAATGTACAAACACACTCGATATGTTATGCACATACATGTACACTGACAGGAAGACAGACGGAACGGTCGGTTGATTCGGTTGGCTGCCCGCCAAACGCTCATTACCTTTTTTTTAATAATGGGAACTGAAAGTTTTTAGACTGAAACCGCGACGGGTTGAGCCATTCTACATTTGACTTACTAGGGAACGTTTTTTACCCCCCGGTTGAATCTTTTGCTGAAATGTACTTTAGAACCCCCTGATTCCAGAACAGAAAGAAAATTTCTCGCAATAAATCTCGTTTTCGAGTTAGGACACTTCAAAATAGCGCTTTTTGGCCTAATTTGCGTATTTTGCACACTTTGAAGCTTCATAACTCGGAAACAAGATCTATTGCGAGAAATTTTCTTTCTTTTCTGAAATCAGGGGGTCCTAAAGTACACTTCAACAAAGTTTCAGCAAAAGTTCAACCCGGGGTAAAAAACGTTCCCTGGTTGAAATTCTTCATTTTCGGATTTAGTGGCCTCTAGTTTTTTTTTCAATAGATATACTGAGAAAATCATGCATTGTTTGGATGAAATCACTGGAAACGGTAGTATACTCGGCTCGCAACAGATTTTAAATCTCTGGCCGCACGGAGAATGGCTCAAGGAGTTTTGAGGCGAATTGAGCCATTCCCAATGCGACCAAAGAACTTCAAACTGTGGCAAACAGAGTTTCAATGTTGGGACATTACTACGGAGAAAAAACCCATAATTGGGACATGACTACGAAAATTTTCAGTAAAAACGAGAAAAATTAATTTTCATTTTTATTTTTTAGAGTAAAAAGTATGGTTCGAACAGAAATTTGAAGTGCTCAGGTTACGCCTTTTTACATGTTAGCGTTACTATCAAAGCCATCGAACACTCTCGAATCTTGACTTGACACGTTCTTGCCGCCAACATCTTAATAGAGACACCTGTACTCGCGAAGACGTCCTTCTAATCCCTGGCGGCGGCAGCCATTTGCCTTATTGAGGGCAGCTGCCTCGTTTTTAGTCTTTACCTGCTTCTCTGTATCTTTGTGTCCGTTCGGTGGGGCAGTATATGTTGTTTGTTGACCGAGTGTCGGATGGCGGTTCGACGGACTCAGAGGCCAGAAGAGCCACTGTAACTGAACGCTTCTTGACGTCAGGGGAGCTTGAATTCGTGAAAGGCGACAACTTTTGGGGAAAAGCTTAGAAATTATCTTAATTTTTTTTTGCCTGTTGATTTCAATTTTCCGACTGTTGTTACTGAATGCGTCAGTTTTTGCGGATACTACGAAAAATGGAAAATTTGAGGGGAAGGGAGAACAAAATGTGTACAGCAAAAGGGCAGGAATGCTCACACATTATGTAGTTTCGTTTAGAAATAACTTCTTTTCTCTTAGCAATCTAATTTTTCGATAACTTTTTTTCACTTGTCAGAAAATTAGGGCATCTTTTCAATTGATTACTCTGAGGGTTTTTTTTTCACGCTGATAGATATTTGAAAGTCATTCTCTCATTGACATTAATACGAACTGAAACTTGGCGTTTTCCATTTTTATGGGGAGTAAGAGATTATTTAAATTTTTTTCTAACCGGAATTTCTGATTAAAATTTCACTTCAAAAATAAACTGTTCAACAAACTAATAAATTGAAAAACGAAATTGATTTTTCAGGACCACCTCCTTCCTATCGTACTTCAGCGGCCACAGAAGACTCCTGGAGCACGTTTTCCGGGTCCAATCGTAAGTTGAATTGATTTCCCAGTAGGACAGCCTGATTTTTCACCAGTCGAAAACTGCGCAATTTTCTTTTCAATAAATGTATGACGCCTCAAAGGCGCCAAAAATCTTCTTTTTTTAACCGAAATTGTCGATATCTTATTTTGAGGCGTTAGAAATCTATGAAAATCGCTTTTTTGTCTTTTTTGGAACCAGCGTGTTCTGGGCGAATTTTCATCAAAACTTCAAACTGACATATTTTGTCCTTCCCTTTTCAGTGTCTTCAAATCACCCACTTAAAGTACTGAAAAATGTCCTACTCCCTATATTTTTCAGCCTCTTCAGAAGCCATGAACAAGCAAAGACGGAGCAGTTGGTCGAACCTGGTCGACGTCGGCGATCCGACCAACAACGCCAAAAATCCGCAGGCTCAGAAGCAACCAGTATTTTTACGAAAAAAAACTCAGAAAATGAAAATTGTTCAGCCGCCGCGTCCAAATCCGCCACCAACCAACTATTCTGGCTCCAGGACGTCATCTGAAATGGGCATCGTTTCCGACATCTTCACCACGTACACTGTGAGAGTTTATAAATTCCTTTCTGAGAATCGCTTCGAAAATGCTTCCGCAACCCCTTAGAAGATCTAGGTATAACCTTTAGGGCCATAGGACGCCGATCAGCGAGGCCATTACCTTCATTGGCCATTCCAAAACGGTTAGGAGTTTTGGAGGACGACGCTCCGTCGACTACGGTAGTTAGCTATGACTAACAATTCTCCGTTCTAATTTACTAACTTTGAATTACTGTAAATAGGAATAGATCGATGTGGCGTGGCTTTTTTGATGTCAAGTTAGGTAAAGCTTTCAGAATAAGTTTGAAAATTTCGTAGAGTTTTAATCATGACTCAATTTTGATTCTGAGTTACCTTATTTGGAGATTGATAATTTTTTTGAGAATAGTTAAAGTTTCAGCTTGTATACATGTTTACTATTTATTGTTCAATGTGAAATGGATCATGGGGTTTTTTTCTGCGGTTTTTCTTTTTATCGAGACTCTAAACCCTAAGAAATTTTAAAAACCAATTATTCAGTACCGTAACTGATGATAGAATAGACTTCAGTGACGCGGTCGTGTTTTTTTTTCTCCTTCCAGAATTTTTTTGATTTTGGACCTCATCCAGTTTCATGATATTTCAGCTTGGAAATAATTTTTGGGTCGAAAAAGCAGGCACAAAGTTTCGAATTTCTGCCCTAAAATAAAAAGAAAAAAAAACAACAATGCAAATAGCCGAAAGAACAAGAACAAGCACTCGAAAGCTGTCAAAAAGCCCCCCCTTTCCGTTCCCTAGTTGTTCAACCGCTACCTAAATTCCAACTGACTTTTCATGCTGAAATTTAAATTTCCGCCTGACTTTAGAACAGAAAAGGTTTTGTTTACGGAGAATGGAGCTCAATTTGTCATCGGAGTAGTATAGTTCACTTATAAATGCTTGAAACAAAGAATATTTCTTCAAATTCGTGAAGAATTTGAGAAAAAAAATTGAAATTGGTTTTTCAAATCCCTTTTGAAACATTGTTCGAAGTGCAGCGAGGCTTGAATGAACACTGAGAAGATCATCGTTTCACGAATTTTTTTCATTATTATTACTATATGCTCCTTAAAACTTCCCGTTACTGAAAGCCTAGACATTTATATTTGATCTCACTATTTTTTTAATGGTTTCCCATTTTTTTCAAAGCGCAGAAAAAGCTTCAAAAAAATCCCTCTATATACTATGCTATGCTCCTTGATAGCGAAAGTTGATTGAAAAACAAAAATTTAGTTCAGAAATTGTTAACTTTTGTTTTAGAAGTTACTTGTTTTCTCTAGGGATCTTTTTTTGAAAAGTAGAAAAAAAGAGGGACAATGTTTGAGGAGCGAATTTCCTTTTGTTCGTCCCGGATTGAAAGTTACCTGGTCGTGACCTTTAGTTTTCAAAAACAAGAACAGATTTTTTTTTTATAACTTAAGATTCTGTAGATATCCTTTTGATGAGTTAATTTCCAGGGTCAACCAGCGCCACAGAGAGTTTATGCGGTTGATCCCCGGCTGGTTTCGATTCCACGACCTGCCGGTACCTTGCCGTCGCATAGTGTTGCTGGATCAAGGTATTTTACGTTAGAATCAGCTTTTAAGGGTGATGAGATTATCATATCTGGTTGGGCTTGAAAGTTATGAAGTTTGAAAACCAATAAAGGAAATAATGATTCAAATCAAGTTCGAACTAGGCGGATTTTTTTCAGATTTTTCAAAGTTTATATGGAAGCTTATCACCTAGGTGCACCTTAGCTTCCGATTGATAATAATATCGTCGAAAATCTGTTGAGAATGAACAACGTTACAAAAGTTTTTATTTTTAATTTAAATTTTGTCAAGTTTTATTTCAATAAGCTTTTTCTTTCTTCTTCTTCCTTTTTTCAATTCTAACTTTTTCGAATAATTTTCTAAATTCGCATTTCTTCGGCAAGCCAAACATAATACACGCGTCACTTGGCGTCCACCGCCGCAGTGAACCGACAGGCCGTCGATAGCTCAGTTGGTAGAGCGGAGGACTGTAGAGCAGTGGGTATCCTTAGGTCGCTGGTTCGAATCCGGCTCGACGGAGTTTTTTTTGCTTTTTTTCTAGTAGCTTTTTTTTGAACTATTCCACGTTTGAATTTACTTTAGAGGAGTTTGGAATGCATTTTCATTTGCTAGACAACTTTTAGGCGGAATTTTGACGATGTGAATGAATTTTAAGAAAAAGTCAGAAAAGGCTTATCGAAAATTCATAGAGGAACCCATTTTGATCGCTTCAGCCTTAATTTCAAGTTAAAGTCATGAGGCTGAAATATTGCAGACCATTCTCAGAAACGTTCATGTCTTTTTCAAGCTTTTCTGAAATTTTTTCGTAATTTTTTTCATTTTTTCAGAGCGCCATCAATAATTGCGGCTCCAATCGTCAGTCCTGGGTCAAAAACCGTCAAGACTTCGGTTTCCATCGCCTCAACTGAGAAGAAAAGGAACCGACTTCAAGATATTTTGAAATGGTATAATGAATGTTTTGAAAAGTTTCAAGAAAGTGATTTTCAGGATAAAAAGACCGCGGAATGTGCTTTGCTGTATGTGTCTGTTGTTGTTGATTATCATTGCCGTCGTGATTGCGATCGTTTTGTCGCAAGTTCTCCCGCTGCCCAAGGTTTGTGATGAGGATGAACTTTTGAAACAGTTGTAGGAATCGATTTCAGAACGCTACTTTCAACTGGAGCCCACCAAACGGCATCGGAAACGGACAGAATGTGACGTCAAATATTCAAATGTCGACGCAACAAAACAATCGGGTAATTATTCTTTAGAAGAATTCCTATAAATTCAAAGGATAACTCTCTATAACTAGAAATAAAGTCAGAAAAATGGAAAGCCACTGAATTTCAAGTTGTTGCTTTCAAGCTCCGCCCCCCAGATGAAAAAAAAAAATTATGAGAGGCCAAAATTGTATTTAGTACCTGAACTTTTGGTATAGTCTGTTCAGATTTCAAATGTCAAGTTTGTTTAGGGCATTTTTCTCGCGTTTCGGAACACGTTTTATTGCTTCCGATGCCACTCAAAAATCTATTTTTTCTTCTAAAAATGTCCTTACATATTTCTTCTTCAGATACGCTTCGCACTGCAAGGCTCGGCACCCTTCAAAGGCAATTTCATCAATTATTACGATTTCAACACGGTTTTTCGTCATTTTCTCACGATTGTTGTACAAAATTGATTCAGAATCAAGCGATTGTTGTCGACCAGGGTCTTCAAGCCAACGGCCGAAATCTGTACTGTTTTGTGGTGCCAATGGATCATCAGTCGATGCCCAATGAGCAGGATGTCAGAAGGGCCGCAGTGAATTCTGTCCCGGTTAGTTTTTGCTTTCTGGTAATTTTTTACAAGGGAAAAAGAACCTATCCATAAAAAAGGTTGAGAAATTAGAGATGAAAAATGAAGTTTCTAGTTTGATAAAGAAATGTTAGAAATTTTCCAGAGAAGCAAAATGATGGACGGCTGGATGGAGAACTGGAATTGGATCCCGTCGCCGCTTCAAGCTGGGGTACCTTTTTGAAAAAAAGGCTTATTCAATGGAATGTTTTCAATATTCAGTCCTCTTTCAATCCGCCGATTCCTGAGTGTCAAGGAGCTCGAATTGTTCAGCTACAGCCGACTGGAGATCAGAGAAGTGAGCATTTTCAAAGTTTGGGAAGAATGAATTGGAATAATATTCGATTTTTACAACATACTGCAAGACAGAAGGGAGAGAATAAGCTAGAGATCACAGTAGTCTGAAGAGACGCCAGACAGCGAGAGTCTTCTGACTTCTCTGTCGTCTCCTCAGACTTTTTCCAGCCCTACGGACCTAAAATAAATTGTATCCAAACCATACATAGGATAAGCATGACTGGCGACAGCCAAGGTTCTTTACTTCCGATCACTTTTGACTTAGAAAAAATCGCTTCTGTCAATCAGTTAAGCTTTACAAAATGAACTTTTTTTTTTTTTTATACATGAACGTTTGATTTTTTTATAAGATCGGACTAGAGCCGGTCCAGCGCGCGCTCTGAGATTGTTTAACGCTTTTTGCCGACCCCCCTTATTTTTCTCGTTTTTGCCAAGTCCCTTCCCTTTTTAGGTCACTCCCCGACTATCCCATGTATGATCCAAACTTGCAATGACTTTAAAGAAAACATAAACTTTTCTGAGTTATAATTTGGACTGAAATTCCACTTTCAAAATTTCCGACCTTTTCAAGACCGCCGCTGCACGGACTGCTACGACTTCTGCCTGCCCGATTACGGAGTGATGCGAGATCAGAGAAAGAATGAGAACTATTTGAATATTGTCCGCCGTAACTGCTTCTACCTGTTTGTACCTGAATGGAGAACCTACGCCCAAGCCAGCACCATTGAGCAGGTTCGTTTGGTTTCTTCGTTTTAAATTGGAATTAGAAGAAGAAGGATCTTGTATCTTTCACTATAATTACGAAGAAGAGATCTATCTATTCAGTTTTTTTAAGTTTGAAAATCGAAAGCGAGTAAAGTTCCAGCTTATAAATTTCAAAAAAGTCTTTTTTTTTCTCGGAACATCTCCAATGAGTGATTTTCAACAATTCAGAACCAACAAGACTTCGACAACTACTACCGGACGCGTCAGCACATGCAGGTCAACTACGGCGCCGGGACTGGACCGAATGAAAGTCGTTGGATTTCCCTGGGAACTGTTCCGAGTCAGTGACTTCTCCGTTTTCAGCTTGTTTTATTTTGAGCAAGGTCGACTGGAAGTGAAGTAAACAAATGATAAGAAAAGACAAGTAATTGAACTTTTGTAACTTTTGTAAGTCAATCCTTGTACTTGCCCACGTAAGATCGGAAGTGCCAATTACTAATATCTGCATTTTCCAGAAACAATCGGCAACGCGACCGGAAACTTTGTCGGCGCGATCGGACAGGCGGCCACCGACTTCAGACAGCAAGTCTTCGGAGGCGGCTCGAATCAGCCACAGCCACAGAGCGGAATCATCCCGCCTTCGGTGTCTCAAGGCTATCCCGGACAGCAGAACTACGGACCCAACTCGAACACAAACTCGGCTTTCGGTCCAAACAGTCCTGGCTACAATCCAAACCAGCCGAATAATGGATATGGGGGTCCGAATGGATTTGGGTCAGTGGCTCGAAAGAATATTGACAAAGGTTCAAATAAAACCGAAAAATTTGATTCATTGAAAAAATATGGAAAGAAAAAGTTATATTTTGGTAAGCAGTGTAATCATCTGAAATTTCCGATTTTCCATGCAGCGCATTAATATTTTAAGGAGTATCAACTTTAGATGCTGTTTCCACTGTTTATTTCTACGCACTTTTTCGGAAAAAAAATTTTCAAAACACGGTACGAAAACTTTCTCTCAATGTTGTCCCTCAGTTTCTTCGTCAAACTCTGACTTATTTCAGAAATGCCGTTGTACAAGGCCAGGGCTATCATCCTACAGTCAGTGGCGTCGTCAATCTCAATGGCGTCAACGGCAACAGCGGCTCCAACGAGTACAATCGCAATTCTGTTCGTTTGTTTCGAGTCCTAACATTTCTTTGAACCTGGTCTGCAACTCTTTAGAGCTGTTAAGAAGGGTCTCATTATACTGTATGACGCATTTAAACCTTTATAGTTCATTTAAGGTGTGGGGAGAACATTATTAGATCTCAAAACGACAAGTAAAACCTCTTTTAAACCAAAAAAAATCAATAACTTTTTTTCGAACATTTTCGAATTCGCATTTTCATAATTTCTAGGCCTTCACGGCTAACAACGGCGAAGGCTACGGCTCCAATTATCCCACTGGATCGAACCCCAACAATCTGAACTCGAATCTCAATAGCGGCTACACGGGTCCCAAGTGAGTTTTCCACTGAAAAAAAAACCAAAAACTATCAATTTCAAGCACTCAAATCTCTTCCGGAAACTCTGGTCCGAATCCCACCCAAATGAACGGATTTGGCGCCCAGCCAAGCTATATGACCTCTCAGTACGGCTTCAATGAGAATGGGTATAGAAATACCTCAAAACTTCGAATTTTATTAGTAATTTTGAAGCCAACCCATTCCAAGGTCCATCAGCGCCTTGGGTTACGGTGGTAGCTCTTCTGCGGCCAGCAGCAATCCGGGCTACGGAAGCGCCAATGTCAACTACAGTCCTGGAAGTCAGAGTATTCCGCCGACTGGGTAAGTTGATTGAAACGGGTGGTCGCATTTGGAATGGCTCGAAAAGCGGCTGTTTTCTATGCGTTTTGAAGTTATATTTCAATGACACCGTCCTTTGTTAGACTCTATCTACTGGGACAAACCTTTGTTGTGCCACTCTAGAAAACCATGGTCGCATTTGGAATGGCTTGAAAAGCTTTGCTATTGCACTGCGTTTTCATAATCATGCTCCTCGCGACATGAGGCTTTTTGAAAACCTTCAACTTTTCTCAATTAAAAGGAACTTTCCAGCGGCGTCGTCGCCGGCTCCAGCGGCGCGACCCTCAACGAGTACGGAAATCCAGTCAGCTCGAGTGCCAACGGTCCCTACGGACAGCAGGGCGCCACGATGACCAGCGGCTCAAGCTCCAACTTTGGCAGCGGCCACACCGGCTACAGCTCTCTCCAGTATCCGTCCAACGCGATGGGCGGCTCGGCGACCTCCGCCAGCAATTCCCAACTACCGACCTGACATGGCCGGCCAAGCCAGAGCCGTGAGTTTTTGCAGCTTAAGATAGTGGTTCCTTTTTTTCGAATTTCTCCTCGGAAAGAATTGATAGTAGAGATGTATTCAGCAAAATCTGGTACTTCTTTTCAAGCTCTGGTCGGAAATAATGGAAGAGACTTCAAATTTGGGCTTACAATTTAATATTAAAGTCATAGTTTCCGCCTAAATTGAGAAATTGTCTGTTTTTTGATGAGGTTAACAATGTTATACCATATTCGCCACAACGTGAAACTTTATGCGTCTCTTCTCTTTACTAGCGAGGTTAGAGAAGCTAAATAAGCATTTAAACACGAGAGGGTGCAGAGAAATCAAATCAAATCAAAATTAAAAAATGACATGACAAGCAGTGAAAGTGAGGAAAATGGGGAGATTTCAGGGCAGCCTAGGTCTAGCCAATCCCACCGGCTACCAACCTAACGTCACTCCCGTCGACTACAACATTCCAAGTTACAACCAAATTCGACAGGACACGATTGGCCGGCCGAGATCCGTCCGCGTTGTAAAGGATCATTAAACTTTTTTTTCCCTTTTCAATATAATTTTAATAATTTTATTCGCTGAATTTGGCTAGTCTCTGTACAGAAACCGACACTAACAACAATGACATACCTCAGGAATTTTTCCTTTTTTCATTCTCATTTTTGATATTTCTTTCCAGTTCTTACATTTCATGTCTTTCGACGGTGTTTTGCTCAATTTAGCAAAAAAAGAAAAAAAAAAGGATTTTGTGGCAAAATATTTCACTTAGCAGTGTACAAAGAACAAGTACTTAATCACCGTCTTTCATTTTCTCGTTTTCTGTGATATGTTTCTCGCTAATTATGATAATTTGCTAGTTATTCATATAATTTATTGAGTTTTTTTCTCCTACCTTCCGATTGGTTTTTTGAGTGAATCTCAAGATACAGAAATAATAAATTTTTTCCGTGATCTTTTTATATCATTTTGGACGAAATAGTCGAGCGGTTATATGTTTGGTGACACCACATTTTGTATTTCTATACATTTTCAAGTAAATTTTTGAAGTTCCGCTCAAAAATAGTGGCACGCCATGTGCGTTTTATTCCACGCGCAAGTTGAGTGGAATTACAAAAAAAACTTTTTTTACTGGAAGTTCATTTTTCGTTGCAGTTTTTATTTCAATACGTCGTGTTTAGTAGAGAAATGATACATTTTCCGAAAACTGCTCCGTTTCTATAAATGAGCCCGCTGTTAATTTTTGGCATATTTCTGAATTTAATAAATTTCTGTACTAAAATAATATTCATTTGCAAAAAAACCTCCGATAAAAAAAGATGATCTTCCAAATTCTTTTTTTCGTGTGATTATTTCTTGAAATTAATTTGAGAACTTAATGAATTGATCTGAAGTTGTATTTTTCTCTCCCATTCGAAAGAGTTTTTTCTTTTCTTTACGTTTGTTTTTTTCTTTCTGCATCGATTGAGTCATTCCAAATTAATAGCCACTTCGAAATACGTTTCACCATGACTTCAATTTAAAAAAAAATTAAGAAATATCGTTGTTGAATGCGTCCGTTGATCCCAATTCCCTGTTTAAAATGATTATAGTTGATTATTTTTAAGCTCTCCAAATGGAGCAGTTCGAGCTTGACATTACTTCTGGGAAGTGTAAATTGAAGCTCGAAGACGCTAAGAGATTGTTCCGCACCATTGCCTTGGGTCTTGAGGAGAAAAATGTAAAGAGAAGTTCTTTCTGAAGAGTTTAAAGGCGCAGAGGGACTTAAATTTTTACGGTAAATAGTTAATCGCGTCTAGGCCTTTATAAAGATTGCTCTTGCACCTTTGAACATTTCAAAATGGATTGTTGAGCTGACCTTTCTCGATAAATAAATCAGCTTGACGAGTTCCTCGAATGGGCGGCAACTTCAGCAGATCCGAAGCTTTTAAAAGATTCGGCAGCAGCGACAGTCGCAAAAAAGAAACATAACTCACAGAGGAAAAAATTGGTTCAAATTGCGAAATACATGAAGGAACAGGTTTGAACTTATAATTCAAGACGAAGAATGAATATTTTCCATTCATAGCGCCTTTGCGAAGCCAATGAGACCGAGGAATCCGATTCCTGGAAATGGCCCGAAACTGGATTCGACAGTGATTGTAAGCCGAGTACCACTGTGAGGAAAAAAATCAGAATTTAATCGATTTTTTTCTTATTTTTAAGGTTCACATCAACTCTTTTTTTGTACACCGATGAAGACATTGACGGTTTGGTCGAGAAGGGAGAATTTAGTAGGTAGAAATTCATTTTTCAATTTTCCTTTCATTTTCGTAGGGTAATAAACGGCATGAAGTTTTATAATATTTTTTTCTTTTTCGTTTATGTCTTCGTTCTGACCTTTTTACTCCTCTGAATGTCATCAAAATGTCTTTTTGAATCAGTTTATGTCTTCAAAAAGCTCATTTTCAGAACTTATTGCTCGGCCTGTGGCTCCAGAAAGACCCAACCTCTTCAAATTATCAGCCACAGCTTGAATAGAAATGAAGTTATATTTATATTTCATGTGACAGTTCATAAAACTTTCGAAATTTCAGATCGAATTCATTTTCACCAAGCTGATGCCGTCGGATGTTTCCCAGGTTTTGATGATTACAAAAAAAATTTTTTCAACAAAAATAATTTTTTTGCTTTCAAGGTCTTGGATATCGGATCGAGAACTGGAGCTGTTCTTTTTGGCGCCTCGATTTTCAGCGAGGGAAAAGTCCGCGGATTAGGCGTTGAAATCAACGAGGGAATGGTGAAAAATTGCCAAAGACACGGCGGCAAAATTCAATTTGCAAGTAAATTTTTGAAAAAGAAATGTTTTTTTCTTAATTTGTGAAATTTTTCTCTCGTTATTTGTTAAAAAAACGTTCAGTGTTGAGCTATTTCTCAGCTGAGCCTGTTCTTTTTTTGAAATTTAGAAAAAAATTTCGTCTAGAAATTATAAAAACAACATTTTTTTCTCATTACATTTTTAGCTGTTTTTTTAGTCTTTTTTTCTTTTTTTCCCGTTTCTAATCTTTTTGAATATTTTTCCGCCTTAAATAACCTTTCTGTTCAAACAAAGCTGAAAAACAGCTTTTTCAGCCTCGAAAAATTCTATGAAAATTTCAAGTTTGCGCCTTTAAGAACCCTTACGAAGATTATAAAATTAATTATTCTTCAAAAAGATGAACCTCGTAAATTCTTTTTTTTTCTGATAACATCATTTTTCAAGTTTCTAATCAAACTCATCTGTTCAGAATGTTGACTTTGTGGCCGACGACTTCCGGATGCACCCGAATATGATTCGAGAATCCCAAATGGTTGTCATCAACAACGTTTTCTCCTTCTTCCAGACGATAAAAGATCAAGTTCGTCCAAAAGTTTGTTCATAATGTGATTTTTCAAAGTTTAGGAAGATTGCTGGGAATTTCTTCACAAGAACTTGACGCCTGGAACAACTTTGATACTGCATCCGACAATTGACGAGGCGACCTCGCATTTGAATTTGTCTTTCGACCCATTCGAATGGATCGAGTTGGTGAGTACAAGTTTCGCTCTGATGATTAGAAAATTCAATGGAATTTGTCAAAAGTTTATTTGGTTACTACAGTGATGTTTGTGGAGTTGCGTTCACTTGAAAGTTTGCTGAAATAAATTTACACCTTCTCGCGAAAAAAATAAACAGAGGACAAGGTTTAATAATGGTTATTATTTGAACCTTTTGAACTTTTAATGTCTGAGAATTTCCCAACACTCTTGATATGTTAGAAATTTTTAGAATTTGTTGCCGAAGATCAATGAGCTCTATTTAATTCCGCAACTTTTCCTCAAATTTTCGATTTTATTCATTCAAATATACATAGGTCCACCTATTTTATAGACTTTCCAACCATTTCCAGTGCGACACCAGCAAAGAATGCAACGATTTCGCCGGCGACGATGAAGAAATGTTCGACGATGCCGCCGCTATGTACAAGTACATCGTTAGAGGGTCGTCGTGATTTTCCAATTTTTTTTCCTTCTGTTGAACTATTTTTTTCGTTGTTATCAAAATAGATACTTCATCATATAATTCAATTAAAACAAAGAAAAAAGTAAAACAGGCAAATAAATACACGGTTTTTTTGAAAATTAATTCACCAAACTTCCTCTTCTTGTACATCCAACGTTTTAACGAGGTGCTCAAGTTCCTTCAGTTCCTGTAATCATTCATCTTTTTTTCCAATCTGAGTCCGAATTCATAAACATCCTGGACGTCGTCCTGAAGGCCGTCGGAGCTGCTTTTCCGGTATTTCTTCACGTCTTCGTCCGTCACGTTTTTCCAAGTGTTCCTCAGGACAACCTTCAAAAAGGGTGATCTTTGAACTGTTTGGAGCGGCTTCAAAAGATAATCCCTTAGATAGGCGTGGTCTGTCGCTTTGCGTGTGCCTTTAATATAACAGACATTCTTGGGTTAGATTAAAGGCACATGAACAGGGACTAGCAGCACGCGTGTCGAAAATAGAGTAATGTTTAGTCAATTTTTCTCGACTTGAAAAGCGAGGAAGGCGGGACGTGTAGCGTGCGCGTCGGCGGTTCTTGGATTCAATTCAAGCGCCAGCGACTATTCTTTTTTTTGGATTCTGCACCTTCGAATGCTCTTTATTTGTCACGGTATTTGTTTTGGTTGAAGCGTATGAGAAGAAATTTCGAAAAACGACAGAAATTAATACGGAAAACGGCCCTTTGCATTTTTTAAATGTTTCTATGAGCCAACAGAATCTTTAACAAGGATTTGTACAACGCTAAATTCTTTTAAATGTCATTGCTCCTTTGAAATCCCCCGTCTCACCTCAGCCTCGTGAACTCCATACTGATGACGGCCTTTGATTAGGATTTCTACCACATCTAGCGAATTATCCTTGTCAAAGAGCTAAAGTTCAAATTTTAATAGAAACTTTTCAGAAAAACCTGAATTTTGACTCCGAACTGTGCCGCGATTTTCTTGATATTCCGTCCGTTCCGACCTTAATTTTTGTAACTTCAATAGAACATTTTTCAAGTAAAACCAATTATGTAGCCCGCAACAGAACGATTGACAGTGAAGGACGCTTCGAAATCTTCTCGTACACACGAATTGACGATTTCTCTGACTCGAAGGCGCACCATTTCCATCTCAATTATCAATATCATAGTTTTGAAATTTCGAATGTCTCGGACTCTTGCAAAATTTAGTTAGTTTCTTGAAAAATCTTTGAATCAGGAAGAAGTATAGCCCATTCAGAACAAAACTCCTTGCCGGGATTTTCGAAGGAGCATAGAAAAATTCATGAAGTCTATTTATGCCAGTGAATGAACTATTATCATTATTATTATGAGGGTCTCGAGGCGCAAAGCCGTTTACCGTGTTGTTCTAGGTCCTGCAAGTCTCCTGCCCCTTTAGGAAAATGCAGCAAGAACAGGAAAACACGAGCCTAACACTTCGTTCTCAAAAAAATTGTAAGTTCGATTTCTTGCCCAAAGAAACTTTTATTAATGAAATTTTTTTTCAGCTGTTCTAATCAGTCCGAAAAAAATTTTTTTCAAATTAATATTATTCTGATTAACAAAAAAATCACCTGAATGTACACAATTCTGATGATTCAATAATTTAATAATTCACCTGTCTTTTCGATGGAGCTCTAACAACCAAAAATTGGAGCATTTCCAGTTCACTTCTAGTCACATCTTTTTCCTCAAACCAGTCATCTTCCTCTTCAGCTTTCGAGCCCCAACCCCAATCACCGTCAATTTTGCTTAAAATTTCTTTATTTTTCGTAAAAAAACACAGAAAAAATACCCTTTTCGCAAACTTCTGAACCGATCATTGGAGAAACTGGCTATTGTCAAGACAGACTAAAAAAAATGAGTTTGAAAGTTTTTAATTAAACTTAATTAACCATTGTTTCTCTTTCTATGATTCTCAAATTCCTGCCATGCCTTCCAATCACTGCGCCAACTGCCTTATCAGGAAGCCGGAGAACAGTTTCTTGAACTTCTTCTGAATGCAAAACTTGAGCTTTACAAAAAATCAATGAACAAATAAACTCACCCTCACTTTCTTCATCCTCCGAAGGCAAAAAATCGGAATTCTGTTCAATTTTTCTGGTGGCGCTTTCAAAGAGAAACTCGATTTCTTGTTCCTCTCTGAAAATTCATTTTGCAGAAAAAAAAAATATTTATATTATACTTTTTTTCTTTGCATAAGCCCAATACAAGGCTCCGGCTCCACAAATCGCAGTTGTTGCCAGAGCGATCTTCAGCTGGCGCGACATCGACTCAGACTTCTGGAAACGCTAAAAAAATTTTAAAACAAAATTGAAGTTGGAAAACTAAAAGTAAACACCTAAATTAGTAATAATTCAGAAATATTTGAAAAAAATAAAAATGAAAAAAAAAAATCTCACACAGGCGCAAGTTCGCACCCAATTCCAGTTGGCTTACTACGGTAGGCCAACTTGATCGAATAATTTTATCGTTTTTAATGGTTTTCATCTTATTTTTTGTTGTATAATGTCGTCTATGGTTTCGGTAGATTATAAGCGTAACTGCGTAGTAAGATTGTGAGTTTTGATTCAGAACAAAGATTTCCTTTATAGGCAAAGTCGGAAAGGGTGGAAAAAGGCTCCATAGAAATTTTCCTTTTAAATTTGATAATGCAAACTTCTATGCTTGAAATCATTTGTTTTAAGTTTTTGAAGGATGTTTCTCATTGTGATCTTTCGGTCCTTTTCATCTTGCCGTTCAACTTTTTTTTCGAACCTCACAACATCCGCATTTTTTGTTTTTTCCTGGCACAGATTTTAGCGATTTTCGAGGCTTTTCCTTTGCAAAATGACGCGCGTTTACCCCACGTGGGAAGAGTTGGATTTCTTGAAATGATTGATATTTTTGACAAAGGCCCACAGTTGTCGCGTGTTTGAACGTCTCTTTAACGACGTCGACCTCAGGCCTTTTTTTTGTAAATCTCTAAGCCAATGTTCTTCGTACTTTAAGCTTCGTTTCCGCCGTTGCCAAGTAAATATTTTGATATTTCCGTTCAGCTTGTTTCGAATCTTGGGAGTTATTTCAATCGCGCGCCGTTCAACTCTCTTCTGTGAAGGTATTTTGGAGTTTTACTTATGAATATCGTTTTTTTCGGAATGTCTTTTTTGCCCTTTTTCGTCTTGATTGGAAACATTGTGCGGGAAAGGAACCGATGAAGATACAAATCTCCGTGAATGCCTGCGTCTTTTTTTGGCTTCTTTCCTTTGGCTGAAAGACGAAGATCCATCGGTTTTCAAACGGACTTGATCCTCAACGATTGGAAAAAAGAACTCTGAAGCTAGAGCTCCTTCATAAAACAGTTTTAAGTTGTCCAGTTTGAATCACGGCTGAGAATTGATACAATGAGAAAAAAACTTTTCAGCAGTTTGCTTTTATGGGTTTTTTATTTTTCCGCAAAAATTTCAATTTTATCAGTATTTTTCAAACCTCCAGGTGCAAAATCCTTCAGTAATTTTTTTGATTATTTCAAGGAAATATAAAGTGAATTTTTTTGAAAAAGAAGCTTTCCGCTTGGAAGTTTCAGCAATTTTTCCACTTTATGCTCTTCCAAACGTTTTTAATCAAGAAGTAACAGTTAATTAATAACAAAAAAAATATGGTTTTGAATCATTTTTTTGGATCTTATCAGTTAGTGTGAGCTTTTCAAAATTTTCAATATTTCTGCTGGTTCTAGAGTTCTTTACTTGAGCTATTTCAGGAAATAAATGTGTCTGAAAAGTTGAGGCAAAAAAATTTTCACTCAAAAAATTTCTTTTCTATTTTTCTTTCTTTATGGAATGATTGTTCCTGCTTTTGAAAAGAATATCAATTTTTCTCATATCGCGATAACTTTCTTCTAAAAATCCAAAGAAGTTGGTTGTTCGAAACGGGGTGAATCAGCCCACGTGGCGAAACTGACCGAGAAGGTTCATTGGCCGATTTGTGAAGAGAAGAGCGACGTAGCGTAAATTCCGAATTAACTTTATGACGAGCGCGTCTTGTCTGCTGCTGTGAAAATGGTCTTTTTAGCCTCCTTCACAAGATGGGGTGATTTTTCTTTCCGTTTTTTTGGCTTGCTTTTTGTTGGATCGTGTCGATTTGAGTGATGTGGCGTGAGCGCCGCTTTGACATGTACATGAAATTTTTTTCCGGTTGATGGATTTCCGGGTTACGGTAGATTTCGTCAACATTGTCGGGGAATGCACTTTTTTCTTAAATTTTTGCTGATTTAAAAAAAAAAGAAAAGCAGGCTACTGTAGAGCCTTCAGTTTGCTCGGTTTTTGTCTATCATTCCTTTTTTCTTGAAGTTTCGATGATCCATCGAGTTATTCACGACATTTCTTCGATTTTTTTTAATAAACCGCTAGAATCTAAGAAGTATCTTTTTTTGGACAACTTTCAAAATTCTCAATGTTCCAGTACCTGATTCTACTTGAACTGACGGTTCGTGAGCTTTGTAAGAAGCCGGAGTTAAATTTAAAGATAAAAAAGTTCTGAATAACGAAGCTGGGAAACTTGTAGAAAGTCGTAGACTCATCTTTTTTTCGTGCCTAGACTTAATAAGGCGACGACCTTGGTCAAATATGTAGCTTAAAAAGTTTACTTTTTTTCTAAACCTAAGGAGGAACATATTTATTTTTGTAAATTCAAAAATTTCGGGATTCTTCAAAATGTTTTTAAATAACTACAGAAAAAAATCTAGGTTATATTTAAAAGCTAGAAACCATGCGAAACCTTTTTTCCCCTATCAGTCGGAATAACTTACTAAAAAGTTCAGTGATACCTTTTCTTAACGCTAAGCGGAACCACTTTAAACCCCAAACAATTTTTTTTCTTTCACCATATCAAACGTTCGCAACATAAACGGCGAGAAAAAAGTGCGCACGGTGTTGTGGGCGGAGCCGAAATAAAGGGCGGAGCTTTCTCAGGACATCTCAGCCGAACCAAAAGGTGTTTTTGAACAGTTCGAGTTACCTGCTTTTCTTTTTTTGAATCCTTTTTCCATGATTCTTTTTTCCTCTCAAGTTTTGGGTTCTCAATATAAGCTCAATTTCCGTGTTTAAATATTTGAAGAAAAAAGAAAGAACGCGGAAGTCTTGGCAAATAAATTTGCTGAAAGCCTAGATCTCTTTTGAAAATTTTTTTCTTTGAAATAACTTGGTTTCCTTCTAAAAAAATAATTTACAGACTTTTCTGATGACTTATGATAATCTGATAAGAAAGTTTTGAAGCTCGAGTTTTTAAAAAACCTAGTGGATTGAAAAAAAATCCACTAGGTTTTTTGTTTACTTTTAAAATTGATGAATTTTTTTATATGAACGAAAAAAATGATGAGATCGTTTCTAAGCTTGAATTATTTTTGGATTATGAAAATAATCTGAGTAACTCTACAAAAACCTACTTTTTTTCTTAAGTTACAGAATAACTGTCTCATCTCCACAAAATCCGAAAAAAAATCTTTTTTTCTCAAGAAAATACCAGAGAACCCTTCCGCCTGTCCGTTTCTTTTCTATTTGTATTGAGAAAAAAACTGCAAACAATAGGTCGAAAAAAAGTTGAGAAAATTAGGGCTCAAGATTTTCTCAACCGTGTTAGATAAATTTGTATTTTTCCGAGAATGAAAACATTTCAATCATCGCTTTTTTTGATATAGAGCAAGTACAATTTTTTGGAGTTTGATAGAGGTTTCCCAGAAAATCTATTTCGGTTAGTTTCCTAACCCGGAGATCTTTCCGTTTTAAGAGTAAATATTTATATTTTCCTTAGGGATTAGCTTTTTTTACTTTTTTTATGTAGGAAATTCAGTATAGGACGAGAAAATAAGGGATAAATAGACGCCGTTGAAGGTCGAGAAACGTTTTTATTGTCGTGTGGGAACGAAACGATTTTTTTTTCCATACGGTTTTCCTTTGCTTTGACGCTATGAGATTCGAAAGAATAAACGTATATACCAAAAAAATTTTTACAGAAAATACTTCCGTTTTTTTCTAACACTTTTTGAACGCGAAAAACACAGGTTTCCTGTAATCTTTTTGAATTATTTTCTACTAGAATATAATGAAAATTTGGTATAGTATTTTTTGTGACTTTCTAGGAGCTTGAATTCGATTTGAGTTCAAAATAAGGAAAAAAAAGACGAAATTGAGCGGATATAAGTTTTTTCTTGAGTTCTCTAGGTCAATAATATTGTCGCGCATAGTTTAAAGTTAAAAAAAGAAATGGGTCGAATATTTCTATTATAACTATTTGCGAACGGGTAATGACTCGAGGAACAGAGACTGTAAAGCATTAAGTTAAACATGCAGCAGACCCAAAACGGTTCACGCGTTTTCCCATTCAATAGTATTCTAGTGAGTTTCTGATTATCGTAGCTGCATCACTTTTTAACCATTCCAAGTGCGACCAGAGCGTTGCAAGTTGGAAAAAAGGATGTATAGTAGCTCTAGGGGTTCTCCCTTGTAGAATAATCTTTCCTATTTTTTTTTCGGGTTATTTAATTTTGTTTAGGTTCACTTTCTTCTGGATTCTAATTTCGAGCTTTACTTCAGCTTCTCCCACTCTTCTTTATGATCCCCAACTAGTACTTCAACATTTTCTAGGCACGGAAGGTGGCGTAGGATGCGAAGCGGTGTTTGGAGAATCGTCGACGTCATCTGCCTGGCCGTTTTGATGCTGACGGCGGTCGAAGGACGGCTCCTCGACCGCCTGGGGCAGAAAGCGCCGCCGACGGTGGACGGCCGACCCGCCCTGCCTCCGGTCCCGCCGATGCCCGTCTCCTTCGCCGATTGGCACTGCGGCAGCAGCGGATTCAGTAAAACTCTGGCCTTCGACGAGATCGGCAACACTTGTCCGTCACATGCTGGTGAGCTAGGGGAAGTGGTCCTTCTAGGGATGAAACATTTTAGCATTATTAGTACATTAGTTTTTTTCAGAAAAAAAATTAACGGAACGAAGAGTCCAAATTAGCAGAAAAATTGAGATCTGTAGAAAAGCGCAAGTCGCAAAGGGTCGGGTGCAGTTTCGGACCGCCGAAGCATTGTGCAATTCAAAGACGTGACGTGACCGTTTTTTCCCACCCATTCCAAGTGCCGCCCTCTATTTAATTTTTTGAGATTTTCGGTGAAGTTGATTTTTCGAAAATTTTTACGATTTTATCTCGAAGAGAGTTTTTATGGATACGGTATCTGAGCCATTCTAGGACGATCAAAGAGCTCAGTTTCACTATTGCAGTTCATTTCACAAAAGTTATAATCTTACTCTGAATGACTTCTGAAATCCGAATCGTTTTTCATAGTAAAGGTGAAACGTAGCTTTAACTGCATTTTTCCTTCTTTTTTTTTTAATCTCCGATCTCAAAAGTTTTCTGAGAACTTTTTGAAACCGATTCGAACCGAAACTGTGGCTTATCAAGATTGTTTTCGCGTCGAGTCGTGGAAAAAACCTTGGTCCGCAGAACCTCGTAGGGTTGGATGTTAATCAAAAGTGATTTGTTGCCGTTTGTCGCCTATTTTGGGCAACGCTTCTTTCTTTTGATTGGCCTCGTCGTTCGATCGGCTTCACAGTCGAGTTGGGATTTTGTTGGACTGGGTTCTTGAAAAATGCGGGGGATTTAAAGGTTAATGGGTACGGTATTAGATTATTTTTGATAAATGAGGCATAAAAGAAATTTGAAAAAAATTTAAACTCTGTCTCCAAGAGAAGACGCGTTTTTTTAATGTTCCTTGATTATTTTTCACATCACTTTTCTAGTACTACGAAATTCTTAGGATATTTTTTTCCAGAAAAATTGAAAAAAAGCCGCGTCAGTAATCCATTCAACATACAGAGGAGACCAAAAAGTTTTTTTCTTAAAAAAAGTTCAAATTTCAGTTTTTCGCTAAGAAAAAAATTGAAAAAAATGTGTCGAGATAATCTTTTTTTCATATAGAACTGATTAGGCAACAGTTCAATGATAAAAAAACAGCTAAAAATTTTTTTCAAAATGAAAATTGACCAAATACTCAATTATAATAGTCAGAGGAGTAAATTTTCATGAAGACATCTTCCAGTTCAAAAAAAAACTTTACGACTTTTTTTCTTATCGCTGATTTCAAAGTTCAACCAAAGTATCACTCTCATAAAATGACAGTAGTTTATTTTCTGATCGTTTACTCAAAAACCAACTCTGTTTTTCTCCTTTCACCCCTTTCTTGGAATCCGATTTGACGATCTCTCACTCAAAAATTAGCTGTTTTTGACCAATTTTGATAGTTCAATCAAAGTACATCTTCCAGGAACGACATTCCAAATACAATTTAGCGATCTTTGACTTGAGAATTAGCGGTTCGGTGACTTTTTTCCACCTGTTCCCTGGGTTCAATTAGAGTATCGTTTCCTGGAACTCGGTTACGTGATCTTTAACCTGAAACTTTTCATTTTACCCTTTTTCAGTATTCAGACTTCTAGATAAATCAGCATTATATTCGAAAAAGTAATTTCAAATAAAAATCAACGTTTTTTTTTCTGAAAAAGGATTTTGATGCTTTTTTTTTTTGATTTTGAGGCTTAGTTCCTGGGAAATTAGAAATTTGAGCAGGTTAAGACTTTCAGGATCTGGTACATCAAAAATTATCTTGGTCAAATTTCCTGACATTCCCACCCAGAAAATAAAATAGCCTTGCTTGTTAGCCAGAACGGAACGCCTTTTCATGACCCTTTCTGGTGCCGATTATAACCGCCCTGGCCTTGATCGTCTTGTCCTTTTTCCTTTCCTTCTTCAACCTCGCCTTCTGTAACCGATCGTAGTTTTGATTCAATTAACGGGAGACCGACTAATTTCCCGCCGATTTTAACGAAAAGAATCGGAGAAAAAGCGTCGCCCGGTCTGTGATAGCTCGATTTTTCGGTGTGCCACGTGGTCGGCTTGAAATTGATTCGAAAAAGTGGAGTTTCGGTTTCTTGGAAAGTTAATCGAAAACTTTCTGAAAGGTGTTTTTTTCTGACCCAAATTGCGCAAAAATAGAGTTTTTCCTATGAATAGATCATTTCACTTTGTAGGGTGAAAGTCTGAAAATAAAAAGGGATTTTTTTTTTTGTGAGAAGAAATCCGAGGAACTCCTTTTTTCGAGGAAACAGACTTTTCAATTTGTAGATTGTCGAATAAAAACCCAGAAGTCCATTATAACTAGTCGATCTCTTTTTTGGTTGGGATGAGTTCTTTCGGAAGTTTTTACCATTCAAAAGATTAAATTTTTTCCCGAGATAATCAAAAAGCATGGGAAAGTTTAAAATTAGGTCGCGAGTGAAAAACCGTTTCCACGTGTTTTTTTTTGTTCTTGCTTCTTGACCATTCAGTCCATATAATGATGTATTGAAATTGAAAAAAAGTCGATCTGCTTAAATTAAGGGGTAGTTAAAAAAGATTTTTTAACCTAACCAGCTGACGAAAATGAGTTTCTTGCTCTTGTACTTTTCTAGGAAGATATTTACTCGAATGGTGAGTAAAAATGAGAGTAATTTTAATAAATCGTGAGGAATTACGATATCGACACTTGAAACAAGCGATAAGTTAAAAAAAACCTTCAGCGGCCCTGAACCACTGCTGCGCCGTGCACGACGACTGCTACGGTCAACAATTGGGCCAGGAAAAGTGCGACGTCGAATTTTGCCAGTGCAATCGAGTAATCGGAAAAAGAGCAACCGTTCTTCAAATATTCGAAATATTAAGAAAGCTCTGCGGATTCCAACGAAAGAGGCGAAAAACTGCCGTGCCCCGTTGGCGATGGCCTGTACTTTCGTTGGGATGTTTGGCAGTGATGCCTACGAAAATAGCAATTATTCGGGTAATTTGAGAAAAAAAAACTATTTACTCTTGATTTTGAAAATGAGTTTTTCCGAAAAGTTCTGAGAACTGAAGTAAAAGAGCTTGAAAAGCGTTTGAGCAGGATTTTTGGCATAGTTTTCTAGAAAAAAATAACTTTTTCGAGTCCATAAAATCAGTATCAAAAACAAAAAAAGTCCATAGGATCAGTATCAAAAAAAATCCTCGAAAGCAAGGCCACTCTTTTTTTCGTAGAAAGAAACGCGTAAAAAAAAGTGTTCCTTCTTCCAAAAGTTTCCGTATTTTTCAGTTTTTCGCAATAGTTTGTCCCGGAAGGGCAATTTCTTGTTTATGGAACGTCCTTTTTATGCTAGAACTTTTTACTTTTTTTATTTTTTTCAAAATGAAGATTTCGTGATGTTTCATTTTTTTAATCGATTTTTGCGCAAAACCTGGAAACATTGAAAATTCAGACCCGATCCTCGTGGCCAGTCACGTTCCCGTTGTTGAATATGTTCCGAAAACGTCTTCGGATATCGAAGTCGGCTACTCGGAACTCTATTCTCTTTGCCCATTCGTTAACAGTCAGTTTTCCCATCCCCATCGTTTCTATAATCTCATTTTCCTTTGCAGTCACGTTATCCTCATGTGCTTCCAACTACAATCTCTGTTTAAAAACGAAATCGGCCGATTTTTGCGTTCCTACGGTAAGTTTTTGGTGATTATAGGTGTGCTACATTCAATGAAGATTGAGAAGGAGAAATTATTTGTGACTTGAGGTTTTAGGAATTGATAAATGATATGAGATAAGGCGTTCTAATTTAAAGGAGCATGGATCGTTTGCGAAAAGGTATCCTGACGCGAAAAAAAATTTATTTTTTTGCTCAAAGCTAGCTGTGCTTTGCAACCACTGATAGAAGAAATTGGGAAGCTTAAATTTTTTAAAAAAATGATAGAAATTTTTTTAATTTTTCAAGCTAGGGACATAATTTTTTTGTTATTAATGACAACCGAGGGGGATAGATGAATGAAGGCGCATAGCAAAATTTCTCAAAATTATCAATGAAAAAAAGCTTCTTTTTTTGAAAGTTAGAATCACATGGTTTCAATATAAATCGTAATTCTGGGATCTCTGCAAAATCTAAATCAAATCACTTCATTTTTGTTACCTCGGGATGAACTTCTAGAAAAAACATTTTCTTATGAGTGAGAAAAAACCCAAAACCAGAAGAACCTATTATTTACGGCACAATCATGTAACAGTTAATCATATCAAACTTAACCAGAAGTTATATTTTTCTATTGTTATTATTTTGAATCTAGATGTGCGATTGTTTGCTTGACGCCGGCGCCGCCGACGTCGCCCATCAGAGGACTTGCACGGCGGCGGTCAATTTGATCTGTGAAGACCTGATCGACTGTTCGTTTTTTATTGATGTTTGTACTGATCCGCCAGCAAAAAAAAAAGAAAAAGTTATAAAGTTGTTGATATTTTTCTGTTTTCCGTCCTTTTTTTTTATTTTGTCATGACGTTTTCCCTTAGTTTCATTGTCTTATTGGTTAACAATTCGGTCAATTTTTGCAGACGCCAAACAATCGACGGGACGAATTCACCTGATTCTCTATACGGTAACCTTTTTTTAATTAGAAAGATGGGTGAACAAAGGGAAAGTTCGGCGAACAGTGCATTTTCTAGATTTCTTTTCAATTTGAAGCTTTCCATGTGAAAGGTTTCGCCATGTAATTTTCCTCAAATTACTCATTTTTCTTCAATTAAAATGATATATATTGCACAAAATGCAACAGATAAAGTTTGAGCAGAACTTTTTAATTCAATTTTTTTAAAATACGTTACTGGGAATGTTCGTTTAAAATCGAATAAATTCCGTTTTTTTGTTAGATGAATCAATATATAAAGCGTTTCATTCGCTCGCATTTTTCAATATTTTTCAAAAAAATTTTTTTGTGCAGACAACTTTTTGATTTTTTTCAACAGTATATATTCAAGGAAAATGTACGTTTCATTACTTATTCAAAAATTTCAAAAATCCGTTTTCTTCAATTTGGATAAAATTAAACTGGCGCAAACTCTACAAAATTGTGTGCTTTGCGTAAATTTGATATAAAAGAATTTTTTGAGTTTCTTTTTCAGCATTTTTTTTCTCATTTTCTGACCCCCCATTTTTCATTTTCTGAACCCCCTCTCTAATCAAGTCCAGTTCAGTTAATTTTTCAGCTCCTTGGTGTTCTGATGATCGCCATGATTGCACTATTGGTGTTCTACAAACGTTTCGGCCGGCGTAGTCGACCCTTTGAAGATGGTTTTGTCAAAAGAAAAAAGTTTTGAAAAGAAGATGAACGTTTTCATTTTTCAGGAAAATGCCACATCCAAACGGTGGACTCGGCGCGGTCCATCATGCCGCTGCTTGCTGGGGCCTAAAATGCAATTCTTCTGATCTCATTCATTTTTTTTTTCTTTCCATAACCTTTCCTTGTTTGAATTTTCGATTGAGTCTAACTATTTCCCAAGTCGTGTTCATTCATTAATTTATTTTTCATCTTTAATGAGATGGCTATCCTTTTTTGTGTTCTATACTGTGTGAAAAGTTGGAGAAGTCACTAGAGAGGTCACTTTGGCGATTCTAGCCAAACGCTGCAATAGCACGTAAAGCAACCACTTGAGGGGAGAAATTAGGAAAATCGTTCGGATAGCCATTCGAAGGATTCAAAACGAAGGCTGTACCTTTCCGATCCCCTTGAGTCGCAACTCGACGTTTCAAAAAAGGCAACACTTCATTATTATTTTTCTCTTAAGTGACCACTTCAGATTTGTAAACTCCAACTGTTCACAGAATTTTGATATGTACATATCCGCGTGAGGATAATTAAGCGGGACTCTTTGATATTCAATTTTTTTTGTTGCCAAGACTGGATTTTTCTTATTTTTCTGCTTGACAGCACTCTTTCAGCACACTATTTTACGAAGAACCCCTGAATCTCAAGATGAAAGAAATTCGAATTTTTTGTCGAATTCAAATTCTAGTTTTGGCGACAAAGGATTGATCAATTAATACATGATGAGCTTTCTGATTTTTTTCCTTTTCTTCCTACTTTTTTCCACAATTATACGTGTACACATTTTCAATATCTAGAGATGCCCCCGGTTGTCCTTTCTTTGTACGTTGTGGAGATTCGTTTTATCTTCTTTTTTTTCTTTTCCATTTGAATTTTCTTTCTATTTGCATGAGGATAATAGATTTAGTGATAGAGAAAGTTTTAATTATGATACTGTTAGAATCATTTATATACATCACCAGATACTCTTTCCTTCTTTTTCTTGTTGAATCATCTTGAGGCAAACAATAAAAAAAACGCACCAGCCTAATGTGATCTTCAAAAAAAAAAATTCGGGCCAGTCATTTTTACAAAAAAAATACGGATTTTTTCGTTTTGGTGTTTTTTTAAAATCTCGAAACTATCAATATGACAGCGTTGAGGAATGAATCTGTATTTCACATAACAAGTATATTTAATTCCACATGCAAATAAAATAATTGATAAATCAGATAATTTCCGAAACGGTCGTCACTAATTTGCCGCCGACGATACGCGACTTGAACTGCTCGGGGACCGGAAGCTCAACCTAAAAATAAGGGAAGAATTATCGATTGAGCGCGAAAACTGACGAAATCATCGCCGTCGAGTTTGGCCAGAACGTTCATTTCGCTGGACTTGGAGGAAACAATTTCGGCTCCTTCAGCCGCAGCCGAAAGATAAACCTTGCAACCGTCTGTTTTTCTGGATCGACACCATTGGCAATTCGCCAAGAGTCTGAAAAATGTTTCATTCAGAATACACGGACACTGCTATCCGAAAGATTATGGGCGTGTCTGAGCCATCTAGTGATTTTTTTAGGACTTGAGGGACCACTAGAAAGGGTGATAAATTTCCCGGCGCACTTCCGGCTTGCGTTACCAGTAGCTGGGTAGTTTATTTTTAGTAAAAAATGATAAATTACTTCAAACTTAATAAATAGACAGAAATTTCTTCCATAACAAAAAAGCTCCTAGAAGATCAGGGATTTTTGAACTTAGTTTTTTTGAAAAATCGTCTCAATCTCATATTCAAAATTATAAAGATTTCTATAATTTTTTCTTATGAATTTTAACTTGAAATATTTAGAGAGTCCAAGGCAAGGCCAGGATACGTTTCACGACAATTTCAAAAATTTGCTAATTATCTGGTTCTCCGTTAACATTTTCTGACTAACAAAAAAATTCTGTAAAAAAAGTATTTTTTGAAATAAAATGGACTTCGAACGGTTTTAATCACGGAATTTCGATATATTCATCATAATCGGTCAAAAAAAAAATAATGGCAAAAATCTATAGCACCAAAAAGAATCGAACCTTTCTCATAGGCATCGCAGGCTACCGCGCTAGTCACTGCACCAAGCTCCTAGCTGTAATGCAATGGCTTGTGCGGCGGAAACACTTCTTCCAAACGACGTCACGTGTTTAGGGACAAAAACTTTGAAAAAATCATAACTCAAAAACGAAAAGTTTGCGCAGATAGCGACTATGGGGGATCATTCCAAGTCCATCAAAGATTTTTTGAGGAAGTTTATAGAAAATTCCAAACCCTATGCAAAAAAAGGACCTGCCATGTAAGGAATTTTATTATCATCCCAATCATCTTAAAAATAAATTTTTCACACACTATTTTTCAACCTCCAGTTGAATTAGAAAAAAAAGACCTCCATCTCAATGGATTGACAATTGATGGCCTCGCACTGGCTGATTAGACCATCGAACACAATTTTCGTCTTTTTGCACCCATCCAATGTTATTCCATTTGCTTTTCCATTCACCTAAAAATATTGAACCTTTTTCAAAGATGTTTTTTTCAAGGGAAAACCCTGATGAAAGAATTGCGGCATTCGGTAATGTAGACAGTCTGTTTGATGTCCTCGACGTTGACGACGATATTCTCATCATTTTCGAAATATTCCTCGAAATTCCAATGTTAAAATGGAAGGAAAGGCTGAGAGACCACAAGCCAGCGTCGATTATCCTCACTGAGACGGAGATTTGAAGGTTTCTTGCCAGTCAAATTTAATGGAGCTACCTTTTGGTGTGGCTTGGTGTCCTAAATGGTAGGAACTTTTTATCTTATAGAGAATTTTTTTTCTTGAATTTCGAACATGAGAAGTGAGATGTAAAAAAGTCAAATGTGGACCTTAGTTTGAAATTTTCCGTACACTTCTGAATTTCGTTTCGCAAAAGATTCTCATTGTCAAGAATATCAACTCAATGGTAAAAAAGCCTAGTTTTTTGATGATCTTTGCATAATTTTGAATGTTTTTTTTTGCTATTTTTGAAAACCTTGTCCGAAGAAGATCGGAGCGAGGGATTCTTGTGAGTTTGCATCTCTGCAGTGACTTTCCGAAGGCCCGTCGTGATCTCCTCTCCTTTATTGATGGATTCGAACAAGGAATTTCTGGCAGAGCTCAGGTCCAAGTTCGCGACTTCTAAATTCCATTTTTCAATCAATTTTTCGAAAATAAATCCACCAAAAACTGGCGGGGGAGGCGGTGGTGGCGGCGGAACGACGCTGGTTTGAGCAGACTTGAATTGATTGAACTTTTACAAATATCTAATTCTTTCTAGGAAAGTTTTTGAGGTGTAAATCGCAGATCTTATTCAAACTTTTACGGTGAGCAGCAATAGGGAAGAAAGATATTACAAGCTTTTTTTTCGCTTTTTGGATATTTTTTTTGTAAAATTCGGACTAGGCCTGCGATTTACTCATCTCAAACTATTCTAATTAGGCAGAGCTGTGCGTTGTGTGATGGCCGAAACTGCCGTCTCAATCGCGAAGTTTTTATTTCATTTCTTAGTTTACGTGACATAATTTTTCCAAAAAACATTATTTCGATCACTCACTTCACAATTCACACACTTTGTGAGAGTTTCGAGAAAAAATGGCTCGTGGCAAATATTCATGGCCAGCCCGGCCGGCCGGCCCAGCGCACAGCTCTGTACATAGGTCCACATTTTACCGGCGAACTATTCCAGACGAGACCCTTCGGATGATACTCGGTAACATATTTCAACAGACAGTCGACCATACAATTCCATCCATGGACCCAATCAACGTGCGTCGAATCGTTGTCCTAGCAATTTTTGTTATAAATACTTCATTTGAAGAGGAGACCTTATATTTTTTCAACACACGATTCGTGAAATATTTTGCAATGTCAGCAATCTCCCGCACATAGGTTGAGGGTGTCGGGTTCTGGAAAAAGGTATATTTATTATGAAAAAAATTTCTCAGGGTTTATGTCAACCATTTGAATTGTATTAATTCTTTGAATAACAGTTCAAAAAAATGCCCCGTATCAAAGATAGTCTGTAACAATAGAAATTTTCTTAAAAAGGACCTTATTGTAAAAAGAATCTAAAAAAAGTTTTTTTCTGAATACAAACTTTCTTTTTCTCAAAAACCCTTTACAAAAATTCTGATTATAATTTGAATAACATGTACTGAAGCTTAGGCGAAAATTAAATTTTTTATCAAGTTTAATCCAAATTTCAAAACCAACCGCCAAAACCCATCCAACCGCTGAAATGCCGTCGCTGATTGCACAGAGATGGTCAGGAAAAGGAGTGTCTTTTTCGCGATCCGTCTGGACCCCAGAAAATTTCCATATCATTTATTTAATTTAAATTTCCGAACACCTTGAATGCCTGAACAGCATAAAGAGCGGCGACTACTGGGGCGGCGGCGACAGCGATTTTCTCGCTCGGCGGCTTTTCGCGCCCCGCGGCGAATGCCAAGAATTCGCGCATTGCGAAAATACTTTCCGTGGCCAAATTCGTCTGTAATCTCATCATTTAAATGTTATTTCATCAGAAGCCGCACAATTTTCTCAACGTCGCCTCCGATTCGCACCGCAGACGATTTCCATTTGGCGACCATCGGGTTGAGATTCGAGTCCAAGGATTGGATGTCGGATGGAAGGCTTGCTGAAAAAAAGAGCTATTTGAAGTTTTCCCGTTCAAACGTACCGGAAACTGTAGCATTCACCACTGCTGTTGAACTGGGAGTACTTATTTTCTGCTTCTGAAACGATTTACTTCTCATTTTTTATAAGAAAACTCAATTTTCATTCGAAAATAATCAAAATTTTCAAAATTCTGCACTATTTCCGGGAACGAAAGAAACTGTGGTCAATATACCTTAAGAAAAAAATTTTTCCCAGATTCATATTCCTATTGATTTTTTTACTCCGGTCATTAAAAATGACACTACGAACGCCTTGAGAAAAAAAAACAAACGAAAAATTTCAAGCTAGACTTGTTTTTTATGATTTTCTCTCAGAAAAATCTCTTCGACCAATATCGAATGAAAACACTACTGAAAGCCTTTTTTAACCTTTTTTTCAATAAATTATTTTCGATTCACCGATTTAGTATTCCACGAAATGCCAGTACGGTGATTTTGCATCACATCTTCATGCATTTCGCCAAGGAGTTGCTTCCAAAGCTGCGCCCAAATCACGTGGATCTCCTCCTTGTTCTGAAAAACCTTGTATACAATTATCAAAAGGATAATGATTTAGCCTACCTTGTATTCTTTGAGAACTCGGTTCAAATAATAGGCTGAGGCTTCGGCCATATCTTTGACGAATGGACCGGGGAGGTTCTAGAAAAACGAGAAAAAAAAACAATTTCTATTCGAAATATGTGAATGAAAAGGTTGAAAATCTTCTTTTAAATGCTGTGATACTATGAAAACAAGCTTCTTGGGTCAACTGACCAGGAATTTTCAATGGAAATATCGATTTACTCACAAAAAATGGAAATTACCTGAGTGACCCATCTCGCCGCAGCAACACCTTCGGACACGGCAGAAAGGTGGTCATAAAATTGGCTTCTTCGATTTTGCGACTAAAATAAGGATTCATTGAAAAAACTTGAGGTCGTGAGTATGAAAATTTGAAGTCCGTTGATGAATTTCTCGACAAAATTTTTGTTTTAAATTTTTCTAGCATGGGTAATCTTGTAAATTCTTTCAGATTAAGCCCGCTCGGACGTGGTGTCGCGCTCCGGACGTTTCTGAGCCATTTTAGGGTCAACTAAGAGAGCGGACGCTACCTAATTGATCACTAGAAATGCGCCGAGACGTCTGATTCGCGTTACCAAAGTCCGAGTGAAAGTTTACTCAAACGGCTTTTGACAAGAGAGTGTTATTATAAGCAAAAAAAAAAATGAAAAAAATCCTTTTGAGAAAATTCCATTCTGTAATCTTCACTAAACAGGAACGAAACCACAAGAAAGATGTTTTTCTCGAAAACCTTGAAAGTTTCAACGCTATCCAGAGCTGATCCCAGTGGAGCCAGCATCTTCTCCAGCTCCTCATTTGTCGGTTTCGTTCTTTCCGAAACTTGGTCCAAGAAAATTTGCAATTCGCTCAGAACTCCCGAAACCTTACTGGCCTGAAGTTGAGTTATGTGAGGGAATCAAAAAAAAAAAATGGAGGTTCAATAAAATTCAGTTTTGATGTTCAGAAAAGGTCTTGTTGCTACTTGAGGGTGCGTGAAAAAAATTAAAAAAATGTTTTTCCATTCTAAAAATTCTACGTTTTTTTCAGCAGCTCGCAACTATTTTTGTAAAATCCGTCAGGCACAAAAAAAATTTGAAAAATTAGAAAAAAATCCGAACAATTTCATGAACATCGCCACCGATTTTTCGCGGAAGCTTCTATCCATTCCTCAAATGTTTTTGCTCATGTCCGTCGAAACCAAGGACATGTTGTCGAATTCCTGGAAAAATTTGTTCTCGACCACTATTTTGACACAAAGCCAACAAACAAACGCAATAAGTACCAGCAATTTCTACCAGTTGAAATAAAAAATATATTTTTAGTACACCGGGGGTGCAAAAATCTGAATAAACACTGTCAAAGATTGGGTATAAAATGGGAATTTTGAAAGTTGTAAAAGTAATTCCATGAGGTTTCTTCGACTCTTCTTCGTCGTGACAGCTGTCGCTGCACAGACGGGTAAGTTTTAACATTATATTTCATAAGAAAAAAATTTATTAGGCGAATTCAAATCTATTGAAATTCGTGAAGAATTATTACGATTAAGGTCTGACGAGCAAAAAACCAGAAGCTTCAAAGATAATCGGCCGAATTCCTTCTCAACTTGGATCGTCAGCAGATGCCATAGCCAGCAGCATTGGTAAGAATCGCAAAAGTATAAAAATGAAACAAAATGAATAGAATGTAACTTCAGGCAATAAAATCCAATAAAACTACGCAGGTTGATAAAAATGAGGATAATCTTTCACTTCCCACTGCAGGCTCTCTTAAAAACCATTAACTAGGACATGAGATCGGCAGCGGCGTTTCGAAAGTGGGAACTGGAGTTGGCGAGATTCCACGAGGGATTGGGAAGGCGGTTGGCAGCGTTCCAAGTGCCATCGGCGGTGGGATCGGCGGTGTTGGCGACACGGCTCTAGAAGAAGGCGTTCACGTGGCTGAAGCTGTCGGTGACACCATCAGAGGCGTACCCGGTGAGCTTCTGTAAATCTTGATAAATCAAGCATCATTCAACTTTCGAACATTATAATGTCTTCAAGGAGTCGCCGGACGAGTCATCGCAGGTCTGACTCGAGGCAAACGACAAGTTCGACCTCCGCAAGTGCCTCCTCAAGTGATCGGAAGGATTCCATCGCAACTCGGCAGCTCAGCAAACGTCATCGCCAGCAGCATAGGTCTCATCTTCAAATTTCAAATTTTCATTACATTTTCCAAAGATTCAGGACACCAATTCGGCCGAGGTGTGTCGCGGATCGGAGCCGGCGTTGGCGAGATCCCAAGAGCCCTGGGAAAAACGGTTGGAAGTGTGCCAAGTGCCATCGGAAGTGGAATAGGCGGCGTTGGGGACACGGCTCTCGAAGAAGGCGTTCATGTGGCTGAAGCAGTTGGAGATACCGTACGCGGGGTTCCTGGTAAGTTATCAGTTATTTGATTCTCTCATTTCTTCGTTTTCCGCTCCTGTTAATAAAATCCATTTTCCTTCAAGGTATATTCCTAAAATTTCATCTTCACGCAACTCGAAGTCGTTAATGAGTTTTAAAACGGAAATTTTCAACTCTCACCTGAGATTACGAACATAAAAGGTTTTCGTATCCGTTTAAAACATTTTAAAATCTTGAGCTCAAAGTCTTTCCTTGGAACGAATGACGTTAATTTTCTGTCATTACCACTTCCTTTTTTGATTGTTTTGATTCGCACAGAAATTCTTTCTTATAATCACCTCTTTTTTTCAGCAAATCAATTTCCTTAGTTAAGGCGCAGCTGGACGAGTCCTAGGAGGTCTGACAAAAGGTACTGGAGGAGGAAACCGTCTGAAACGACAAATTCAACAGCCCGATAATTCGGAAAGAAATTTTGAGAAGCTTGAAAATCTATCAATATCCGATGAGGTCTAACTCTTTTTTTCTTTGTCGATATTGCTAAAATATTGGAGATGTTCGCCTTGGGATACGCAATTCAAGATCTTTGGACCGACGTCAGCTACTGTGCAATTATCGACATTGCAAGGAATATCGCTGCGAGAGAAAGTGAGAGAGCCAATTGGCCAAAACGTGAGAAAAAAATTGATAATAATTCGGAAACCTTGAATTTTCAGCAGATCCGATCAGCTTTGTAATAAATAATGCTTTGGAACTCATTGGCTACGGTTGCCAAGGCGTCGATACAAGCGAAAAAATAGACGGTATTCTCAAAAATCTCTCCAACGAGCACGAAACCGAGAACTTATACACCGAAAACCCTATCGATTAATAATTGAAGAAATGAATGTATATTTTTGATGAAAATAAATTTGAAGCATCTAAAAATTACACAAACTAAACTCAAATAAGACGTAGCTATTCAAAAAGAAAGAAGCAAAACTGACAAGGTCTATTTTTAATTAATTTTTTTACTAACTTTTTTTAAGGTCCTAAACGTTTTTTTGATTTTTCCGAAATCAAGTACATGCACTAGTCGACATATAAGTCTTAAGGTGAATTTTTTAAAATTGAAAATTTTACTGCAAGATCACACTTGATCTCAACAGAAAAAAACGGAGAAAGAAAAGGAAAGAGAGGAAAAGGCTGGAAGTTGAATGAAACAAAGGGAGAGTTGCGCAAGAAGTGTCAGTCCAAAGTCGCCAAATAGCCGCTGGCCAAAAAAAAAGACAGAAAAAAAGGCGATCCGTGTTCGTTTTCACCCACACCGTTGTGGTGTATCATATCCCCTGTGAGTGAACATTTTTTCTTCCATTTCTTCCTTTTTCTTGTCATTTCTTTCCACTTTCGATGGCTTTCCCCCTCGTAGGCGTTCTTTCACATCTATCTTCTTCATCTCATAACCGTCGCCATTCCTGTTTGTGTATTGGTTTTGACGAAAGATCATAAAAGTAACAACTTCATTGCGATTTCTCCAGGAACATGTAAGTTACAGCTTACTGATACTCGCATTCTTCCTATGGCTGAAGTTCCTTAGTTTGAAATTTGAAAAAAACATATTTTTTTGAGTGTCTTTCAAAAAAACTTGAAAAAAATAGAGTTGAAATGTCGAACTTTTTTTAATCCAAGGAAAAATAAACAAAAAGAAAGTTGAAAAAAACAAAAATTCGCGCCTTCTTTTTATTTATATTTATATTTCTCTTTCTATTTAAGTTTACTAATACTCTAAATTTTCTATTTCTCTCCACTAATTTTATTTTTTCTTTCATTTTCAAGCACTAAACAAATTTTCATCATTTTTCGTTGAACCGATCTGTGAATTTTCGCTGATTCAATGTGTTATGACTTAAGTTACCATTGGAAAAACTATATATAAAATCTGAATTTCTCTCCAACATTCATCGAAAAATTCTGGCACAAGGAAAGCTCCGCCACACCACAGTTATATGCCACTGAATGTAGACGAAAAAAGCCTTCAAAAGATTTTGACATTCTCCGAAGTGGGGCTGTTTTCAAGTGTTTGCCCAGTGTTTTCGGGGGCGAGAATCACATTTTGTAGATAGGCTGGTGGCCAAAAACACTGAAAGATCCACGGGCCGAGAGCCAGTTCTGCCCAAATTCGCCTACTCTTTCTCATTTATTCTAACCTTTTTTCCGGCTTCAAAGTGAGGAAAAACTTGTTTCAATTGCCAATTCGCACTGGAAAAATTCAAAGTTGAACGCCTTATAATCGAATTGTCGCATTTTGAGCCGATTTTTTTTTTCTAGAAGAATACACTATCTTACAGCAAGCCACGAGCTTTTCTATCTTCTTACTGTGATAAAAGATCGCGACTTCTTATTTTTACAACTCCCAGCAATTTTCAGATTAATCTACTCGATTCTGATGAACTATCTTATTTTATTTCTTTGGTTTTCACTTATAGTCACAACGGTAAGAGTGAGATTTCTTAATTCCGGAAAACGCTGAAAATTCCAGTTGGCGGAAATAAGGATTTCGAACGCGGCAAGATGGAGTCTGATGCCGAAGAAGCTGGTGAAAAGGATATGCAACTTGGATGATTCACTACCAATGTGCGCTTGGAAGGTAACTTTCAACCTATATTTACAAAAAAAATTCTTAATCTTTTTTTTGTAATTCACTTGATTCAAATAAAATCGCTTCAAACTTCAAAACGTGAATCACTGTTGTGGTATATATTAAAAGTTACCAGGTTTTTTGAAGAAAATAGGAAGCTTTTGTGAAATAGTTTTCTAATTATGGTTTCCTGTCAGTTCAAAATCCCTTGTTGGGCAAAGTCGCCGTCAAAATAAGAGATTTTTAGTGATTTGTTTTTCGTCTTACAGCGACACGTACCTTTTATGGGCAGCGAAGTGTTCTCAAAATGGAACATTTGTCGGGATCACCCCGAACTCAACTTGTGCCGATTGAATCTCGGCGGTCTTATCGCCATTAACCCCAGTACAAAACAACCGGAATTGCCTTCTGACTCATCTGAAAACCTGTTGACTCCAAAGGCAAAAGTACGTGTGTCGCTTGCAAATTGAAGAACGAAACGAAGACAAACGAATCGATTCAGAATGTACCAGAACTGATCCTGTCCTCTAAATGGAGCAATCAACATGCCATGGAAACGACGTTGCAAAAAGAGCTTAACGAGGAAGGAGCGAGCGAAGAAACGGTTCCAATTATTGTCATAATTATAATAGAAAGAGAAGCGAGAAAAAATAACTTCAATGATTTATATATTGAAGGTATCTAACGAGCTCGATGATGACGGTGAACGAGAAGGAAGTGGAGAAAAAATTAACGTTCAAAATCCAAAAGAGACTGAAATCACAGCCGACAAGCCGTTATCGTCTCTTTGAACACAAATTCGCGTAACAGATATTTGTACAAATTTAGAAAACTTCAACAAAGCAAAATCAAGCGGGCTCATATCTGTACATAAATTGAAAACTTCCCAGCTTCTAATAAACGGTTTTAAGTCTTTTGTGCTGGTTTTTTAAATAAGTACTTCACGCGGTGATAAAAAAACTTCTGATAAAGCAAGTCCTCACTCTAAATGATATTAAATAATACTCAAAACAGAGAACATTATCCAAAAAAGCATTAAAAATAAAAAAAAATGAAAAAACAAATTAATTTTTTTCGAAAAAAATCCGACAACGCGGAAAAGATGGACCACGGCTAAGACGTTGTGCGGAATATTGTTTTTTTTTCTTTTCTTCTGGAAAATGACATCATAGATGACGTCAGTTGACATCATTCTGTTTTTGTAAACAACTTTCCTATAAAAGCCATGAATTTCCAACGGCTACAACTCAGTATTTATCTGAAATCTACGCAACAACTTCTGCAACAATCATGACTGATGTGAGTTTGTTTTGTAAATAATTATATTTGCCATGGGAAAAATTTTTTTTCAAAGAGTAGGCTCAAAACTTCTATTATTTCGAAAACTCAAGATGATACTTTTTTATTACTGAAATAAGTTCCATTTTCTGCATTTTCATCAGAAAAGTGCAATTAAGAACTTCTTCAGTCTGAATTTGATTGCATTGATTTGCCACTTTAGTCGAAAGTAATCAAAAATTGATATGGAGACTAACTGGAAACCCTAGGAGTGAAAGGCTGTATAAAATTTTTTTGAATGAATAATCAGAAAAGCCCCATCTTAATCAGATTAATTACCAAATTTCATTGTACAAGTTGAATATTCAGAACAAAGGCATCATCGAAAAGACCATGGAGCTCGTTTCTGAGGCCGGCCACGCGACGATGGAAATGGCATCTGAAGCAGGCCACAAGATCATGGAAACGTACCACAACGTTGCCGATTCTCGCGCCGAAGATCGGGCCGCCGATAAAATTAAGGATGCCACTGACAGTGCAGCCGACAAGGTAATTTTTTCCCTAATGAAGTTGTAAAAATGAAGTGGATTTAAGGTGAAAGACGTTCGCGACAGCGTCAATGAAAATTGGGAAAAGGCGAAAGAACACGGCCAGGACGCTAGGAATGACGCCGAGTGGGAGTACTACTCCACCAAGAGGGACATAAAGAACAAGGTTTTGATTATCTTCTTTGTTGTAACTTCTATCTCGGATTCTTGAATTCCCTTTTATTGGAATTTTCTGGAAAAAACGATGATAAAAAAGTTAGGGAAATCATTTTTATTAGGCATGAATAAATCTTCAATTTAAGTCGGAAAAAAATCGAAAAATTACCAAAAATTAAAAAAAACCAAAATGGGTTCAAAACCAACTGAAAAATTATTTCTAGCGACTTTCTCCCGACTTTAAAATTTTAAGGGCGGACCTAATAATTTCAATTTTAGGCCGAGGACGTCAAGGAAGATGCTGAAGACCGTGTTGAAAGCTTCAAAAAGAGTGCGAAGGACACGAAGGACAACATCGTTGACCGGCTCGGAGACGTTAAGGATGACATAGCCGACAAAATCGTAGGTGCTAAAGAAGCCGTCAAGGACAAGGTGATCAAACAATTTTTTTTTTAATTTATCAAATATTTTCAGGCTTCGGACATCAAGGAGGGCGCCAGCGACGCTTGGGAGAAGGTCAAGGACAACACTGAGCAGGCGAAACGCGACGCCGAAAAACGGGCCGAGCACCTGAAATGCTCAATGAAGCAAAAGGTAGCCAAAATTTATCATTAAATGTTTTTAGTAATACTTTCAGGGCAAACAGGCCCGAGAAAGTGCTGCCGACCGTGTCCATGAAGTCGCCTACGAAATTGAAGGACACTAATTTTAGAAATTTGTAATGCTCCCAAACCCATATGTACATATTTATTCATTTTTTTGTGAAGGATAATAAAAAATCTTGTTTTAAAGTTTGTTTCTTGATTTCAAGAAGAGAACAATGATCTGGGAGTGGCTTTTTCCAGTCGCAATGTTTTGGTGTTCTCGTCGAAATGCCAGTTTTTCAGACGCTCTTCTTCTTGTTGGGTCTTTTCAGGCGGTTTCTTCGGTTATGACTTATAAGGTTAGAAAACGATTTTTGAACTTCTTCATTCAGGGTTCAAAAACAACTTTGTGAGGATTTTAACCTTTGAAATTTTTTCGTAGTATGGCCAGAAAAAGTTTCAAAAAATACCCTGGCTGAAGTTTAGAGTTCGAAAATGTCGTTTTCAACTTTCTTCAGCTCTTTCAGATTTTTGTATCGAAAATTATTCGTGACGAACTTTGAGCGTCGCTTATATTTTTTGAGAATGACCTTAGGATTTATTATGTTTCCGAAATTCCCTTTTTAGGTTCTTTTTTTCTCTTGATTTTTTTAGTGCATTTATGAAAATGTTTTAGTGATTTTTTTGAAAAGAGAAAGTCTCAAGTTTATCGCCAATACAGTCTTCCCTGATTTATGAAGAGGAAAGAAAACTGGATTTTTTTCTCTGCAGCTTTTTTTTTTTTAGTAATTGGCCCTGGTTCTTTAGAGTCTAAATTTTTGATTTTTCGAGTTTTACGCACCGAACAAAAAAATTTTCGTAGAATGATCAGGGAAATTGTCCTCAAGCTTAACAAATTGGACTCTCGGGACTTGCAACAATTCCTTTTTTTCAGTTCAAGTTTTACGCACCGATCTTTCAAACAAGTAATTTTTACTTTTGAAAATATTCAGCCCTTCCTCTTTCTCAAATTAATAAACAATTGAAGAGGATTTTGATGATTTCTTTGAAAAGTCGCAGAAAAAGTATTGACTATCTCAAGATTCCGATATTTTTTTTTCCGAAGACCATGTATTCAGAAATAATAGGAACAGTTAACGTCAAAACGTCTTCAGGTTTTTTTTTTCGAGCTCCGAGACTTTTAAGGAATTAAGAAGGCGTGGAAGAGTTTCTTTTTCAAAACGTCTGTTCCTACTATTTTTTTAATAAAAACAACGACCCTTTTATTGGCTTTTTTGCCTTGACTTTTTAGTCTATTCCTCTTTCACGGAACCTATTATTTTTTTTAATACTGTTTTTTTTTCACCCTAATTTTCGATAAAAAGCTGTCGTAAGTCACTAAAAAGACTTTTTCTAGAAACTTCTCTCCTCAGTTTTAATGAATTTCGATTAATGGACTTGAATCTCTGTCAAATCTTAAAAACTAAAAACCGATGGTTCTCATCCTATCTATTCACTGGTCACATCTGTTTCCAATACATAGTTTTTGCCATCTGCAAATTTTTCGCCTCGTTTCCCAAGTTTCAAGCGGAAGTTTTTCAGTTTTTCTGAGAAGCTTTTCTATTTCTTTTTCATTCTGTATGAAAAATATTGTGTAAAAGGGAATAAAGCATTCAAATGAATTGAATTCAAGCTTTATAGCTTGAGTTGTTTTCGAGCGTTTTTTTTCACGTATTTTCAGATTTTCTAAATTTTTTCAGAATGATCTCTCATTTTACCTTGAAATTTTTTACAAGCTCTCAATGAGAACCTATTCTACTGTTTTCCGTCCGAGGGTCTCGGACCAGGGAATTGAAATATGTTTTTTGCTTATTTCAACGCAAAACCATCAAATTATAGTGATTTATTCAGCGCGATATGTACATGGGGGAACGGTTATTAAAAGGAAAATGTGGTTGGGGAAAAGGAAGGCGCTGACGTCATCAGAGGGTCTCGATGACGTGGGCCGCTTCGAGCATGTTCTCGGCCGCTTCGCGAATCGTCTCCGCCGCGTGCTCCAAGGCACGGAAGTTCTGAAAATCGTTTTGATCGGTGCGTTCCTCAATCTTCTGACCTTAGTCTCGATGCGCTTGACGTCTTCAGAATCCATGACGACGACATGATCGTCACCCCGCAGACTATCCCAGACGTTGACGGCGCGATGCTTGACTTCAGAAGCCGTGCCGGTGACGACGTCACGAGCATGGCCGACACCGTCCTTGATGTCGATCGCCTTGTGCTTGGCCGCAGCAGCCGTGCCGACGACGGCTCTCTTGGCCTTTTCGAGGTTTCGGCCGAGGCTGTACTTGGCGTCGATCGCTCTGTCCGCTGCGGCTTCTCGCGCTTCGGCTGTGAACTCGATTGCGTCTTCGTAGCGCTCTTCGGCCGCTTCTTTTAAGTCTGCCGCCTGTAAATTTGAGGTAAAATAAGAGTACATTAGAAAGTTGAGATAAAAAATCTCCAGGGAAAAGTACATTTAAGTTAGATTATTGAGTGGTTCTGATACTTCTTAAGCTGTGGAGTGGATCAGAGTAATCAGGACTTCAAAATAAAGCATTTTTTCGCAATCCCAAACCTTCTCCTTGATGACCTCCTTGGCGCCGACGTACTTGTGAGCAACGACGTCTGCAACCTCTTTGGCGATCTCCTTGGCCTCGGCAGCCTGAAATCATTTTTCAATGTTTCTGAAACCCATCTTTCAAACCGTCTCCTTCACAACTTCCTTGGCATCCTCCAGGGCTTCGGCGGCATAGTCCTTGGCAACGACTGCCTTCTCAGCGACCTTGTCTTTGAGATCGACAGCGCCGTCTTTGGCGTCAACCGCTTTTTCTTGAACGTACTCCTTGGCGTTGTGCATTTTGTGAGCCATATTGTCCTTGGCGTCAACGGCAAGATCGGCGGCTTCATCTTTGAGCTCCTTGGTGCGCTCTTTGGTATATTCGTAGCGATCGGCGGTGCCTTCCTTGATGTCTTCTGCCTAAAAATTGTCTTTTTTTTCTGAAGGTCTAAGTGAAAAAAGACCTTGTCCTTGATGTATTCTTTGGCGTTGTGAAGCTTGTGAGCAACGTTGTCTTTGGCGTCAGAAGCCATCTCGACAGCGTCGTCCTTAAGCTCCTTGGTTCGGGCTTTGGTGTATTCGTAGCGGTCTTCGGCTCCTTCCTTGATGTCTTCGGCCTTAATTTCGATGTTGAAAATCCTTTAATTTTTTCTGTAATCACCTTGTCTTTGACGGCTTCCTTGGCGTGTCGGTACTTGCGAGCTGCAGAATCTTTAGCGTCACTGGCAGTGTCCTTCAAGCGTTCGTAACGCTCTTCAGCTCCTTCTTTGACGTCTTCGGCTGTGTCCTTGACCGCTTCCTTGGCATGTCGATACTTGCGAGCCGCACCATCTCTGGCGTCGCTGGCAGCGTCTTTCACACGTTCGTAGCGGTCTTCGGCCCCTTCCTTGACGTCGTGAGCCTTGTTCTTCACAGCTCGCTTGGCGTCTTCATATTTGTCCTCGACGTCGCTCTCAACATCGCTGGCGGCCTCTCTCACATCTTCAGCCTGAAAATGGTTCGGTTCGATTTTTCTGATTTCCGTCTGATGGAAAACCTTATCCTTAACGGCCCTTTTTGCCTCATGGTACTTGCGGCCGGCAGCGTCCTTGGCATCACTGCCACGCTCCTTGGCTCTTTCCCAAGTGTCAGCGGCGCCGTCGCGGAGGTCTCTTGCCTGGAATCGGCATGGTTCAATCTCTAGAACTTTCTCGGGAAAATTGGAACCTTGTTCTTGGTGGCCTGCTTGGCGTTTTCGTAGCTGCTTTCCAGGTCGCTTCCAACATCGCTAGCGACGTCCTTGGCCCTCTCGTAACGGTCCTTGGCACCTTCTTTCAAATCTTCAGCCTTGTGGCGGACAGTTCGGTTGGCTTCGCTGCCTCGTTCCTTGGCTCGCTCCCAAGTGTCTTTGGCGCCATCACGAAGGTCTCCAGCCTAGAATCAGTGGCGTGAAACTGCAATTTCTTTTTTCTGAAAGGAACCTTGTTTTTGGTGGCGTGCTTGGCGTTTTCATAGCCGCTCTCCAGGTCACTTTCGACGCTGCTTCCGACTTCTTTGGCGCGTTCGTAACGTTCCTTGGCTCCCTCTTTGGCATTGTGGTACTTGTCCTTGGCGTCGTCTTTGGTGCGTTCCCAGCCTTCGCGGACGTCTCTGGCCTGAAAATAAATGTTTAAAAAAGCTCATGTAGTTCTTTAGTTCTTCATGGACTTCGAAGCCAAAAAAGCTGGAGTAACTCCAAGAAGCTTTACCATATCTTCGGAAGAAGTCTCAAAGAGATAATAATAACCTTGTTCTTGGCGGTCCTCTTGGCGTCCTCACAGCCGCTTTCGACGTCGCTAGCGATGCTGCTTCCCTTTTCCTTGGCGTCGCGGTACTTGTCCTTGACTTGGCGCTTGGCCTCACGACCATGCTCTTTAGCCTAAAATACAAATAATCTTCTGAGAATTCTTCAATCTCTCCCACCTTTCCCTTGACGTCTTCGTAGGCGCTCTCGGCGTCGCTACCCACTTCCTCGGCCTGAAGTGATCCTTAAAACCCTCCAACAAACAAGAAAATTCACTTTGTCCTTGAGATTTCTTTTCGTTTCGCGGTATTTCCTGCGTTCTTCGGCTTCGTCGCCGCTGTCCATCGACTTGCGACGCGAGGATTTCTTGCCGTCGTCGCGGCGGAACTTCTCGACCTCGCTTCCGAACTCCTTCATGTCCTTGTAGTTGTCGATCTCGCTCTGAAAAAACTTGATTTAAAACTTTTTTTTCCCCCAGGATCCAAACCTCGGAGGAGTAGGAGCTGCTGTCCTTAGGTTCGCCAACGACACGATGAATTGCGTTCTTGATTTTCTCGCCGGCCGTCTTAGCTTCGCGATTCTGAAGATTTGAAGATTCTGACGACGTCGGTAAAAGTCAAGCTCACGTTTGATGACATTGTCGCAGAGAATTGATGCGTATCTTCAGAATTGTACTGAATGTATGATAATGAGTTGATCTCGACACGGCTTTATATATCGACAAGTTGTTGACAATAAGTGACGTCTTCATGACATCATTTCCAAGCTTTTGAGTCATTATGACGTTTGATGAAACTTCATTTCTACTTTTTATCGGTCTTCTGAGAGATCATGGTAGCTATTCTGGAATGTTTTTATTATTTTAATATGGAACCTTTTTAAAAGTTGAAGGTCCTAGTCACGCTAAATCCTTCAAAAGCTCAAAATTTTTCGTGGAATGTCAAGAATGGGGTGTAATGAGATTATGAGTGCTCCTACAGTAACCTGGACTTTTTTCAGTGAAAAACAAAAAAAAAGTACTGCAGAGCTTCTTCTGGATGATGTTGAAGAGCTTCTGAAGTGGTCACTTGAATAATCGATTTTTTTCTCCCTGATAGTCTGAGTAATCTGCTCTAGGATAGATCAAAGAAGCTGATGTCCCTACAGTGGCCACTAATTTCAGCTTCTCTCAATACCTGAAACACTATAAAGTCACCAATAATAGCTCTTATCTTAATTTTTTGTAGTTTTTTCTCACTTTCAATAAACTTCACCCTCATTTTTCTGGTTTGATTTCGGCCACCGCATCAATTTTGATCTTTGTGTTCAATTCGATAGTGGAAAAAACCTGCTTTTTCCCTTATTTTCGACTACTTTTTCTTCTTCCTTTTGTCATTTTTTTCGAATTTGTTTTTCTCTATTCAAAAGATTCAATATTTTTTTGACCCTGAGCGTTTTTTTATAGGATTAACTTTTGTATTTTTCAAGTTCTATAGGAGAAAAAATGTTCTTACTTCTCCTCAATAATAATTGTGAACAAAGTTGCCGATTTTCAGATTTTTCATTTCATGAGTAACTGATTCATTTCCACCAAAATCCAGGAAGAAAATCAATTTGGAACGAAAAAATCGGAAGCGAATCCAATTTCCGGACTTTTCGTGCACTTGACTCATCTGGAAAAAGAAGATTTTCAAAGCATCTCATCTGCTTTTGACATGTTTTTACCTTTTATTCTATAGAACTGGCTCATTTTTCTTTCGACTGAACCTCCTAGACAGGTACTTCGAAGACTTTTCCTCTCATGTCGGGTTTTACAAGTTAGAGCTGGAAAAAAAGTTGAACTGTGAATTTTCGGTTACGGTAGTCGCTTGATTAGTCTTTGCGTATCAGGAATTATTAAAAAAAAAATTCACGACATCTCAGTAATTTTACATTTTTTTTTTCTTGTCTGTCTCTGCTTTTTTTCACTATTTCGGAGTCTTTCCTTTTTTTAAAAATCAATTTTTTTATTGAATTTCAAAAATAATTTTTTTATTTAAAATTTTCTTAATTTTTTTCTTTCATAAATTCTCATAACAATACCATTTTTTTCTGACCTCAATTTTTGGAAAATTGCGAGACTTCGAAACTTTTTTCTTTTCACTTGGAAGGAAATGAATCGAGTTGCGTTATCAGATGGAAAAAGACCATTGAGGAAGTTCGGCCCTTGGGTGTTTCGCTTTTTTTTTTTTGAACTTTTTTGAAACAAACGATTTTCTTTGGAGGCTTGAGATTGAAAAAGAGCCAGAAGAAAGGAAATACAGATTTTCGTGCTGGAAAATTTTTGACTCGTTTTTTTTGACAGTTTTGTCTGGAAACTTTTTTAAAAAGTCCGCTTTTTCAAGGTTTTTCCTTTGCTTCTTAATTTATATGTATTTTATCTGGATAGCTTCTTCATTTTCGTAGAAAAAAAATTATTTTATAGATTCGCTCCTTGAGGTTTTATCGACTATTATATAAGAAGTTTGATAAAAATAGCTCCATCAAGTGATTTCTTATTTTTTTTTTCCCTGTCATTTTGAACCATTTTTGTTGCCTGGTTGCTTGAATCGAATAGAATTCAGTGATTAGTTCAATTTCAATTGAAATTTTCAAGGTTCGAGGGGGCAAATCGGTAGAAAATGTCGGCATTCCGGAGGATGCAGCATGCGCTCATCGCCAACATTACACGCGACAACCGAAATGTCAGTTTTTTTTAAATATTTGATTTTATTGAGTTTCATGTGATAATGTGATATTAACTGAGATAAAATTACGGATGAACCCTCTTCGCACTTGGAATGGTTCGGAACGTCGCATTGCAGTTAGAGATAAATCTACAGAAAGCTGGAAGACTTCTAAGATTTTGCTTTGATTCCGGATTTGTCGCCGCCGCGGTAGCCGTTTCAAGTCGGTTGCGCCTTGAAGCAGCATTTCGACGTTGAGACATTCTTCATGCGATCATGAGTCTCCAACTTCGTTCAAATCGGGGATGGAGAGTTATGTTGAAGAAAGAGTAGATCCAAATATTGAAGGAGATGCAGAAATGTCTCATATAAATGATGAAAAAAGAGAAGCTTTTTCAACATATTCGTGATTCTTTTTTACAAGTTCTTCGAAAACTTCCGGTTATTTGCCAATTCCTCGATTTATTGAAGCGGAAATGAACGTCATGGACGTCGATCTCTCAACTTGGAACATGAGAAATGGAGTTTTGGAAAGAGATATCGGGAAAAATTTAGCCTTTTCCGGCATTTTCAGCTTTTTTGGTCGTCGTTGATTTCATCTTTTTTTGAGGCTTTCATGGGCTTCCCCAAAAAAACTACAAACCCATTTTTTTCGAATATGTCATAAATATTCCACTTGAATCATCTTTTTTTCATGAACATTCTTTAAATCAATACTTTTTTGTTTGACCTTTAAGTTTTTTTTAGAATTGCTTTTGACTTTTTAGAAGTTGTAAAAAGGGGTTTCTATGATTTTCCAAGCGCTCTAGGTTAGTTATTCAATAGTAATTGAAAAAAGAAAAAGAAAAAGAAATCTGTACTCTAAAAATTCGAGCTCGATGATTAGGAAGCTTCTGGTCTGCCAAGGATCAAAAAATCGTTCTTTTTTCTTCCACTCTACTGGTTATCTTCTCATTTGCGCTTGAATTGAACTTGATTTTATTCAGAGATTTTGAAAAATAGCTCTAAAAACCCTTGTATAGTCCCAATTTGTATTGGCCATGAATATAATTCAGAGGGTCTTCAAATGTTTTTAACCCCATTTTTTGAATCTTCACATTTATTTTAATTTTTCTCACGTCCTCAACTCAAATACATTGAATTTTCATTCTCCCACGGAATCTCGAGAAAGTTCCCCTCATTTTTTTCATTTCTCCTTGAATATTCAATTGAGAAACATGGAAGGCTTCATGTTTCCGAGAATTTTGATTAATTTATGAATTTGAACTTTTTTTTCAAGTTAAACCGGTTTATTAAAGGAGCATGGCTTTCGATTTAATCAAAACTATTTTCAAGGAGGAAAAATTTTTGAGCATAAATGCTACTAAAAAAATTAAACTTCAACGGTTTCACAAAAATTTTTCAGTAATAAAAAGTTGGTCTTCTTGAAAGAGAAAAAAATATATATTCTATTGAATTCAAGATCCAAGTGAACTCGTCAGGGTTCACACTGATCTGTCAATAAATTGTTACTATCAAAGAGCCAGTATATTTTTTTCCTAGTTTTTCTGTCCAAACTATCCCAATTCTTCTTCTTTGAAAGTTCACAGTCGACACAAGTTCTCAGTGGGGAAAAATTGGCCCAATTACTGAAGAAAACAAGAAAAAAAGGCTCACTTAGAGAAAATATTTCCGTTATTCTTTTGTAATTTCAAGATTTTCGTGAATATTTTGATTGTTTTCTGAAATTTAGAAGGATATGTGTATCTTTAGATGATCCTTCTAAAACTGCGTCATTGAAAAAAATTGATGAAAAAAATATTTTTCCTTTTCTTCTGTTCAAAAAGATTTGGTTTTAGAAACTTGAAAACCAATCTATTAGTTTTTTTCTTCATTTTTTTAAAGAATCCTAAAAATTTTAAAGAAAAAAATGGTGTAACAAAAAAAGTCTCAAATTAATCGGAAGAGCGCACTTGAGCTCTTTTTGCAATTTTCATTGAAAAATCAAATTTTGAATAACACAAAAAAAAATAATTGGGTAAGGCTTTGTGCGGCTATTTCTGAGAGAAAACTTATTTTTAGCAAGTTCTATTTGTAACTCATGTTTCCCAAGAATTTTCTGAAGATTTTGGGAAAATTTGGCTTATTGCCAACAACGAGGTTCCTTATTTCAAGCCTCAAAAACGAGGATTTTCGCGACGATTCGAGCTTTTCCAGTTCCCATTTTTGCAAAGTCTGCCCTTTAATTTGGATGAGCTCATCTTATGTTTTATTCCAAGTTCAAATTTGTTATTCTATTCAAAGCGGGAAGTTTAGTAGACATTTCGTAGAACTGGAAATATTTATTTAATTGTGGGAGGTTTTTTTTTGTTGACTTGACGTAGTCTATATGATTCACAGCAATTTTTATTGATTACTTAATTTTTTTTTTTCGAGTTTCATCGTCGAGGTCCGGCGAAAATTGCTCAGAGATGTTACGATTACTTGCTATAACAGTCAAAAAAAATTGTTTGACTCGGTTAGCTAGAGGGTCGTGTGAAATCGAGCTCTATAGATAAAGAGTTTGGGAACTGTTTTAGAGCAAAAATAAAATCAAAAAAAGAAAGATAATCTGGAAAAAAACATCCTAAAATAAAACAGAAATGCTGAGAATTAAATACGAAGATTATTTAGATTTGAATTTTTTTGAGATATCATTTGTAAAATGAAATTTCATGCACGCGCTTTCGTTTGTACACGAAAAAACTTTGAAAATCTTAGAGCTGTCAGTTTTTAAAACTATAAATGCATTTTACTTTTTTTCTGAGTTTCAAGAATTGGAATAGTCCAAAGACTAGGGTGTCACCATTTTTAGGGTCTTTTTTCATTACCTTCTCTTTTTTTCCAATTAAGAATCTTGGATCAAAGCACACCGAGAAAAAAAAAGACGCACTAACGAGTGACAGCAAAAAAGGCAATATATTGCTGCTGCTCTGCTTGGATGGAAACAAATAAATGACATCCATTTCGGCCCCTTTTATTTTCTTCCATTCATTTTCTTTTTCTTATTGTCTTAGAAAAAGCCTTTCTTCTTTTCGCTATGAATAAATGTGGATTTTTTTTTTTAACTTGCAAAAAACCGACAAAAGATTATCTTTGTTTGCAAAAAGATTATCCCGAGAAGGAAATAGCAAACATACGTGAGTGCGTTTTTTTTGCTCATTAAAAGATTAATTCAACCACATTGGCCGTTTTTGTTCTGGTTTCAACTTGGATATAACCATGCGGCGTCGGCAGAAGTAGGCTTCGCCTCTTTTGAAAAATCAAAAATAAATTCTCTTAGTTTTGAACAGTCTGGCCTGTTTAAGATTTTGCTTGAACCATTAGACTTATCATCGTTTTTCATGCCTTATAAAAACGTGCGGCACTTGCAGAATACTCCGCTCTTTCTATAACACATTTGTGAAGCGTTTCTAACTTGAGTAAGTTCGTGAAACGCTATTTTGTTTCGATTTTTCAAAAAACAGAGTGTTTGGCGTCTGGAAATGTTGAAACGTGCAGTTGTTGCAAAATTAGTCTCCTCCCCTTTTTCTGCGCACTATACTGTATAAAATGTTCAGTAAGGGAAGTCCTTTGTTCCGGCTCTATCAGAACCTTGCAAAGGAACACTTTTTCGTTCGTTGCAAACTGAGAAGGTCCTGAATTATAAATTTGAGCAGTGAGCCATTGAAGTTTTTCTAGGGCTGCACTTTTAGATTTGACATGGGATTTTTTTGGAGCTAATTTTGGAGTTTTAAGAATATTGAACAACATTGAGCCATTGGCAGACCTGGAAGCTTTTGAAAATAGAAATCTTGAGAATAAAAATATGTTTTTTGGCCCTCATTCGGCGCCGAATTAACAATGCAAAAGAAGAATAAAAAGAAGAGAAAAAAGGAGAAAAATAACTTCTTCTTCTTCTTTTTTTTCTTGTTTTGTTTAGAATTTTAATTCTTCTCGTCCTATTTTCTGTTTTGAGACGAGTAATTATCCGTTTTTGTATTCGTTTCGTTTGTTTTGACGACTCGCTGAGATTTCTCCTGGGCCCCTGAGAAATTTGGGATGGTGGTTTTTTCCCCCACCCAGCACTCGTTAGAAGGTTTCTCTTTGATTTTTAAAATATTTTCCCAGTGTATCCAATAATTTTTAAGTTTAATTTTTTTGATTGAGGCACTTTGAGAAGGCTTGACACCTCTTCAAACATAAAATGAAATTAGTGCGCTCGAAAAGAATGGAAACGAGGGGAATTTCCTTTTTTTCTGCAATTTTCGGTTGAACATTTTTTTGAAATTTTTTTATTGTAAGTGCGCCAAATAAAGGCGATTTTTAATAATTTTTCTTTCTTCAAGAAACATCATCATTTAAACCTTATTTTTTTCAACTTCCAAATTTGAAAAAAGCTCATGTTCTACATGGTCCTACAGCCGAATCTAGCAGCCTTCTCTGATTTTTTTCGATATGTTCCTGCGCAAATTGTTTTGTGTCTGGCGCACTTTGAATCAGCGTCTAGCCATTGCTCTCATCAGTTTCTGAGTTGGAAAAAATAGATAAAATCTCTAAATTTTGCTCAGCAAAGTTTGTTTTGTTCTCTATTTGAACCATTTATCAACATTTCCTTCATTATTTTCTCTTTTTTTTCAATTTTTCTCATCTCATCACTATTTATCATTTAATGTTTCGCTGAAGTTTTTTTTCTCAAATCGCAGCTGGAAATTTGAAGTTTAAGGGGATTTTCTGTATTCTTTTGGATGTTCGGCGGGACAAATTGAAGAAAGACCTGGATGTCCAACTTTCAGCAACGGCTCAATGTGTTTCGAAAGCAATTTCACGCCAAGGTACATCTGATAATCGTCTTTTTTACGCCTTATTGTCGAAAATGGAACTAGGAATCTCTGCCCTTTTTTGGCTTTTTCAGAACATTTTTGATTTTTTTGTTTCGAAAACTTAACGGGGAGATTTTTTCGTTTTCTTCTAATCTCTGAGTTTTTGGATAGTGAAAAAGTGAATTTTGATAGCCATGAAAAATAATTATTTAGGGTTCTTTGGTAATGAGGAAAAGTTCAAAATGGTAACTTGAAAAGTTTTGAGGTTTTCAGTGGCCTCGGAAGTAGGTGAAATGCTGTTTTTATTTTCCTAACGGTTTAAGAGACCACTCAAAAGGTTCAAAAGTTCAATTGACCAAATTTGGAGTTGCTCTGATTTTTCAAACTCTTCAGGACTTCAGTTTTCTATTAGGCGCAGGCTTGCGACCGTAAGGTCGCCATTTGGGGTTTAGAGAGTTGAAGTTGTGTTTCGAGAACTAATGACTCCTAAAGGGGTCACTTAGACGGCTTTCGTCTCACTTTTTCACATATAAAAATTGTCTAGGGACCTTTATTTTCATGAATTTTCTCAGTATCAACGTAATAGTGAGTCGAGAACGCGAAAACAGAGAACTTTCATTGTACTTGTAACAAAAGAAGAAAATATCAAGATAACGAGAATTCCTTATATCAAAGGTACGATTTTAGGGTGCTATTAGGGTTATTTTTTTCATGAAAATGTTGACCGGAAAAAGTTCAGAAAAAGTGGTCTTCGTACTTTTTTTCTATCTAAGATGAAAAAAAGATACATTTTATTTTTTTGAAAAATTTTTTTAATTATTTTTTTACTTTTTTTAGGTAAAAAACAATTGCAATTTTTTTGTTCAGTCAAATAAATTTACCCGCTAAACCCTATTTTGTGGAAATTTCAGTTGATTTCACTCCTACATTCAAATTTTTTTCGTTTTATTTTTTTCAATTTACAGTGAATTCGAAAGATCACGATGATGTTTGCAATGGAATGCTTCTCACAATCGTTGATTTCTAATCTTTATCATCTATTTTTTAATGGAAATTTACTTTTTCGATTACCATCCCTTTCATATCCTGGAAACGGCCGTCGTATCACAGGAAATCATTTATTTTCCCATTTGTGGAGAGAATATTGTCTTTTTGGGCCGGGAAAAAATTGACGTTTTGTTTGAATATTATTAGTTCGGCGTAATAAGTCGAGTATTTGTGGCTTCTTTTCAGAAGAAGCCTTGCCCCCAGAAAGACTCGAGAGATTAGTCTTTATTTCTTATTTTTTGAGCCTTTTTTTAAAATATTGATCGGGGTTTTCGAGAAAATAATAATCCTTCTTTGAGTAGGAGAGTGAGGATCAAGTTTTACAATTTTTGAATATTTCTCTCAAAAGTATCAAAGAGTCACTATTACAGTACACTCTTACTTACTAGTTAGGCAAAATCTCAGTTTTAATGCGAAAAATTGTAATTTTTAAGTCTTTCGTTGAATTTCCAATGAATTCTCGAGCCAGCTCATAATGATATTCATTTGTTAGCTTCCTATTTATTTTCGCCACTTTATTAGGGACGAACTTTGATTTTTGAATTCATAACTTTTTTTCTTAGTAACTGTTATTGTTATCAAGCTTGCAAATCTTGCATTTAGTACATTAAAATTGTGTTTTCGAGCAATTATTAGCTAATTTTATTGACTAATGTGTAATTAATGAACCCAAAAGGAAGGTTTTCTGATTTGCAGGAATACTGAGAAGCAGATAGAACGCTTCGAAATTTTTTCTCGTGTTTTGAGTTTAGTTTGAATTTTGTGAGATTTTGAATTTTCGAAACCTTGAAAATAAGGCTGAATCAAGGATATCGATCCTTTTTGAAAATTTTTTAACCAAAAAGTAGTTTTGAAAACTTGGTTTTCATTTCCCAAACACCTTGGAAAAGATTCGTTCTTTTGTGAAACTTTCAATAAAATTTATTGCGCCAAAGAATCTTTGAGAGCTCGACATTTTTTTTTCTTCTTTGAAACTCGTGAAACATTTACAATTTTCTCTTGGCTTTTTGCTCTCTTCAAGTGGGTTTTCGGAGTTTTTTTGCCCTGAAAGTTTTCTTTTTGAAGCTAGTTTTAGATTTTTCCGCGTATTCTGGAGCATGTCCAAAGAAAGAATACCTTAAAATACTTATGGTTTGAACTGTGTGCTTTGCATCATTTCCACGAACTTTACTTGGGGATGAAACTCCTGTATTTTTTCTTCATTCAGATGAAAATCGCTCGATGGGCAAGTTTTTTCTCTCTGTTATCATATCCTTATCATTACCATGTTTTTATGAACATTCGCTTCGATTTGAAATTTCGTGGCCGCACAGAAAATGGCTTTGAGCATCACGGTCGCGTCATTTTTAAATTGAAACTCCTTAGCTTATTCCAATATTTTCCGATGTCTCCGCCCAAAATCGCTTACAGTCCGGCGCATCTTGCAGCAGCTTTTCAGTCATTCCACCTGCGACCTCAAGCTATCAACTCATGTTGAGATACGTTTAGTAAACATCTGAAAAGAAGTACAGAAACTGATCTCCGCTCGAAACTTCACTTCCAGAAAGAGAGAAGGGAAAAGAAGAGAGTTCGCAACTTCAAACGGAAGTAAATTCAAATTAAAGGGGGCCGCAATCTTCCCAGCCATTTATTTTCCAGCGCATTCAAAAATTTGTATTCACTTTAAGTTGGCTCTATTTCGAGAGCCAGTTTTTTTAGAAAAAAAATTTTTCAAAAAGTAAAAAAACTTTATTTATGAGATTTTTAAAAAGAAAAAAAAGTTTTTTTCTGAAAAATTGAAACAAACATTTATTCGAATTGGGTACAGTATGAAGCTTGTCCTTTGATACATAACTATATTTTCTTCTCCAGCCTTTGGATTTTGTTTTTGCTGTTCTCTTCCTAAGTTATTCAAAAAACTGGCTAGAACCACTAGAATTTCTTGAAAGCTTTGAAAAATCATGTGCGATGCTTATTATACGTTTTCCTTCTTTCATTTGAATCAAAATTGCTTATTTTTCGTCTGGACTCAAAATTTTGTGTATATTTCGTCTAGATATGTGTTTTCTTGCAGCGGATTATTGCTTATTTTTTTCTTTTTGTCTTTTGTAGCTTTTTATTGGAATTTGATATTGGATTTTTCGGGTTTCTTAGGATGCTATTGTTATAACTGGGGTAGATATTAGTTTTCGTGATCTGAAAAAAATTTTCTAGTTTTTATCAATTTTTCTCTTTGATTTTTTTCTTATGAAAGAGGTGGAAGGGAGGGTCTATGTATAAATTTTTAGTTTCTTTTCAACTTCCACGTCTACTTAACGACTCCAGCGTACAAATTGTGATTGACAGTGAAAAGATTTTTGCTTTTTTACTTTTTTTTTCAAATATATTTTTCTTTTAAATTGTCGAATTTTCTCTTCTAAAGTACTGATATTCCAAAATTTTTCTTCTGCGATACCAACTACAGACAGTAACCTCTCGGAACTTTGCAGAATTAACATATTAGAAGGTTTTAAGTTACAACAAAGAATTATGGAAAATATTAGAACCGGAAATTCTATCCTAATCGTGCCGCCAGACTCGTTACTTGATACGTCTGACGTCGACAAAAAGTCAAATATGAAAGTAGATTTTGAATTTCAAGCCTTTTTTTGGAGTAGTCTAGAGTCTTTTTCTCCTTTTGTTCCCAATATCCAATTAACTTTGAAAGGACCGATTTTTTCCGAGATTTCTGGTGGTTTTTTTTTACATGTGACCACAAGTTTCAAGAACTTTTAAAGAAAAATTCAAGAATTGAAAGCTTTTTATTTCAAAGCTAGTGCCAAAAAAGACCCCAAAAAGGAATTTTTCTCTTTTTTTTAGTGAGCTGCGGGAACTTTTCCCATCAAACGTCAAGAAAGAAACGTATCATCAAGTGAGAAAAAACGGCTGTGGCCAAAAATTTTATATATCCATTTTCCATATTTTTTTTTCAGCAAGACGTTACCTTTTTTCAAATCAGAAAAACGACTGTAGTGCATATATGGGATGAGAATGACTGGCGACAGCCAATTTTTTTCTTTACGGTTTTTTTGCCAACCCCCATTTTCTCGCTTTTTGCCAAGTCCCCCTTCACCTTGTTTCTGGTCCCACCGAGACTATCCCACGTATGCTGTAGTGTCCGTCTTGACCTTCGCTCAGACTGTTGCTGTTCAAAAATCTGAAACTTTGTTCTCATCACTTCAGAATGACTCTCATGATTCCTCGAGACATAATTACCGTTCCGGACCGGTTCTCATTAACATTTTCCGCCTAGGTTTTGGTAATTCTTCAAAAAAATTCTTCAAATACTCGCTTGGAATCGATTTTACTTCGTTTTAATCAATATTAGGGAAATTCCTTTAAAAAAAAATCGAAAAATCCAAATATGATCTTACAGTATTTCTTGTCTTTGATATATTATTTTCATTTTCGAATAACTTCACAGTTTTTAAAATGATAAATTTGTCCATGAAGAGTATAAGAGCCCATCAAGCTTCAAGTTATAATAAATATTCTACTTCGAATGTTCAAAAAATAAATTTCCTATTTCTACCTCAAAGAGGATTCCTTTCAATGTCAAGGGTTTGAAAAAAACTCGTTTTTAATTTCACAATAGGGAAATCTTCGGATTTTTTGGAATATTTCGGAGAAATTTGCGCGTCAATTTTGATACTCCCTGAATTTAGGGCCAAATTCGTTAAAAAATGATTTTTGCTTTTTTTTCGGTAACTTTTTTTCGGTGACTAATGTAGGAGGGTCTCTCATGAAGTTGAACATCAAATAATGCCCGATTTTTATCTTTTCCCTCAATTTTTTGAATCTACCAGCGTCATCTCGGACCCCGTGTCGATTCAAGGTTGTATTTGGCTCATTTCCAGTTCATTCGGGCCTCGATAATTTGCCAATTTCGGGCATCCGATGAAGCCCTCCTCCTACGAAACAACTCCATTAGCCTTCTTTTCCCTTTGGATGCACTCCACGACGACAATTTGCCATTTTTTTTTTCTTCAGTTTCCGTCTTTTTCGCTTCCGTGTTTAATTGCAATGACTTACATAATTTTCATTCATTCAGCTTGCCTCTATCAGGCTAGAAACTTTCTTATATCGAAAACTGCTGTCTAGAATGAGTCTAAAAATTTTTTTGAGATTGGCTGATTTCGGAATATTTTTTTTAAAAAATTCAAAAAAATTAAATTTTTGAATGTACTCACAATGTCAGTTGAGCAAATTCAATTCCAATGACTTTTATAATTTTCAAAAGCTGATATTTTGCGCCTGCCCCTATCTGACTGGAAACCTTTTTTCGGTTTTTATAAATGGAACCTTTTTTCGGAAGTTTCTTGGCTTTCATTGAACTCGTTTATTATTTTTTCTTTAAAAGTCCCATCAAGTGGTGTCCAAACTCAGAAGAGCCCGGCTTAGAAGCCAACGGCGCGACCGACCCAAAACGATTTGCGCGAGATAGCATTAGAGCGTGCTTTTAGCTATGAGACATTACACTTGTGACCAAATCCAGAAGATTTTCAGAAAGTTTTCCGAACTTTTGCTTTAATGTGTGAGGCCTTTACGATTTTTCCGATTTAATTTTTCATGAGCTCATGTTCTGACTTATTCAAAAGTGTGGAGGAGTTTAAAAAGGCGTTTGGAGCCGCCAAACTTCATTTTTTTTTTTCGTTTTTCTACTCTGTAAAATTTTTAGAAATTCTCCGATTTCATCTACATTTTTCATATTCAACTTGAAAGCGACACCTTCAAAATTTCAGTTTATCGTGAATGATACGAGAAAAATATGTTAGGTTGATGTTTTCAGATGTCGCTGCTGGACACGGAAGACCTGACGGGCGGCGAGATCATCTTCGCCGACGACGTCCAGGAAGAATCCAGTCTGATCGCCGACCTCTTCAGAAGGCCTTCAAGTCTCGGCAACAAGTATGATTTTTTTTTTTTCGATTTTCTGACAAGTGAGCAGAAATCACAAAAAGTAACAAATGAGCAGAGATTGTGAGCAGAGATCAGAGAATAATGCTTTTTGGAGATTAATGAGAACGTCGGCTGGAAAAAGTGAGAGATTAATGGGGCTTGAAGAGACGTCAGACAACGAGATCGCCTTCATTCTTTTGCGTCTCTTCGGCCCGCCGCTGATCTCTCGTCTGTTTTTGATAAAGCTCTTTCAATCAAAAAAAGTTTTAAAAACGGCTTCGACTCCCCAACAAAAGTATTAAAACGGAAGTTTGAATTAGGTTTCTCCAAAAACGTTGGGGAAAAGGGTTTCACAGAAGTTTAGGAACATTAATGATTTGATTGAGAAAAGGTATTGTAGAAAACTTGATGAAAATTTAATTCGTTTTTTTGTTAGTTTTTTTTTTCGGAAATTGGGATGTTTTGTGGAGGGTTTCAAGGGCTCTGATTGCACGTCAAGCATCAAAAATCAATGAAAAGTTGATTTTTTGCATCCTTTTCTTTTTATCGACTTGAAATCGGACTTTCTTTTCTAAGATTGAAATTCCCGCTTGAAACGATGATGTCTAGCGGATCCACGGAACAAATCTAAAACTTTTGAAGTCACATTAAAAACATAAAGTGGCTTCAGTTTCTCAAAAAACTTTTCGGGGAAACGAACTCCACGAAAAAAAAGTCGAATCCATAATCAAGAAAATGACATTTTCAGCCATTCCCCTACTCTTTTTTTTTGCTCGTCATTATCTATTCGTCACGAACTCGTGTCCAGCCGTTTGCCAGAAAAACTTTACTTCTTGTTTTTTTTTGCAGCTTTAAGGAAGAAGATCCTGGTTTAGGGATATTAATTCCCACTTAAGTAATTTTAAACAACATTTCAAAACCTGAAAAGGCATCGCATTTTAGGAGTTTTCATTGTAGACCTGAGATAGGGTTTTCAATTTTTCATGAAGATTTTTCTGAAAAGAAGATCTCTACTACAATATATCTATCACCAACGTCATATTCGATGTTGAGTCTTTAATCTGTTTACACTCGTCTCTCAAAGAAAAGTGCATTCATCCCCCATCTGCCAACGGAAAACGAATCTGTTTTCTCATCCACTAATTTCAATGTCTTCTTTCTTTATCATTCATATTGTTTTTCAACGGCTCCGTTGTCTTTTCTAAACATATATAAATCAGCTTCGACTTATATTTCAGTTGGAATAATATATATTCAAGCCTCTTTTCTTCTCGAAACATTAAGGAAATTATCGAAGTTGGAATATAATTGATACTGTCTCAAACATATTATCATCTTTCCATCTTCATCATAAGGAAGTTTTGAGAGATAATACGCTATAAAAATGTTGATTTTCACTCAATTTACAATTCAACACCTCTTTTTCTTGTTGCTGGACTTATTTTTTGCAATTTTTGAGTGTTTTTCGGACGACTTCCAGTCTGTTTATTTTTGAGTTATTGAGGTTGGAACAGGTTTTTCTGTTTTTAAATTTTTTTAAACTTCAATCTAAATAATTTGAGAGGTTATCCGAGAGTTGAGAATGCTGTAGTGATTTTTTTCAAAAGCTCGGACTCGTCCAAACTTTTCTCAAACTTCGTCCACAAAATTCAAGAATTTTTCAGCTCTTTGAGGATTGAAAGTTAGGTTCAAAACGCTGAAGTGATCGCTCTGAAAGCTTTTTGAAGCTTTTCACATTCTTTTGCATTTTTTTCACTTGTCTGATAAAACTTATCAAATTTTTCTTTTTTCCATCAGAGTATGAATTTATAGCTTTCTAAAAAAACATTGCTCAAGGGATCACTAAGAAATTTCAGAGGATAATTAGTCATCCTTTTCAGATTTTTCCAATTTTCGGTCAGTTGTTTACATATTTCGAGAAGTCATCCAAAAGGTTCAAAATCCAATTTTTTTAAAAAAATTTTTACATAATGTGGTCTCTAGCATTGAAAAAAAGATTTTTTTAGTGATCGAAAAAAACTTTTTGATTTCTATATGTTTCTTTTTATTTTTTTAATCCGATTGGTCGCATCGATTCACCTGTAGCACGTGGACCCGATACTGAGTGAACAAGACCAGAAAGAAAAAAAAACCGAAACGAAACGAATTTTTCTGCCCCTATGAATTGTTTTTGACGGCGCCGGCGACGTTTAAAATGTCGACTGTTTCAAAAATTGTCCGAATTGTGTTGACGACGTCAGGTGGCTGTGTATTTACCTGTTCAATTTGCTGCTGTTTTTTTGGAGTTTTTCGACAAAAACGACGCGAAATGAGCCAGAAGCAAGAGGAGGACATTAGGTATGGTCGGTTTATTCGAGAAGATTTTCAGTAAATTGAAGAGGGGTAATTGAAAAGGACATAGATCAAAGTATTTTTTTAATATTCTGAAATTTTGAAGTCATTCTGATTTTCTTCTAGAGTCATTCTTTGAAAAAAAAACTCAAGAGACAAAAAAAACTTGTCGGAAGACACCAAGTGATCACTTGAGGATAGGGAGGAAAACATTTTTGGAAGTGTTAGAGGGTAAGAAATAACAAGAATTTTCTTCCAAAAATTTCGAAAGAACTAAAAGTGGCCACCTTTAGAACTTTTTCCATTTTTTTAAAATGATTTCTGAGGTTTAGAATCATAAAAACTCAGAAAATCATACAATATGTTCTTGAAACTCAAGCTGAAAGACTTTGTAGGTACCCAAGAAGGCACTTAAGGGATTTCGAAGTTTTCAAGGCACCTATTAAAGAGATTGAAGGGTTTGGTTTTTCGTGTTTTTTTCGTGAAAAAAAGTCGCTTTTTTTGCTTTTTTTGGATTTTCATGTAGTTTAATATTTCAAGCTAGTTTTTTTCATGATTCATATCCATTTCCAGAAAAAAATCCCTTTTTTTCCGATATGAGCTGGGGATAAGTCCCTGGATAAAAAAGCATTTTCGAGAATATCATTTTTTTCGAAAGTTCATTCTTGAAGATAGAAAACTGGAAAATTTGTGCGGCGATGAAAACTTTCAATTGTCGACTTTATAGCTCGTGGTTTTCCTTACTCTTTGGGAGAAACAGCTATTTTAAATTTAATTTTAGTGATTTCCGTCAATTATCGTCCATTTTCAACCGAAAGACAATTTTGTAGGTACAATTTTCTCCTTGTGACGCAAATTTTAAAAAAGCGGTTTTTTTTTGTTTTGAAACCCACGCCTTCAATTATTTTCATTCATTTTTCTCTTTTCGAAGCCCAGAATTATATTTCTTTTTTCCATTTTTTTATTGTAGAATTTAATGGATTTTGCATAATTGTGGGTTTGAAAGATTTTGCGAGAAATGATTTATTTTGATCTTTTGAAGATTTGGTTTTCAATTTGAAATTGTGGAAGTTAAATCGAAAAAAATAAAGATTTAGCATCGATTTCGATGCAAAATAGACGAACTTTTATCGAAATAAAAGTGATTTTTTTTCTTGAAAACTTGGAAAATTTGCAGGTTGAGATTTTTTTCGTAAAAATCGCAGAGTGCAGAGTAAAATCATTTTCCTTTTTAACCCCGTTCCGACCTTGAGAATCGAAAACCCAAGCTCGAACCTTTCTCGCTTCTGAAAATTCAACTAATTCAGTGAACCGAACAAAGGTTGTCTCTTCAATACCACTACATGAATTATTCAAAGTGAGTTTCAAAGGAAGGTGCCAGAAAAAACTCGCCTTTTCCCGTCTTCTTTTCCTCAAAGCCATTTCGAGAGGGATTTTGTGTCGAATTTCAATTTTTTTTTCTCATTTTGATAGAGCGGATTTCCGGCTGAGTGTGTGCCGTTCGAAATTGTTCACTTCTATTTTTTGGGGCCTGCAAAAATTCACGTTCGATCTTTTTCTATTCCATTTTTTTATAGGAAAAAAAGGGTTTCAACTTCACTTTTTAAAGATTCTTGCAAGAATTAAATTTGAAAAAAAGCTCCCATTGGATATTTGGAAAAATATGAAAAGGATAGCTTTTATGAAAATACTAAAAAGAATAAGGGGGAAAGAACGATTTGTAAGAAAAAACCATTTTTGAATGTAAAAAAACTGCTATGAACTTTTGTAGGTCTAATTCTTGGCTTTTTCAGATAATGGTTTAATTTTTTTGAGATTTTCCTTCTCTTTCACTTTTTTTAGGCTGTAGAGTTTGTTTGAAACTTTTTGACCTAATAGTGAGATTGAAAAAGACAAAAAAAGTTATGATTTCGCGCCAAAATAACGCGTCCTCTTTTTGTCGAGGCGTTATTTTTTTTTCCAAATTTTTTTCACACGGTTCATTGATTTTTCTTCTGAGCCGATTTCATAATAAAAACACTTTAATAAATTCCCTTTTTTCAATTTCCAATTCTTAGAAAGCAATTTGAAAAAAAGTTATCAAGTTTTTTTAAAACTTACTGGTTTAATTTTTGAACGAAAAAAACCTTTTCACGATTTTTTTCATCCAACTGAGGTTTGAACTGTCTATACTAGTCTTATATAATAGATATTTGTTGTAGATTCAGTGGAAAAAAAGAAGATGAAAGTGATAAAAAGGTGAGGATAAAAGCGCACAAATCGGATTTTCCTCGCCCCCAACCAACGGACGGATTAGCCGTTTTCCCCCGATTTGCACCTTGAAAAACGTTTTGTAAATCGTCTTTCAATATAAAAATTGATTTTGGATTGAAATTTATGCTTGTATTTCACGACTAGCTTCTCACACAGTTCGAGAGAATACAAGCGAAAAAGCGCGAGAAAAGAGGAGAGATTAGAGAAATATGCTCCCGATTTTTGCTATTAACTTTCTGTTAGTTGAGTTTGTTTACATACTCTATAATAAATCCTATGAAAAAGGCGAAACTTTCAACAAAATCCGTCAATATTTATTGTTTTTTTCCTCTACCATCCATTTGTGGCCAGATGTCTTTTTTTCAACAGTTTTTAAAAGCTTTTTTTCAAACATTTTATTTGTCATTTTCCCTGTTCTGTTGATCGTTTCATTGGGTCGAGAAATGGTTTTTTTAAACTCTTATATTTTGATTTAGTTCGATTTCAAACTGTGAAAAAAATGGAAAAAGTTACAAAAATTTTACAAAAACTCATTAAAAAAATTTTTTTCTCGCTGTAATACTAATCAAATCACACAACTATCAACTTGTTTTCTAATATCGCAAAGTTCAATTTTTTCTCAGCTTTTCATGATTATCTTTTCTTTAAAACCCCAAGAAAAACTGCCAATGTTTTTGTATGGTTTTCGGGAAAATCGTCCTTGAATAGTGCCAGTTAACCTAGAAAATGTGTAGGTTGAAGATATTCCTTCCTTTCAAATTTTTTCTATTCTTTTTTTTTTAAATGTTGTGTCGGGCTTCTGTTTTTCCTCGTTGGGAGGAGAGATTTTCGTGATTTGATAATGGAAAAAGTTAGGAAGCAATTCTGCGCTCTGTTCTTCCTTGTTCTTCTCAAGTTTTTTTCAGTTTGTGTCAAAAAGTTTTGCTCACGTTTGATTTTTTCCTGTGGCGTTTTTCAGATAATTTTGTGAGAAAATCCCGGAAAAAAATAGAAATACTTTTTAAAATTGACCTTTTTAAATAAAATAAAATTGTGCCAATTTTGAAGATTTTTTTCTCTAAAGTCTTCAGTTTTTTTGCGAATGATATCATTTTTTTAACGGAACACATTAACCCAATTTCAAAAAAATTTTTCCAAAAAGGTTAAAATTTAATAATAGCTTTTTTTGCGAAGTTGAATCAATTCCCGAGCAAAATAGAATCACTTTTAACTTATTACGACAATATTGGGAGTTTTATTGTTCTTTGAAAAGTTTTTGATCTCGTTAAACTCTTTTTTTTAAGTTTCAGTTTTTAAGTTTAAGTTCCTTTTCGCACTCCGAACTTTCGAGTTTAATTACGTTATTTAAGAGAAAAAGGCCAATTATTTTGAGAAAAATGCTCTTTTCTACATGGGTAATTTTTCCTGATATTTACACGATGAAGCCATATTTTTTTCAGTTCAAAGTTCATTTTTTGACGATACGTTAGAGAAGTAGGTTTTTAGTTTTTCTCTGGCGTCTCTTCAGTTCGCCCTTGATCTCTTGTGCTCGCTGTTTTTTACCGTTCTTGACTTCAAATCCACTCCCGTTCCATTATTCTGTGTTTTTCAAGATCTCTTTTTTTCCTCTTTTGGTTCGACATTCACTTCCACCTAAATTGTGACTTCCGTTTGACGGAAACGCTTATTGAAAACGAAGAGAGAACGCGCAGATCGCAGGGAACGACTTTGGAGCGAAAAAAAAGGAGTTGTTCTGGTGGAAGAGGCGTGGCAGAAGGAAGGGACAACAACTGGAAAGAAAAAAAAAGGAAATGCGTTCTACTTTCGAGCAGCTTTTCCATGGCATCAGGTGCAGTTTCCCACGTCGACTTTAGTCTGGTAGAGGAGGAACGCTTCTTCTTCTTCTCCTCCCACTTCTTCTGAAGATTCTTCTCATTAGCTAGGCCCGATATTCCATGCTTTTCCGATGCAGTTCCATGCGCCGCCTATCTTCACCCATAACAATGGTGTCTCGGCGCCGAGGTATTTTGAATCTGATGGTGATTGTAACCGTGGAATGGCTCTGAGCGTCGCGGTCACGATGCGCTCTACCGTTACCGGATGACCACACGCGCAAGTCGTGTTGTGGTCGGACGAACCTTGATTCAAACGATTCGCAGCCGTTACGCTTTAGGTCATTCCATATGTGCGACTGTTGATCCAAAATTTGGACCGATCTTCGCAAGTTTAGAGAGTTGAAGCTAGTTGATCCGATTTATAAGTTGGTTTCTAGAAAAATCGAACTGTTGTCTGTGAGTTGATATTGCAAACTTTTCGGTGGTTTTTTTTAATGAAAAGTCTCGACTTCTGATCTTGCATCAGTTCAATTTAGCGAGAATTTCCATTTTCTTTTTCATAAAACTGACTTTATTATAAAACAGCAAAAGTGAGTTCGAAGCCAACATGAAGCGGATTTCATTGAGAGAAAAATAGGTTGTTTTGGGCTCTTTTTTCAGTGGTTTATGAAGCGATTCAATTGGCGGGTCGTATTTTTTCATTCAATTTCATTTCAAGAGAGAGTTGAAGTCAATGGGGAGAAATTATGTGTGTGAAAGTCTTTTGAGGGAAAGATTGAAAGGAAATTCGGGAGAAGTTTTCCATGGCTGGAGCTTTGAATTTTAATTTATTGGATTTTTTTGAAGAACAGAACTCAGGAGTTCCTTGGAGACTTTTTTTTTCAAAAGCGTACGGATAGTAAAAATGTAGGTTCGAATTGAAAACGCTATTTTGTGAGATTTTTTTATTGCATATCAATTGGTCTACTTGAAGTCGCACAAAAGCTTCTGTTTTAAAAAAAATTGATTCAAAATGAGAAATAAAACGTATGCAACGTTTTGAAAAAGCCAAATGAGCGTTTTGCAGCAAGGTTGCTCAGTGGACAAAACATAGAAAAAAATTTCGTTCCTTCTTCATTTTTTGATTTTTTCGTGAAATCTTCATAAAAAAATTTTTTTGGTGAATATGGGAGTATCTTCATTGAAACCCATTCTTGTGGCTCAAAATTTAAAATGATATTTGCTTGAAAATTAAGTTTTTTTTTTGAGACTGTAAGTACATCAAGGTAATGCGACGTAAAGCTTTACAAAATTACGAAGAATATTTCCCTTGGTTTTCATGAATAAAATTGATTTTTTGCAGTTTGACGGGCCTGGTGATTCTTTCGATTGTCCTCACGGCGATCGCCATCATTTTCTTCGGCTGCTACTTGATGATGCGGTTCATGCACCGAGCCTTGTCCAGCGACGACACCAAGGACATGTTGGGTTCGTTAAGAGCTCGTTGATTCAATTATGTACACAACTTTGGGCTCTTTTCAGAGAGAAGAAAGTGAAATGCTTTTGTTTTTGAGCAATTTTCCAAAAGTTCGTTTAACCTTTCCTTATTTTTGTTCCCAAGTAATTCCAATGATGAGCAGCTATGTGAAGTAATAATAAACGATCCTTGAAAAAAAAAGAATCGTTTTTAACTAATATAGGTTCAAATTCCAAATCTTCTGCGAAAACCGCCACGTCATCAAGTTCTAATTCTGATCTTTTCTTTTCGAACGTCTTGAAGCCCAAAACATGATAAAAGTTCGAGAAATCTTCATAGTTTTCTTCAAAAGAACTTTAAGGCTGCCAACTCTCTGAAATGAAACTCATTTGGACTTTTTCTCGCGCCGAAATAGCATTTGCCCAAAAGTTGGATCGGAAACGCGTCGCCATTGAGATTTTTGACGCGCTGCCCGAAATCTCCGAGCAGAACAAGAGAAAAAAGCGAAGAAGATAAATTGGATTCAAATGGCAAGAGATATGGCTCCTTTCGGCTTTGGATTGAAATTTCAAAACTGAAAAATGGGTGAAAAGCTGGAAAAGAAATGGTTTTCGAAAGAAAAAATGAATTATGCTTTTCAACAATCAAAGATCACGACCCTTAAGTGACCATTTTTGTATATTTTTTAGTTGTTTCTTGACATTGAGAAGTTCAAAAAAAGGCTTAAAATTGGGAGAAAAAGTTTTTCTGAGAAAAAAACTTCAGAGTTTTTATAACTAAAAATCTGAATCTTCTGAATCCAAATTGAGCATTTTGAGGGCAATCTATTTTAATCCGGTCTTTTGGTTTTTTTTTTCAGTTAGTTGTCGAAAAAAACGTTTTTAAATGTAGAAAAAAGGGCAAAAGTCATCAAAATCAATAAAAAAAAAGCCATTTTTCAGTTGTTTTCAAGTTAAACTGAATCTTTTGATCAGTAACTATAGTTTTCTCCTCTTCTTACATTCAATAAACAATATTTTTAGCGGCTTCAAATCAATATCGAGACGTGGTGATTCATTCGAAGCGGGTCTACGAAATTCAGGCCGAAGAAGGCTGTTTCAGTGGTCCGCCCGACCCTCTTGATCCGTCCGGTGATCTTGAGTAAGTTTTTCGAATTGAAAAAAATTGAATGCATTTCTACCATAAAAATGGGAATCTGTTTCTCTTTGACCTTCAATGAACCCCTTCAAAAATTTCGCTCCTTTTTCTAAACTTTCCCACTTATTTAAAAAATCAAAAGATTGAACGAAAAATTCTTTTCTGAAACTCTGTCAGTTGAGTGCTACTTGAGGCTTTTTCTTCCCCTATTTTTTCAATCTTCAGTGTTTTCAGTAAGGACGATCTGAAGGAAAAGTCCGGATCGGCGACTTCCCTCTCCTCCGTCGTCGATGAGGAAGAGAAGAAGCTAAAAAAGCCCGAACAGGGCGATTTGCGGGCGATTCGTAGTGGAGAGAGCTACGATGATGACCCGAGGGCCATGCTTCGCAAGAAGCAAAAGGTGATTAAAAGTTCATTGGATTTTTTTTCGCGGAAAGAATACATTTTTGATCGAAAAATGATAGCAAAAGGAAGGAGAGAGATAAACTGTGGCCTGAGGAGATTTTAGAGAATCTAGATGTTCCTCATTTCCTCAGCGTCTCTTCAGATCGCCTCTGATCTCTCAAGAACTTTTTTCAAGATAACTTTGAGAACTAGAAACTAGAGATCAGCTATGAACTGAAGAGACAACAGAGAACTAAAGATCCATTGTTTTCCTGACGTCTTTTTGCAACGCAGCTGATCTTTCGCTAGATTCTTTTCTCGCCTTGATATGCTCATTTACAGTAAAACCGGTTCACAGTGAGAAACTGCAATACCATTTTTCAGTACATAATGAAAAATCTTCATAATTTGCAGGTTCATAAAGACTCGGTTTGCGCTTTCTTGTTCCGACCAGAACCTGAGCCGAGGATGGTGTGAACTTCAAAAAGAAATATATGACGATTGCCTTATTTTCTGTTCAAACATGCCAATCAATCAATACGGACCCTCAAGGATCTAATTCGACTCGAATCCTTTCTTAAATAGCCCCTTCAAAGTTGCGTGATACAACTTCTATTGAACTATGTAATGACCACTTTTCATTCCAAGTTTTCTCTTCAGCAACCACTGTCTCCTCTTAAATGACCACTTTCTTTTACCTCACCCCCTGAAATAATGCAAAATGTTTTTTTAAATTGATCGAAATACGGGAACCGAGTCACTGGAACAAATACGTACTTGTACATTTTCTATATGTATATATATATATTTCTTTTTTTTTGCATTAGAATTTGGATTATTTTTCTATCCTTTGCCTCGGAAAAATGTCGGAGAGTTTGAACTATGATTTACTTCACTCAAACAGATATTTAATAAATTGTCTTTTTCTCCTGGAACTGTATACATTTGAGAAAATCACAAAAATATTATCAAAGTGGAAAGAAAAAAATTCAGAAAGGTAAATCGTAAGCTTAGCTCTACTATGGACAGCTATGAAGAAAAGCTGAAGTGGAAAAAAAAAAAATCGAAAAATGCATTTTCGTAGAATGACTTCCGTAGGTCAAATAGGACCCAAGTTATAGGTGATCAAACTTGTCTAACCCCTTAGGATTTATTCGAGCTTCTAAGGTCATGGAAGCCGATCCGGACGAAATGTATATCAATCGATAGATCTCGACGAAAAAATAATCGGAAGCCAGATTTGACCTCCGTAGGTCAAATAGGAACCTAGTTATAGGCGATCAAACTGAGAAGTCGAAAAATCTGAAACTGTTCGAATTTGGTATGGATCGATAGAGGAAATCACAGTGATCAAGAAAAACTAGGTTCCTGAGTTCCTAACCTCCTAGAAGCCGAGTTATGATTAATAAAAAACTTTGAAAAATCATATCTTTCTTTCTAGAAGGCTAGAGACTTTTTGACCTGGTTTTTTGAAGTTCTGACGTCATATCCTATCGATTGATGTGAAAATCTCGAAAACTTTGGTTTTCGGGAAAATCAAAAAAAAAGTGCAGTCTAACCCCTTAGGATTTTTTCGAGCTTCTGAATTCATGGAAGCCGATCCGGACGAAATGTATATCAATCGATAGATCTCGACGAAAAAATAACCGGAGGCCAGGTTTGACCTCTGTAGGTCAACTAGGAGCCAATTTATGGGCGATTAAACTGAGAGATCGAAAAATCTGAAATTGGTCAAATCTGGTATCAATCGATAGGGGGAATCACGGAAAATAAGGAAAACTAGGTCTCTGAGTTCCTAACCTTCTAGAAGTCGAGATATGATTAATAATAAACTTTAAAAAATCATAACTTTTTTTCTAGAAGGCTAGGGACTTTTTGATCAGTTTTTTTGAACTTCTGACGTCATTTCCTATCGATTGATGTGAAAATCTCGAAAACTTTGGTTTTCGGGAAAATCGAAAAAAGTACAGTCTAACCCCTTACCTTTTTTTCATGCTTCTGAGGTCACGGAAGCCGATCCGGACGAAATGTATATAAATCGATAGATCTCGACGAAAAAATAACCGGAGGCCAGGTTTGACCTCCCTAGGTCAAACAGGAGCTAAGTTATAGGCGATCAAACTTAGGAACCAAAATTTCTGAAAATGATCAAAATTGATATCAATCGATAGAGGAAATCACAAGGATCAAGGAAAACTAGGTTTCGAAGTTCCTTCCCTCCTAAATATCGAGTTATGATTTTTCGAAAACTTCAAAATATCATAACTTTTTTCTAGGCGCCTAAAAACTTTTTGACTTGGATTTTCTGGCTTCTGGCGTCATTTCCTATCGATTGATGTAAAAATCTGGAAAACTTTGGTTTTCGGGAAAATCAAAAAAAGTACAGTCTAACCCCTTCAGATTTTTTCGAGCTTCTGAGGTCAT